AATGTCAAGTTCAAGCCATTTCCGCAAGACCAAATATTGCACTAATTTTCGTTAACCAAAACCAAATCTTGATAACACTTAACTGATTTGAAAGAAGAAAAAAAAACTTACAAATCATGCAGCGCACAAGTTCCGGCTGTTGTTGTTTTTTACGGTCTTTAAGCTGGTCCATTGTTCAGCAATGTGAAATGAAAATTCCCCAATGCTTGGTGGGTGTGCTGTGCTGTCAGTTAAGTATGTTTAAGCATATGGTGGTATGAATGTCTTTAATTATCAGAATCGAATCAAAAAAAAAACCAAAAAACAAATACACACCCAGCATAATGCCAACGAAATTGCGCACAAATTAGACAAAAATTACTTAATCTAATGCTAACTGCGTATGAACAGCTAGCTAATTTAATGAGCTGCCAGCGCCCATAACGTCCAGTTCTCAACAATGTAATTAATTTCAATTCGCCACTCATCGGTGGAGGGGAGAAAAAACCTTGAACTTCAATTTCAAGCCACGGGTGTATTTATTAGAACGTTCACAAAGATCTCTCGACTCAGTGAGCTTTGTGAGTTACTTTCGCTTTTGTAGGCTACAAATAATACATAATAATAATAATAATAAAAAGAAACGAGCAATTAAATCATAATCGTAATTCTTGTGAAACACTCAAGACCCATCAAAATGAAAGGCGCTGCCAGCCAGTTTGTGATATAATTTTTACGTATTGTCTTTTGCTCAGCAAAGTCGAGCATTAAGGCTAATTGGTTGGAAAACAACACATTGTTAACAACATTTCTTTGTGACCCCACTCTTAACATTTCTCACTCGTTTCGAGCAGTGTGATCATATCATAGCCATAAGCTCTTCAATTCAGAAATATTCATTATTATTTATTATTATTTATTCTAGCGTTACAAGCTTAAGACCTAAAGAAAAGATTACATTACAAATAGTAGTGAAATTATAAGTATAAATACCGCACAAGCAACCGATTTTTTCTAAGAATTAATTTCTATGCTTTTGAAAAATGTTCTTTTATGAAATATATAATTTTAAATTTCTGAATTTTCGAAAATAGTATGTTTTTTTTTTAAATATGGAATATGTTAAATCTTAAAATATTAATGTTTAAAAATAACTTTAGCAGCAGAAAATATAATGTTCGAGTTCTGTGTACACACTTTTATATGTTGAAATTCGAATATTTTTCCAACGACTTAGACAAATGTACATTGGAATTAAGAAAATAAAGGAACACACAACCTTCCCATCCTATAAATATACACATTCTGAATAATGGGGATTTTCTGAAATTCAGGTCGATTTTTTGCTGAGCATAGCATATGGTTTCTATGCTTAAATCTAAATAAAATAAAATTAATTGTTAAGCAACGTTAAGCAAATTGTTGTAGTTCATTTAAGTCTTGTCCTTGCTATGTTGCTGGGTGGTGTCTAACATTTAAAAATTTACTTAGTTATTGTTTGAAATATTCTTAAAGTTGTACCTTAAAATAAATTAAAATTTATTTGACATATTTATTTAATTTATAAAACTTAACGCGAAAGATTTGACATCGCTTCCTTAAAATATATATATTAAACAAATAACAAACAAATAAACTTCGAAACACTTAAGCTGTATTGCTTAAGATAAGTATCTATAACATTTCAAACAAGATATATTTTGGGTCTGAGAGCACAGTCAACTAATTTAAATAATAAAATCATAGCCTTTTAATGGTAATAATAAAATAATGAGTATAGATTAAAAGATAAATGCTTGGTGCATATGACACAAAATGTGACGACCTAAAAAATTAATAAATTAGTAAATTATTCCACTGCCTGTTTTTGTAATTGTTTGCTTACATCATTTTAACATAGTGTTAACAGTGTTATTAACAGCGCTTATGACAAAAGCAAAATTACCTAAAAGACACGATTTCCAGTTATTGAAGAGTACAAAAGCAGCGACCCGCTGAACATTGAATATTTGTGTAATTATGCTTATTGTTGTTATTATGGCAACAATTTCGAATTGAACCTGACCGTCTGAGCCGGCTGAGCACACAGTTATGAGCCAACCGCAGTCATTGTGTGACAATCAACAACGACTTCCTCGAAACAAGCCACCGTTTAGGCCTGTCTCTTGACTACAGCAACTGCCACAATCACAATTGTGGCCAACATAATGAATTTTCTTTTTCATTTTCTTTTTTTGAACTTTTTTTTCGCGATGCTTTTGTGACTGGCAAAAACAAAATAAATGTTGCATAGGAATATGATGAATATGATGTTGAATTTGAATTTGAATTTGAGTTTGACTGTTGACAATCCATTCAAATGCAAATGATATATTTGCTGACTAATCAGCGCAAGTCAGGCAAATATGTTTATTTATCATGCATCATTATTGAGGCAACAACAACAACAACAACATATTTTTTGCTGGGAACTATTTTGATTGGGTGCAATTATAATTTGCTGAATCAAGTCGTGAATTTCGATGCGGTTGCCGCCCTGTTAGCCACTCAACAAACAACTTTTATTTTTACTATTAGTTGATTATTTTGGAAATATGCATTAAAAAGAAAAGTTAGCGAAATTATGTGAACTTGTTATATCACCTGGCCAGCAAAGCAGCAAGTAGACAGCCAGAGACAAGCAAAATAAAAAGCAAAAGCTAACGGCTCTTAAAAAACTGCAACAGCAGCAAATGCACTTTCTTTGCGTTACGCTTCTTTGCATAGGCTCGTGCATTGCCAAATCGTATCTGTAATAAATATATACACATATTTTATACATCTCTCTCTCTATATATATATATATATATATTTATATATGTATATAAATATTTATTTTGTATATAAGACAGCTGCGGTCAGTGTCCATGTCTAGACATTGAAAGCGCAGTCGAAAAAATGAAATGAATTGAAATGAAATGCTTGAATGCTGTTTAAGAGATTTTGGTTCAGCAGCTTAATATTGTGGCAAGTGCAACGACAAAAGTTCAACAGACGAGGCAGCAACTGCACTCTCCACCTCCACCTCCACCATTCACCATCACCAGCACCCCCGCTGTCTGCTGCTGTATCTCACATTTTAGGCGTTGCAGCATTGTAAATTAATTCATATTAGCAAAACAAATGCGATGCTCCATAGTACATATATATATATATATATATATATATATATAAATAAAGTACTACCTACACATATGTCTAGCAACCAGTGTGTTTCTGTGTGTTAGCTTTTAGCATTTCATTGGCGTTGAGTTGTTGTGCAGGTTTCGCGGTCTGTGGGAGCATCACTGCAAACCGGCGCAAATTATATTCAAGCAAAAAAAAAATATATATAGAAAAAAAGCAACAAAAAATCAAAACCCACAACAACAACAATAATAACAACAACAGTATGTAAATACAGGTAAATAAAAAGTCGCGTCTCGTCGCATTGCACGAAGGCTGGGAAAATGAACACAGCACAAATGTTAATTACGAGAATATCTTTTAACTAGCTAAGCAGATTGCACTTAACTTACATAAAGTATCTGATGGATGCAAATGCTCAATGCTCAAAATATTGTTTGTGTGTGTGTGTGTGTGTGTGTTACTTCACAACAAATAACATTTGATGACTGTTGCACTTGGCGTATGCGTTATATGTGCGTTTAACCAAATCCAGTTTTGATATGATACGAATGAGAGATATGCAACTTAGGAGCACATTATTGGAATCAGTAACGATGTTGGCAGCTTTGTGATTTGCTAATTTCAAAGTTCAATTCACGAAATGTAGAAAATTGTTATTCAAAATTCTGGCTCTAATAATAAAATATTGCTGCAGTTAAATAACAAAAATGTATTTTGTTACTAATTTAAGTTTAATATGTATCAAAAGTGAACTGAACGGCAGTAATCTTAAGCAAATAATATATTCTTAGAATGAGTCCATTTTAACTGAAGTTATTTTGAATTAACGGAAACAAACATCCTTAAATCAATTTTATTGTTTTCTTACTTCTAATTTTAAAGAAAACAGTCTTTATATGTTGTCTTTCTTCTAATTTTTAAGAAAACATTCTAGCTTTGAAATTGTGGATCTTTATAAAGTTAAAATAATAAAAGGAAATCCTTACTAATTGCAGCTAATATTATTTTTGATAAAAAATAATTTTACTATCAATTCAAACTAATTTTGAATTCAAAAATAAACTAGATATAAAAATCCCTTATATTTGTATGAGTAATAAAACAATACCAACTGAGGTTAGCAATAAAATAAATCACATTCATTAAATTGAAATAAAATTGATTAAAACACAAATGATTCTCATAGAAATAATTTTCTGACATTCAGATTTCCAACAATAACATGATATCACTGATAGATGTCTTCCAATTAGAAACCCAACTGAGTCAACTAAATATCTCTCATAGATTGCCACTCATATATTAAACATGACAACAATTGTGAAAGAAAAACACTCAAACATTGAGCTAAACTTATGCTGAACAAAAAAAAAAAAAAAAAAAAAATGTTGGCCAGGTAGCTAAGTGTGGCTAAGAGCGTTGGCTAAGAGAAACAACGTACGAAGATATCTTGCCACTTGCCACTCGACGAACTCTTTGGAGCCAAGTTGCGCTCGCTGCTGACTTAGGTATAAAACATAAACACGCTGAAGAAAGCCATTCATTTAGTTGTTTGAGCTGGCGTGAACCGTTAGTCCAGCAAGTAGCAAGAGGCAGCAGCAACAGACCGCTGTGGCATTTAGAGTGCAACATATAGAGTGTATATATATATAAAAAAAAATACAAAATATATTTCCACAACTGTGAATAAGTCAAGTCAAGACTTGAATGTGTGCACTGTGACCAAAAATTTGAGTAACTTCTTTGTGCTTGTGAGGGTGTGTGTTAACTGTTCTAAAACACAGAACTCAATTGGATAACAAGAAAAAAAAACTTATTAAATTCAAGGAGCTGCTGCAGCCGCAAAAAAGAAACACAGAATGCAGTAAGTCAATGTCTCGTAACTATGAATCATACAGTTCGGGTCAAAAGAATTCGTGTAGCAGTCGCAGTTTGTAATTAACGTTTTGTATTGTTTTGGGCTGGGAATGGAGGGCGGGGTGGATAGGTGGGTAGAGAGCTTGCCGATGGGCTTAAGATTTGTGTCGCTTGGCAACCACAAAATATTCTTTTCAATGAAATATTTCAAAACCTAGAGCATACGTAACTGTAACTGTGCGACTCTTGTTGCTGCTGTTGTTGTTGTTGCTGTTGTTGTTTTTGCTGTGGTTGCTGGCGTGTCTGAGACCTTTTTCTGGCTTTTTTTTTTATAGTTGGCGTGGGAGTTTTTGCTTTGTTTGCTGAGCTGTTGTTGTTGCCTGTGGCGCTGACAATTCAGTTGGACAGCGACAGAGTCGTTTTTGGACGTCTTTTAGCTGTTGCCTTGGCTTATTACCTAATCGCATTGTCTGCCTGACTTCTGAGTGCGCCAAAAAAATAAAAAACCGCTTAGTAAATAGCTGCGGAAAATTCGAATTGAAATGTTTACTCACTTTGCGTCAATCAATACGCTTTTGACTGACTCATTGCCAGCCCATGGCCAAAGATTGCATTTTGACGTGGTCAATAAACACAACAAAAAGAGATCACACAATCCGATAGGTAAAATTGCACAATTTGTCGGCTTATGACAATCCTTTCTAAAAAGGCGTATAAATTACTTAGTGTGCATATTATATAACGCACCTCTAACTGCACTGAAATTGTATCGCCACCTGAACACTCACACACACATGTGGCGTATACGCAATGATTCAATAGTTGCGCGCGTTTGAAATTACAGTTAGCCATTCGTACGCACAGCAATGCGTACAGCCGTCGACGGCGTATAAATTGCGCAGACAAGCTCTGGGCGAGGCCTGTAGGCCATTTACTTACCAACCAGGTCCAAAGCGACATGCCAAATTGTATACTTTTGTTGGGACGATTAAATCTTAACCGTTTTTTTTTTTTTTTTTTGCTTTGGCGTTTGCAATTTGTGTGGTGTGTGTTTAATGCAATTAATAAATTGCCAGCTAGTGCCGCCCCAAAATTACAATTTGCCTTGGCTTGGAGATTCCCACCACTAATCTTCACCCTAATGGCGAAGGTCACACCTCAAAATGGCCAACACAAAGTGTAACAAATTGTTTTCATCTACTTGCTTCTTCTTTTTAATGTGAAACGAAACTAAACTTGAAAGAAAATGTTGCACATAAAATTCATTGTCACGCAATTAACATCCAAAAAAATAAAATAAAAAACAACAAAAAAATAATTCACAAGCTGGAAAAAATCAGCGGATCGTGGAGATAGAAAGATAGGGAGAAACATTAAAAATGCACACGCACATTAATGTTGTTAAATTTGTTGTAATTGTAACAGTGCAATGTAATTTATTTTCAGTTTTAACATTTTTCTTCTCCTTTTTTATAGCTGCTAACGAGCATTGTGTATAATTAACCAATAAAAATAACGTAGTTCGAAGCACTCAAGGCTTAAGTGAAAACAAAAAGACTTGGGCAATAAGCTCGGGTGTTAAATGGCAGCTAATGGAACTGTCAAACAGCCAGAGGCAATTGAAAAGTTGGTTTGGTTAGAGGGAGTTATAAGTTGAACTAGAAGTTTTATCATATAAATGATATAATATAAAAAAAAAGATTTTGGCAATAAACTTGCATAATAAGTGGCAGCTAATTGAATTTATGGGTTTAGTGTTGTTATTTAGTTATATTACAAATATTATTCATATATCTTATACGTATATATAACAGTTACTGTAATCAAAGACTAAGGCAACAAACTTGAGTGTTATACTGTCAACTGCCCGAATTTGCAGTGATCTATAATAGGTTGAAACTAAACTATTTTCATCAAAAATTCAATAAAGAATTTTAGCCATAAGCATAGATAAAGGTTTGTTAAAAAATCAGGCAATAAGCAGCTCTGTTTAAAAAAAAAAAAACTAATGGGATTTGTAGACTAATGAATTAATAAAGGAATGTTTAATAAAAACAACTTAGGCGAAAAATTTGAGGGTCAAATGCAGCAAAACAAATATTTGTATTTTAAAGACATTTTATTTTACTAAAATAAGTTAAGCAAACTAAATGTCAAAGAATCTTGACCACAGGATATCTGAAAAGAATTACTTAAAATAATTAGGCAGCAACATAAAGTTTTCAAAATCAGTCAATAATTATCTAAATGCAGCTGTATAAAATAAAATAAAATAAAAATAAAATTAAATTAATTTTACAATTCGTCAAGTTTCCCAAGCTTAGCACTCGCCTAAATATGGAATCAACTTCTATTTCATAATCTAATGGAAACCCACATGTCTTATGTCACAAACACACGCCCAACTTTTAAGGAAATCAAAGTGTATACAGCTTTTTGACCAAAATTATAGCAAGAAGATGAAAAACAAAAACATGACAGAAACTCTGCTATGAAATTGAACTGGTAGCCGGGGAAACGTGTGCATAACGAAACCACTTTTCCTTCAGCTGTGGTTAGGAGACAACAGGCAACAGGCAACAGACAACAGACAAGAGACAAGCAAAAGCCATCCACATCCACAGCAACAACAACAACATCATCAGCAACATGAACGCATCGTTTCTTGGCGTCCATGTGATGTAATGTGGTGCTATAAAGCCAGACATCTGGTTTGGCATCTGGACTAAGCAAACAGCAAAGACAGAAAGATACCGAGGTGCATGCAACGCGAGTGCTGCTCCATTTATGGCAGACAGTGTGTGGCCAGACCAGTGTCTGTCTCTGTGGCATGCAACAACGCATGATTATGTGGAGCACTAGGAAACGTTTTAAGCGTTCCAATTTTTTTTTTTTCTTTTTTGGTGTGCAATCCAATTTTTTGATCAAATTGATGACTTCAGCTAATGACTTACCCAAGGCGTCACCGTTTGATCGTTTGATGTGTTAAGTCATCCCGTTAAGTGGTTTTGCTCCAGGATTTGCGTGTAATCAAGCAGTAGCGGCAGCATTGACAATGCAACGGCACCAACAACAGTTGCAGCAGCTGCCACAAGTACTTAGCTCACTTTAAAGTTCAAAGGCTCAAATTGTGCAAAGGCCAGCGACAGGCAGACAAGCCGACAAATTGCCAGCTAGAATTGCTGAAACAAATTTGTCGTTTGTAGTACTACGAGTATTTTCGATACATGAACAAAAAAATAAAACACACACATACACATTCATTACATAAGCATTCGGTTTATCAACATGCCGTAATTAGCGCCGCCTTGTAGCTAACGAATGGCCATTAACAGCAATCCCCGCAATCCACTTCAACAGACACATCGAAAGTAAAAGTTTGACGCGGATTTGTTTTGCTCCAGCTGCTATTATTGTTATGGCTGCTATTGGTAACAGTTTTGCTTTCGACGCAAATAACTCAATTAAATGCAATGCACGTAACATTGGCCAAGCCAACACCGTCGGTCACCATTCGGCCCCTAGTTAAATTCGTATCTTGAATATCCACTACTTTGGATGCGTATGCGCCGCCGTTGACATTCAACAAAAAAAAATAAAATACTGGCCAAATTGCCATCTTCACTAAATGGCGCTCAAATTGAACCCAACTGCTTAAAAGTGCGCAACAAAAAAAGTATAAACAAAAAACCAGCAGCATCCGCAGCAGCAGTCGCAGCACATCTTCATTTTATGCCCTTTCCAATGGTTGCCCAAATATGACAACCTCTTTAAATGGACTGTATGTGTGTGTGCAGAGTATGTTTTTGTGTAGTAAATTATATTCTCTATGGATTTTTGGTTCTAGTTTATTGATTGCAAAACAATTAAATTCATATTGTCAACTATTTCATTTTGGTCTTTAAAAGTAAAAAAAAATATATAGCTGAAAATTGAAACTGAATAGTTGAAAGTTAATTATAGCCACAACTTTACTTTTGAATTGATAAAGCGCTGGAAATATATTTTTTAACCACTTGTTACTTGGTTTCTGTTCATTGGTCTTGAATTTGAATGTTTTACTTACAATGATTCTTTCAAGATTCTAAAACTTATCCCAAATGCTAATGCACACCGTTGATTCGTTTAAAAAGTGATCAGTATATATCACAGCTCAATTAACATTAAATTGAACATTAAATCAGAGAGAGTTCTAAAGTGATTTAGATCCAGATTATCATTAAAGATTAACGGAAACATTTATTCCATATTTGTCTGATTGGGTTTTTTTTCTGGTTTTCTAAATCCTTGCAATAAAAGTTCGACGAGCTTACATTTGAATATCCTCACATTTATAATATCTTCTATTTTATTATCATTTTGGATTAACATTTTTATATATCTTAATCTTTTCGGCAAATTGTGGACTGTTATTTGTCTATATGAAATATATTTAAATTAATTTTATAAATGTCTAAAGAGAAACTTAGAGCTTAGAATTCTTTTCTAATAATTCTATTCCAAATGATTTGAGATTTACTCCACAAACATTAATTTTACTTAATCGGAATTCATATTTTACACCCAAAACTATATCTATTGGTAACTTCAGGAAGAACACGAAAATAAAGTAAGTTTCTGCCTAGTCGGTCAAAGATCTATGTATCCTAAGAAGCGCAACAATAAGTCGACCTTCTGCGCTCGACTAACTGCACTTCTAAGATGAAGCTTTCGACTCCCAGGTCTCAGCGCCCAGCTGTGCCTCTGGCGTCTCTCGCCTTTACCTTATAACTCGTTTCTAGCTGGTAATGTCTTTGGTGGTGTCTTGCATAACGCGTCGCTGGGCTGCCTTCTTTGGCTGCAATTTGGCGGCATCTTCACTGCATCTTCTCTTTTTGCTGTTATTGTTGTCGTTGTTGTTGTCGGTTTGCTTGGCGAAAAGGTTCGCGTAAAATCAAAATATTTTTCCCGCGTTTTGCGCGCATTGAGGTTGCCACAAAAGTTTCCCATATCATAAAGTCTTACTTATTGATGGCATGTCTTGGTTAATCTGATTGCTATTGCTGTTGCCATTGCTATTTGTTGTTGCTCACTTTTTTGCCTGCTTGCAGACGCAATCGATGCTTTGTCCTGCTACTGGCCATGGGCCTGTGTGCCTGCGTAGCTGGAGCTGCCACAGGTGCACCCACTGCGACGGCTACCACGGAAAAGCCGAAAGGATTCTCGGCGCGTTCATTGGATGTGAGTGCCAACGGCGATGATGATGATGAGTTCGAGACCCAGGCACAAACTCACTTGGCTTACAGGCAACAGCAGCCACTGCAGCATCAGCAGCAGCAGCAGCGACCCCTGTACGACTACAGCGAAGAGGATCAGGAGGAGGCGCCACGTCAGGTGTACATCAATCGCAACAACGGAAAGCAGCAGCAGCAGCAACAGCATCAGAACAACTATCTGAAGAAGAAGCCGCAGAGCGCGGAAAGCGAGGAGGAGGAGGAGGAGGAAGTCGAGGAGCCCGATCGTCTGTCCACGCTGCTCAGCAAATCCACCTTCAGCTGCACGGATCGCAACTCAGGGTAAACAATTGTTGAACTCTTTCATTGTAAATTCTATAAATAATGGTTTCTGCTCCTTAGCTACTATGCGGATGAGTCGCTCAGCTGTGAGGTCTTCCACTACTGCCAGGAGAGCCAGAAGCACTCGTGGATCTGTCCCGATGGCTTTACATTCCATCAAATCCATTTGATATGCATGCCCCCATCGCACGACAACATCTGCAAGCAATCCTCCAAATATCACATTGTCAACGACTATCTCTACAAGCCCATCAATCTGCAGGAGCATCAGAGCAAACCGAATGTTACACTGCGCTACTCCGAGCGCTATTTCCCCGAGAACTACTATGAGCACGAGCGCTACGACGACGACGAGGAGGAGGAGGATGTACCAGCGCCCAGACCACGCGTCCAGCACCAGCCACAGCAGCAGCAGCAGCAACGTCAGCTCTATCATCAGCAGCAGCAACAGCAGCCGCAGCAGCAGCAGCAGCGCGTCCAATATCAACAGCCGCAGACGCAGCAGCAACAGGTCGTCACCCAGATCCGTCACCAGCCACCAACAACAATTGCGTATCGCAAGCCATTGCCCACGACAACCATACAGCCACAGATTCAGCCACAGCTGCAATTGCATCAGCTGCATCAGCAGCAGCAGCAGCAGCAGCAGCAACAGCTACATCGTACGTTGCAGCAACGGCCGCAACCTCTGGCGACCACTGTGACACCGGCGCCATATCGTTTCTTTACGGCAGCGCCGCCACAACTGCAGCATTTGCATCAGCAGGTCTATCGTACGCCCGAGGAGATTAACATATCGCTGCAGCAGCGTCGGCCACAGGTCTTCATTGCCACATCGACGCCACGCTACTATGAGGATGAGTATCTGTATGAGCGCCGGAAGTAAGATGAGTGACGCTGAGTGTTGAGAATGTAAGCCGTGGCCAAACTACAAAACTGGTCCCAAAAAAAAAAACAGTCTTTTTTGTACATGGAGTTACCTTAGCTTTAAGCCTGTGTCCACTCTGTCACTACTACAACAACAAAAACAAAAACAAAACAGAAAACAAACTTACTTACGTATATAGTCCCGAAATTTAGCGCAAGTTTTGTATGTACCTTATTTGTAATAATTTAATGTCCTGCTAGAAGAATCATCCGCCTTCTAACTCATTTCGTTTAATAAACAAGCATTAAGTTTAAACAACTCGTTATTTATTGTATGTCAATTTCCATGTACTGATCAGCATTGGATAGATGCACCGCTTGGACCTTGGTGCCCTCCTCCACTACATAGTTGGGTCCAATGAGACAGTTGCTCAACACTGAGCCGCTCTGGACATGCGCTCGATGTCCAATGATGCAGTTGTTGATGTTACAACCCTCCTCCACAATTGCATTCGACATGATGATCGAGTTGCTCACAATATTCTTCGGATTCACAACACAATTCGACCCAAAAACGCTGGAGCTGAGCGAAGTCTTTTCCGACAGCTTGGCATTGTCGGCCACAATGATTTCCTTGGTCTGTGTTGATTTCACCACAGCACCGGGTGCAATCAACGGATGCGTCTCGCCGCACAGCTCATTCCAAATGCCAGCCAGTTTCCTATTAATGGCCAGAAAACTGAGCGTGGTATTCACACGTACGCCAATCGACTCCTTTGGAGCTTGTATAGCAAAACAGCGCACAACATCGCCATGGTAGGGATTATGCGACAGCGACTGATTGAACAGCGAAGTCTGTGTCAGCTTCTCATCCAGTGCAGTGTGCGTTACATACTTAAATAAAAATAAATCGAATTAGAAGATTATAAGTAGATATGCAGAAGAAGGTTGTTACAATTCAAAACCTACATGCAAAATGTTATCCTCGGGCTTTGTAACTACGTTCAGATCAGAAATGGTGTCCTGGCCCACTTTTTTTGAGCGTCTGGCTTGTTGTCTCTTAATGAGATGTGGCAAAAACTCGCCCTTAAATGTCGAGATGTTTTCCTTCTGCAAGAAATCAGCTTGAGTTAGTAACCCACAGAAATTATTTGACTTTTGTACAAACCCTGTGCAGATAGCCGATCACCCATTTCTTGAGCACATAGATATGTGCATCCATGAGTCGACCATAGACATCCAGTTGACCCTTGTTCTTGAGCAGATGCCGCTGTATGTTCAACGTATCCTCACAGTCACTGGCGGCGAATACAAATGCCAAACGCTGTGTGGCCGGATGAATGCCAATAATGTCCCGTTCTGGCTTGTGCTTGGTCTTTGGACCTGGCATCACCACATCCGATTCGAAGCCACTCTTGAACAGCAGCAGCGCCAGCGAAGCATCGTCAGCACGGAACTTATTGATCAGCGGATATAAACTAACATTACTCACTATGTCACAACTCACGACGAGAAAGTCCGACTTGATCCTGCAAGTTTATAAAGAGTTTAATACTTTTTTGTATCGCGCCAAAGAGAGTGTAAATCAGAAATGTACATTTAAATTTTCGAAAGTAGCCTTCAAATTCGCTTATATGTTAAACGTTGAATGAAAATTTAGCATTCTTTACCTATACTTATTGGACCAACTGCAGTCACTTACTTGTCGTATATATAGCGCAGACTGTCGGCGGTGCCAAAATCGCTATCGCTAGGCACTGTGGCATAGTCAATTTTGAGCTTGAGCGGTGTACGCTCCAGTGCCAGCTGAATCTCCAGCTTATCCTGCTCCAGCACAACAACAATAACCTCTGCAATACAAGCAAGCAGTTTTAATAGTGTGACGAAATCACTTTCATAGGTATGTACTAAATAATGTTACCCGTGAAGTTGTGTTTGCTCAGCAGGTTGAGGGGATACCAGATTAACGGATATGGTCCCACGGGCAGTAGACACTTGGGCGCATCGCCCAGCACTTCGGGCAGGCGTGTGCCACGACCCGCAGTCAGGACAATAGCTTGAAATTCACAGCTAGACATTTTGATATATTTGCCAAATCAATTTAAAGTCAAAACCAACACGCGTCCGCACACAGCTGATTGGCAGTGTGTTGTACAACACTGGTGTCAAATGGGCCATATGTTTTACTGTCACATGACTGCATTTGCATTGTTTTTGCAATTGTATAAAACAAGTCAGATGACCTTTTTTCCATTAATTAAAATCCTTTATTTTTAATGCACTTTTTCAGCGGAATTAGAACAATTTTAGAATTATGAACAACAAAAACTTTAATGCATGATTTGAGCGCTACATAACTACAAAATGGAATACAATCATTTCTTATTGGAATTAAACTACATACTTTAAGCTTACAAAGTTGCCAGCAGCTAAAATTGTACATACAATAAAAGTAATTGTGTTTTAGTTTTTTCTCGGATTTAAAATGGAAACAGAACGGTATAACAATAACGTATTGTCTGGAATACAGATAGACAGACTAATGGCGTGGTTAATACTTAGAAGAGCACATCATCATCGCCCTCATCGAGTATATTCGCCTGCTGGCGCACATCGATGCCCTGCTTGAGGAGCTCCGCCTTTTTGGCATCTGCCTTGATGCGGGCCTCTCGCTTCTTATCCTGTATCTTCTTCAAGCGATAGAACTCCTCACGCTCCAGCTCATCCAGCTCCGAGATGATGTAGGACAGTGTACGATCGATGCGCGGTATGATGACATGCTCGATGGCATTCACACGACGATTCGTGATCTTGATCACATCGTCCAGCGTTACGAACGACGTCTGCAGCGAGGCGAGCTCGACGAGCAGCTTCACGGCGCTCTGATAGTTCTTCTTTAGCTTGGCCAACTGCTGGCCACCGCGAGCCAGGCCAGCCAATTCATAAGTATCGGCGCCATCCTGATAGGACTCGAAGACAGGCAGCGTAACGCCAGCGACGTTGTCCTTTTTGGTGCGTATCTTGATTTGGGCCTTGGTCACGTTCTGCAGCACCACCTGATTGATGTCGCCGGACGTGAACTTGGCCTCGGCCAGCGAGAAGGCCGCCTCTTTCATAATCTCGCCCATCAGCGTTTTTGTCTCAATGATTTTGCCCAGAATCATGCGGAATCGCATCTGCAATGCATCCGCTTTTTTCTTAAGCAGACCATGGCCTTTTTGAGCGCCAGCGAGACGGGCCTTCATCAACATTTGGGCGCCACGCGACGGGAAAATCGGTAATCTATCTTTGCCAGACATTTTACAAGTGTTTCAATCGTTATGTGGGAAAGGTTTATTCGATTTTCTACTGCGCACCAACGATTTTTCGCACCCGTCGAAGAACACTGAAAAACTCCAACTGGACTGGATAAATTCAGTGTTGGTAAAGAGTTGTACGACGAATCATGCAGTGTTGCACATGACAGCAGGTGCTGTACAATGCATTTGGTGCAACAGTGCTGTAAAACACGACATAGCAACAGCTGTTTTCCACAAACTGTAAACAAATCGCAGCGATATTTTTAAATAATGCACATTTTGCAACGATTATTTTGCTTGCCAGCAAAAACACCAATACACAGCTATTTGCGTTACTACGCCAAAAGACCAAAGTGGGCCATGACAAGCAGTCGTCGCATGGTGCACCAGGAGCTGTTGCGTTATGTAAATCCCTACGCACGCATTAATATCAAATCTGATATATTGTTGCATGTGGAGCCAGCCGATGTCCATGTGCACACCAATGGAGATGTCATCATAGCACAACTGCTCGGCGGTGCTGTTGCCAACAGCAACGCCAAACTGGATGTGGATGTCGTAGATGATGACAAAGTCGTTAATGTACTGGTCAAGAAGCTAACAGAGCAAAGCTCGCAGTTTAAGTGCCTTTTAAAGATTCCTATTCGCGCTGAGTTACACATAGAGGGGGAGGCTAAAGTCTCCGTACGGGGCATCGATGGTGATGCACTAAAGATCAAGGCAGTCGGTGATATTGTCACCAAAAATGTACGAGCCACACACATTTCACTCTCCAGCGAAAATGGAAACATCAGGTGTGAGAGCACACTTCTGGGCAAGTCCACTGAAATTGAGACTCTAAATGGTGTAAGAAGAGGAATCTTATGTCTTTTACACATTTAAACACAACTCTCTGCTCCACAGAACATCAGTCTGGATAAGCTGCAGGGCGATAGCTTGACATGCTCCACACAGGCGGGCGACATCAACACCGACTGTTGTTATGTGGAGAAATCGAAATTTGAGACGATCACCGGACGCATGGAACTGAATAATGTGCACAAGACGTGCGAGGTGTATGTGCATCAGACGGGTGCCTTGAAGATGAGTGAGTTAATAGGATTAATGTATTTGTGTGTCGGGTATCATTATATATATATATGCTCGTATTTCAGCTGGCGTTAATGGCAATCTGAATGTGATTGCCAAAGGTGGCAGCCTGAATCTCCAGCTGTCCAAGCTGAATGGCAAAAGTCAGATTGTGGCCCAGAATCTAGAGGACGAGGCCATCATCAACATATCGGAAGCCATCGAAAATATCAACATTAACGTTCAGGCCTGCCAGGTCAGTCTCAACTATGAGCTGGAGCATGTGTCGCATGCGCTAAGCGAGGACAAGAGCAAATTTCAGTTGACCAACGCAAATGAACATCATTTGGTAATCAGCAGCACCGGAGAGAACGGTGTGCGCCTAGGCAAACAATCCTGGATGGACACAATGCGTCAAAAAATGAACTTAGGCGACGAAGCTTAAGCAAGGAGTATTTCTTTGGACCTGACAAAACATCTCAGAACTAAATCTCTATACACAAAAGATGATTTTAAATTGAAAGTGCAAAATTCCTAGTGACTAATAAGGGCTTCAAAGTTATTTAAAGTTTTTTTTTCTTTCTATATATATCTATATGTATATATAATAAGTATAAGTATGTATTAATGTATGTTTGTATTGTGTGCATATATGCAACAATGTTCAGTCCAGTTGTGAGTATTATTTGGCTTGGCCAGCAACTTCGTTTAGAACGGCGCTCAGACGGAGCTGTGCGCTCTGCAGAATCACATCTTCATCCTGTTCGACCTGCAAAGCAGCTCGTAACATTTCCACTCTGTTACCGTCCATTTCTTGCATATCCTTTACTAGAATGGACTCATCCGCGCGAATGAGCATGTGCCCCAGCAGGCGCAACAGCTTAAAAGCGTGCTCTTCGTACTGCCAACGGGGTTCGTCCTCACAAGACTCGAAATCGTTTTCATCATAGTCGGCATAGTCTACAATGTGCTTGCTGAGAATTGTCCAGATGCCGAGCAAATGCACAAACGCATCCTTTTCATAGAAATATTTGAGACACTGCAAGAGGAGATTTAGAAATGGGATTTAAAATCGATGAAAATTCAATGAGATTAGCGAAATTCTTACGCTGCAAATGTGGGCCAAGTCCTCGAGATACTCCTCCTGTCGCTCGCCCAGTGGCAGCAGCTGCATGGGCTGCTGCAGGAATTGGAGTATGCGCGTCAGGCAATACATGATGCTGGCTGCATACAGATCCATGGATGACTGCGCCTCGGGCAGCTGCACCAAAATGGTGCATATATTGAGGTAGGTCTGAATTACTTCAACATCGCAGTTGATTTTTGGTAAGCTTTGGGAATCGTCATCGCCATCATCATCATCATTATCATTTGAATTTGCGACCGGCAACTGATCACCAGCAAGACCATCGACTTCATCTGCCTGCTTTTCCAGGTCGTCGCGCATGAGGCGAATGAATGCATTGTTGACGCCATCACAGAGCTCCTGCACCAGGAACACTTCAGCGAATGGCTTCAATTTGTTGTTCGACTGAGCGTTCTCCTCCTCCACCAGGGCGCAGCTGGCCAGCACAGCATTGATGGCTTTAAGCGCTGCGATCAGCAGTTCATCGCTCACCGACTGCTGCAGTATGAAGCCGAGATTCTTAGCGGAGCTCTCGCAAGCGGCAAAGCAGATGTACCAATCGATGGCCAGCTGCTCCTTGCCACTGACCACATGTGCCATAACATACTGATAGATGCGCATCAGCTGGAGCAGCATGCAGGTGTCCATGCAGGTGCACAGCTTGAGCAGCAACTCAATCCAGTCCGCATTCGCCGTCAGTTGCTCGACGCACTCCACCTGGGCGCACATGTTGCCCAGCAGACCGGTGAGTATCTCATAGAGACGCACATCCTCACTGCCCGCGATGGCAAACATAATCAGCTCGATGGCATCGCTTTCCAGCAGGAGTGCAACCACCTCCGGCGACACTGACATATCCCACAGCTTGCACAAATCATCCTCCAGGTCCAGCTCCAGTGCTGATTCCGGCTTCTGCTGGCTGAGTCGCATCAGCGTCTGCAGTATGAACTTCTTGCTGTACATTGTGTCGCCGACAGCATCAGCACGCATGCGTTCCAGTAGCTCCTGCTCATCGGCAGTGTCCACGGCATCCTCATTGTTTTGATTTTCCTGGGGTTGGGGCGAATTCGACTCGGACTTATTCTCAGTGTGCTCAGCGTCGTTCAATTCTGGTGCGTCCGAGTCATTTGATTTGTTTTCCGACTGCAGAAGCAACTCGTTTTCATTGCCAGCCATGGCGGCAACACTCTCCCTTTCAACACTGTCGACATCTTCTTTGGTCATCTTGTCAGGTATCCGGAATAAGTTCGATCGAACGACTGACTAAACTCGCCAAATGAACTGGGTCAACGCTTGTCGCTCAACTAGTTCGATATCCGCACAGTTTGCTGTTAATCGGCACTGTTGACAAACACTTAACGTTGGCTGTACTGCTGTTAACAGACGGCGGCTTGCTGCTAATATTCGATGCTTTTTAAAAATCCAACCAGAGTGTAATTTTAAATTAACTGCTTATTGTGGCGGCTACCAGAGAAAAAACTATGCAATACGGTTTATTTGAATCGGATTACAAATATCCAATAAGAAGCCCATGGATCGATTGGTCATATATAACAAATTTATTCTAAACGCTGTCTTTTAATAAACACATCCAGCAAATGAGAAATGGGTATTTCAGTTGGTTGCTGCGCTGGAGGGGGAGCAACATTGTTGCGATGTTGCGGAAACGTGGGCATCATGCGCGGATCACAAGCTACACAAATATAACAATTTAATAGTAATAATATATATAAATATATGATCAGCACTTACGTTGCGGCGGCTCTGTGAAATATTTGTTGTTCAAGCATTCGGCAGCCGTGGCACGTGTGCTGGGATTGTAGAGGAACAAGAGATTGAGCAGACTTCTGCCAGCTTGGCCGAGCATTTGGAATTTGGTCTTGAGATTATTGTAGGGCTGCTGGCTGAGCGTAAAGTTCTGCAGGGCGGGCAATTCGAGGTAGCCGGGCCAAATGGATTCTGAGGGGGCGCCAAACAGATCGATAATCATGTCGAGCTGCGCAATCTCAGAATTGCCCGGCAGCAGCGGTTTGCCCGTCAACAGCTCGCCGAGAATGCAGCCAAAGGCCCACATATCCACGGCCGTCGTGTGCGTCCTGGCGCCGAGTAAGAGTTCCGGTGCACGATACCACAGCGTCACCATTTGTGGCGTCATCGGCTTGGCCGGCTTCCCATACAAACGCGCCAGGCCAAAATCAGCTGTGTAACGAGATGAATTCTTTAATTATACAAAATGAAGGTAATCTAGTTGTGGACACTTGCCTACTTTGATGCAGCCCTTGTCCGTCATCAGCAGATTGGAGACTTTGAGATCTCGGTGTATTATATAGCGGGCATGCATATATTTTAGGGCACGCAGCACCTGCAGCGTGATGCACTTCACCTCGGATTCGGTAAACGGCTTCGACATGTTGTCCAGCACCGAAGCCAGATCCTGCTCACAAAAGTCCATCACAAGGAATATGCTGTGCGATATTTGCATGATATTTAAAAAACAATCGAATAATTGGCAATTACTACCTGTCCAGGCTCTTCCCCACAACAACTTCCCGCAGCCGGACAATGTTCTCGTGCTGGCAGCGCTTTAGTATCATTATTTCACGCAGCCCGCTGACCGGCAGACCATCCTTTTCCTGATCCATGCGAACCCTCTTCAGAGCAACGATTTCTCCATTGCGTGTGTCGCGTGCCCGATCTAAAATATATTATAATATATACAAATTAGTACGGAAACAAGAGTTTAAGGAGTTGTGCACTTACAGACAATTCCATAGCTGCCCTCGCCCACGCGGTTTAGCTTCTCAAACTCGGACACGGGACGACAGCGTCCATACTATAAAAAATACATACATACATATTAAAAAGAAATATTTTTGAGGTCACATTTGGCATACCACATTTTGTTCCGGTATGGGCATGGGGGTGCCGCTGTTCTTAAGCGATATGAGGAATCCCTTCCGCGTTATGGGTGCTTGAGGATCCGGCGCCGGATTTGATTCCACATCATTTGATTTTGTGCCGCTGGACATGTTTATTTACCTTTTGGCAAACAATTCTCGAACGGCATGCAACCAAAATAAAACAGTATCGATACTCAGCGATGCTGCCGAGAATGCCCAGGGGTGCATTAAAGTTGTCGTCAAATGGCGCGCTTACAGTAAAGAATTTAAATATTTCAAAGTTATCATTTTGCCAAAGTTCCCCGTCTTAATTATGTAAAAATCTGCATATGCATTTCATAATACCGGCTAATTCATCATAAATTTGAGCTGGGTGCGTAAAAACAAAAGTGACTAGAAAATGCACGATTTATGAAAGTGAAATTGCGCCAGTTTAAAGAAATTTTGTTAGCATTTCATTTCAAATGCATGCCTCAGACATTAAAAATCTGATTGACTGCCTAGTAGCAAATGCTTTTGACAGCTTCTCTATGTCTACGCATGTGTTAAAATCGAATAGCGAACTCCTCTACTACTAATTATCACCCTGAACTTGGTACGTACAACAACAGATGAGTAAAAACAACATCTTCGGTGCTGATATAAATGCTGGGATCGGCGTCAAATGCATCATCAGTTCTGCAGCAACTGTGCAAGTGATACAAGATACAAAATAGTGATTGAAAACATTAAAAACACATACGCAGCTTCGAAGGATTATACACTCCTGAATAAATATAATATGAATAAAACCGCAATTTGGTACGCGGCTGTGCTGCTTCTCGTTTACTTCACCCTGGTGTTTTGTGAGGAAACTGTCGAAAATGATGAAACCCAATTGATGGATCCAAATCGGTATGCGGAAATGGATACGGAAAGTTTAATGAACGCTGGCCGGGAACTGTTGGAATTTGAGGGACGCACTCGTCGCCATCGCCATCGCTTCTGGTGTAAGCAAATAAAAAATCGAATTATTTGATTCAATTTTTATTATTTAATAATAGTTCAGGCGTAACAATTAGCACAATCCTAATGGTAATTTCACCCACCCCATTCTAAAGTATGTTGCTGATAACAATTTGTTGGCACAAATACAAAATGTTATGCACCCGCTAATCAGCACTTTAAGACTTTCTTTCGAAAGTTCACAAACATCAGACGGATGCTGCTGTTTCCCTTCCAATTGAAGAATCACGATGTGTCAACGATTGTGTTCCAATAACAATTCATTAACACTTTTCACTTTCAATCTGGGCAATTGTAAATTTTCGTAGATCACGTCCACATAATAATCCCCACCATAATTCTGTGTCGTGTCCAGTGAAAGTGTTGCATTGCAGTTATCTAATCAGAGTGCTATTATTATTATTGTTTTATATTATTTACAGTGCGTCATTTGTGGCCATTGGCAATTGCCTATTGGATTAAGGTGAAAGTGGTTGTTGTATCGTTCTTTGTGGGCAGCGCCATTTATTTGGGTCTGCGCTACCTCCGGCCAAATGCCCGGTGTCAAGAGGTCATCCTGGATCATCCGTAAGAATGATAAAGAATCAACATCTTCTGCTGCAATACTCACTTTATTTTATTTACAGTCCACCATCGTTTAGTCATGATCACATTCCCTACTCGTTGGATCATCATTCGGCTCATGAGCATGAATCCTATGATGCGCCTTCATATGATTCCAGTCCCTCGTTTGATCCCTACTCCAGCTACTCGGGATACTCATCCAGCTCGGATATTATCTCTGATATACACAGCGATTCACCTTCGGGACCAAGCGGACCCAGTGGACCCAGCGGAACCTCGGAAAGGCGTCGTCGTGGCAAACGTAGCATTCTAGATGATCTGGAGGAGCAAAAGGAACAGGAGCAGCTGGAGCACGAAGAGCAGGTGGAGATTGTCGATGAGGACATCTCTGAGAGCGTTGCACGCCAGCGGCCCGCAGAGGAGCAGTAAGCATCTATTTCATATCAATTCATAATAGTTGTGTATAATTTATTTTATACATTTCTGCAGAATTGCTGAATTTATGTTTGCGTTTCTGGGTCTGGATTCGAAGGCGTGTCGTCGCCGCTTCGTCTGCGAGATGGAGTTCCGCTCGAAGATCAATCCTCTGACGAGCATGGCGTTCCGCATTGTGGGTCGCGGCTTCTTCGAGAAGTACACCAACTCACGCAATCCAATCACCAGAGCGACCAGTTTCCAGGAATGCGCTGCCGCAAATCCCGAATGCATTTTTGTCGAGAACACAGAGCCGGAGCCGGAGCCGGAGCTGGAGCCAGAGCAGGAGCACACTGAACACGAGCACGAGCACGAGCAAGAGCAGGAGCAGGCTGAGCAGACTGAGTTGCCGACAACCGAAGAGTCGCAGAATGAAGTCAACTTGAAGGCGGAACGGCGTCATGCGCAACGGCGACGCGGGGATCGCATGCTCAGCTCAATTGCCGAGCACATTTTGACCCAATAGTAGACGAGTGTATTGTATTTTATTTATTTATTTAATTATTTATTTTAGCTATAAGCGTGATGAAAATGAATCTACAACAAACACACACAAAATAAACTTGCCTCAGCTGTTAAAGAAAATAAAATATGTGTGTGTGTTTTCTTTCTTGATTTTCCATTTGGCGGGAAATGCTAAACAAATCTCTCGTTATTAAAAAAGTTAAACAAAACCGAATACCGATTGATGATGACTAAAATTGTAGCAGCTACAAGGATGACTAAATCTTTTTCACCTTCCTCTTCCTGATGGCATTAATCTGATCGGCCATTTGCTCGATTTCCCGCTGATTGATCGGCTCGCTCTTCCGGACACTCGCCTTGCCCTTCTGTCGCTGGGCAATGTCCGCGGCGACGTCGTTCACTTTACTCCACACAAAGCTGAGGAAATTGACGGCCAGATCCTGCTTGAAGAAAGCAATGGCCACCAGTGCGATGAGCACCAGGGCAGATATGGAATTCTGATTGAGATCCGCTTCGGTTGCCCGCACCTCCGGATTAAACTCCAGCTTCACATAAACGGAGCTGCGGTCAGCCACAAAGCTGAACGAGGGCAGCTTAAAAATATATGTCTTGTCCGACAGTGTCGATTGCAGCTCCACCACATAGCTCTTGCCGTCGCGTGGTATACGCGGGAAGTACACCATAATGCCGGGATTAAAGCTCGACTTGGGATTTAGGGGCGTTGAAATGCGCTGCGAGAAGACGGGTGAATCGGAGGCACCATGCCGATACATCACAATCCTCAGCGTTTTATAGTAATCATTTTGCGAGGCCATTATCCGTGCCGTAATGTCCACAATCTTGATGGGATTGATCGCAATTAGATTGATGTTGCGCACATCCTCGTTGGCCACGCTGACCGTATGCCTCTCGGGTATGGAGCGTTGCACCCTCTCATCATCCGTTACCACACGCACCGTATAGGTGCAGCCCGGCTGCAGTCCACGTATACGATACTGGCCATACGGTTCACTGGTCGCTTCCTCCATCTGATGCTGGCAGCTCTCACTGGCGATCGCTTGCACATTAACCTCCGGGAAGGGATCACCATTTAGCGATGAAATCGTGCCAAAGATGGAGTACGCAAAACGCTTGCCACTGCGAAGATAGTAGATGTAGATAATATAGATACTTATTTATTTGACTTACGTTAAGATAACTTGTATGGTTTCGCCATCCTTGATGTCAATCATTTTGGAATTCGGCTCAAATTTGTATTCCTTCATCATCGGACGCAAGAAGTATTGGGATGGCGACAGTGAATGGAAATTGATGGCACCATTGTCGCCAGTGACCAAATTCTTGCGATAGCTTTCACCGCCGCTAAGCGAGAGCAGCACACCACTCAGTGGCTGGCCGGCCTCGTCCTGCACAGTCACCTCAATCTCGCACAGCTTGTGGGCACTGAACGAGTTCGACTGGCGATTATAGGCGCTGAACACATACGATTCCTTCTCGGCGCTCAGTTCAAACTTGAGCGCCTCATCGATGGGTGCAAACTTGAATTCACCTGTGACCGAGGTGAATGCTTCGATTGGTTCATGATCTGGCTGCTCGGGGAAACTGAGCGTAATCTTGGCATCCTTAATCGGTGGCACCACCTTGCCGCGCAGAATGAGACCACGTGTGCCCACAAAATTGTAAGCAATATCCACACAATCGCTGCCGCCCACCACATCTTGATACTTGGGTGCAAAGAGCAGCACATCGCTCATTGGCTTGACGGTGAGGACCTCGTCGGGTTTAAGATAGGTTTCATAGCGATATGCGTATTTGCCATCCACCTTGTGTGACTCGGCTGTGGGCGTTATTATCTGCTTGCCCAACGCATCCGATTCGATAGCCAGCCTAATGGAGTCCGCATTTGGTTCCGTGGACAGAACACGCACTCCCATCTTATGCGCAATCGCGTTCACAATCAATGTCTGCAGCTGATCCGGCTCAGGTGTAATGAATTTGCTGGGCAGCGAGTCGTCGTAAAGGTGACAGCCCTCCAGCTTAAAGTCATAGCTGCCGTATTTGGATACACAGAACGTGTTGACGCCCGACAGAATCTTCAGTGTCTCAATGGGCGCCTTGGGCTCCGAGGCGCCAGTATAGTGCACGTAACGCATCTGTGAAAAGCAGAGTTCATTTAGTATGCATTAAGTATTTGAAAACTTACAAACATACAAGAGCACGATGGCTGGAAATGATGGAAACTTCATAGCCCTTGTGGACGAATGGTGGCGCCTTCTCCTCGGCGGCGGCCACGTTGAGAAAGACGCGTGTGGACTCGTAGCACAGATTGGCCTGTGGTATTGTAATCTCATATGGGCCAGGTAGTACATCTTTGAACACATACTTGCCACCTGCAAAGAAGAGTATTTTATGAATGGAAAATCCAATTTAAATGTTAAATAATAATTACGATGAGCCTTGGCCATCCATTTGTTGTCCGTCGGCTGGCCGATGGCATCCAGGCCCTGCAGCGTAATCTCCGCTGATGTGCAAGTGTCGGTGGCATCTGGCAGGCATTGCAGCTCGCCACGAATCGTGGCACGCAGCTGTGAGAAAATAATGCCATCGATAGGACCATCTCTCACCTCGAACTGCTGCTGCACCGGGAAGAATTGAATGCCGCTCTGCTTGTCCAACTCAGTGGTGAGCACCTCAAAGCTGTATTTGCCACCGGGCAGATAGGCGCACCAGCTTCCGCTCTCTGGTTTTGTTGTGGTCGTTGTGTGGAATGTAGAGCCCAATTTCGTGATGCCCACCACATAAGACTTGGTGGAGACTACTTTGCCGCACACCTCGTAAGCCGCCGGCATAATTATGGGCAGCGTGGGCGTCGAGATTTGTATCTTCACCTGCAGCGATCCAAATTGCAACTGTGGAAATTCGACATCAATGTTGTAGCTGCCCGCTTTGATATTCTCCAGCGTATAGCTGCCCATGGCATCCGTCACGGCCACTTGCTCATTGTTGAGCTTCACAATGGCAGACTTGAGTGGTGCACCGCCAGCAGTGGTCAGCACCTGACCCGTGACAGTAAAGCCGCTGATCCTGAACTCCTCCTTCAACTGTAGTGTGTCCTTGCCAACTTCCACTTCCAGGAATGTGGGCGTCATATGCAGTTTCAAGCTCTGATTCTCATTGATGGCGAGCAGAAAATATTTGCCAGTGGGCACATCCTTGAAACTATATTCACCCTTCTCCACCACGGCATAACAAGCGGCAGCGCTCTCATATTCACTGTTCAGCTTGTTTGCAGGCGCATTTGCCGATTTTTGACACCTGGGCAGCAGCGTTTGCTATGCACAGAGAGAGAAATATATAAAATATTAATATGTATAGGCAAAATTATGTTATGATGTAACCCGAAAATCTGCCAAGTCAAAATGCAGCTCAATTTTATATGACTACTCACGCCCTTCTTCTTGTAGAGCACAACGGCAATATTTGCCGGCAGCTGAGTGCTGGCATCGAAGCGTCCATTGATATCGAAGCCGGAGACAACCAGTGAGTTGGCCGGCAATTCCGTGTTGCCGCTAACAACGACCACATTGTGCTCCGCCTTAGCAAAGTGCCACTTAGCGTGGGTGGCGCGCACCACATATTTGCCGGGTATGATTGGTGTGAAGAAGAAGACGCCATTGATGTCCGTTTTGGTGCGACGGGCATCGCCTTGGTCGGATCTCAACTCCACATCGACGTCACGTGCACCACTGCCAGTGGCCAGGGTTACTTTGCCAGTGATGCCAAAGCCCTTGAAGACGAAATTAACATCTTTTCCCTGACTGCACACGTCACTTCTGCCATCGAAGTTGAGCTCGACGTGTTCGGGCTCAAAACTCCAGCCGGGCGGCGGGGAGATACTCAGCAGATATTCGCCCTTATCATAGATGGGCAGAAAGTAGTAGCCATTTGAAGGGGAGCAGTCGGTTTTATCTTTAAGTGAGCCTTGCTTGGTTAGACTGAAATCAATTCGCATCTTATCAGTAATTTATGATCGTGAAATTTTCATTGACTTACAGTTTTATTTCCACTTTGGAGAAGTCAATTTCGGCATGGCTTTTGATAAAACCGCCACAGCCTATTACTTCGTTTGACTGTGCATTGATTTGATTAATTATATTAATTAAAATTAATATAAAGCCGGAAAACTGCCTCGTCGACCTCATTTTTTTTCGACTTTAAGCTTCCAGCTGAAAGTGCAGAGCTGTCACCCGCTGCACAGGTTTGAATAGAAAAGATATCGATGTATCACACTAAAACGTGTGATACTGGGCACGACAGTGCTGACGATAGTTGGCTGGTTACTCGATATCACAATAACTCACCAAAATGTATCGACGACAATTGGCGCGTGGCGCAATCTGAGGTGTTTTTACACATCACACTTCGATAAATTGATAGCCAATGTTAATCGAATAAATATGTTTACTGTTAGCTTAAAATTTGATATCAACCGTTACACAAAAACGACAAACAATTTCCCAACAAATTAATTGTCATTTGCAAATGTATACAATTTGTATGTATGAGTGTTATTTGGATGCCACCAATCTATTGACACTGAAAGCATTTTTGATTGCTGCAGAAAATAAGCTTGTCAGATATTAATTATCGCAACGAATTTTAATTACGCTGTCCTACGCGATACAGCAACAAGTGCGACTGCTTGTCTTGCCTTGTTCACATCAGCATGAGTATGTGTAAAGCGATCTGGCAGCCAGCAGCACCGAGATACAGATAAAGCTTGCTTGCGACAAGCGTCAAGTTGTTCGCAAGAAATTCATTTCAGGCATCGTTGAGCTGCGGATTGCCTCCGCCTATAAAATTTGACCGATGTTCGCGCGATAAATGGTCGCAAATAAAACGCAAGCAAACAATATTGAATGAATACATATGTACATGTTTCTATATACATATGTTTGTACTTGAGACGACACAGACCGAATAACTGTAAGCTATAAAACCAAGCAATTGTATAAAACGGCTGAAGTATGCAACATTCAATTGCCTGACATTGACTTTGAATTGCGCTCGAAGCGTTTTTGCCCTCGCTGCGATCTATTTGAATGTATGTTTAAATATATATATATATATATATATATATATATATACATTTACATATATATACAGATGTTTTTTAGTTAAGTGCAGCGATAAGCGAATCAAAATCAATTTCCGGAAGTGACCAAGCTGCTTGCCACATGCCTGGCGCCAATTTTAATGGTCCGATTTTTCTTTACAAATTTTTCGCGTGCCAGTTTTTACCTGGCTACCTGTCGCCGCCATCAATTCAAAACTAATTAGCTGCTCACAGACGCACAATGCCAGCCAATGCATCGTTTGCATTAAATCCACCCGAAAACCAAAATGTGTCTGGCAGTCGGGCAGGCAGACAGTGTGTCGAGACGACGACGGTAGCCGCATAGCGTACATTAGTTTTATGGCCGGGCATTATTCAAATCTGAACTCTCTGAAAAATATGTCAGACTGTCGTCGTCTTGGCTGTCCATGGCCAGATAAGACAGTGTCGCATTGACTAAGTCATAATAAATATCGTTTTAATAAATAAAACACAAGAGAAAAAACCCAGAGTTCATTTCGCCGATTATCGCCAATGGGCATAGTATAAATACATATATATAAATTTATTTCAAAAATACTACGAAACTTCTAATTAATGTGTTAATTTTGCATTTCTGTTTTTGAACCCCTATATTGTGCAGTGGGTTATCGCAAAAAGTCAAATGAAATCATACAGAAATATTTGTATATTATATATATACATATATATATTTTTGGGGTGTGTTTTTGTGATCGCTAAACCGCTTAGACTGCTGCACATGTCAAATAGCAATCAATATAAGTACTTTCATTGCAACCCCCTTAAAACAACAAACGAAAGGGAAGAAGGCTAAAAAAAGGAAATGGAAAACAAAAATAATTAAAACAAGCAAAATTGAGAACTGCGCAAAAGTCAAAGTGTAAACAAACTGCACTGTTATTAATTTAACATATGGAAATGTTCCCAATACAGCAGCAGCAGCAGCAGCAGATCATGTCCAGGCAGCAGCAGTAGCAGAGGAGGTAACGGCACCCCACAGCGCTTGCCAAAATATTTGGTGGTACGCTCCGTTCTCGTTCTCGTTTCTGCATGCGGAGAGCGCGTGCCAATCCGCCACGCTCTCTCTCTCTCTCTCTCTCTCACTGTCTCTCTCTCAGTGCTGCGGCGCCGCTCAAGGCACTTTGGCAGACTCCGAGTGATCGCTCAGTTGAATGCGAGTCGTAGATGCAAACAGACGTTAAATTCTAGAGCGCGTGCGTGCCAGCCAAAGCTTATTTCTTTGCCACATAAATAAAAAAAATAGAGACTAACACGCGCGTGTTTTCCACCTAAATATATACTAACAACGACAAAAAAATGAACATTTCGACAAGATATTTTATCAACAACAACAAAAAAAACAACTGATAAACGACACCGTAAAAGAATCTTCGAGTACCCAGTGTCTAGTGCAAAACTCGTTTATTTTACAAGCAATTCTCAGTAAATTGCAAGCCAATTAAAAAAAAAAATATACATGTAAAAAGGCAGAAGAGAAATACGAAAAAAGAAAACCAGCAAAATCTTCAAGGGCTAAGTGCGCCAGTTGTTGTTGTATGTTATTGTTGTTGATCTTGTTATCGTGAGCTTAAAGTGCACTTGACAGAAGACAACAACAGACATTCCACCAGAGAGACAGACAGTCGGAGAGAAAGAGAGAAAGAGAAATCCTAGACGCCGTGTCTGGCTTCAGTTGAGGGCTTGACTAATTGCACGATTACATATCAATTATGACAGCGGAGACCCTTAAGCCGTTTATAACACCGACGAGTGTCGCCAATGGTTTTCCGGCCAAGCAGTTAAGCGTGACGCACTCTAAACAGAAAGCCCGACAATTGATACCGATTGTGTTGAGCATTATTGCTCTCGTGCTGGTTGGATGTATCCTGATACTAACGGTAAGACGCATTTTATATATTTATTAACATAATTAGTCACATTTACTGCATTCTATTTGAGTGCTTATCACCGGCTAAAGAATTTAATCTACTAATAACCTACGACACTACTTATGTGGCTGTCATAAAGTTAAGCTTTATGCATACATTTAAATTTATAATTTGGTAAACGAAAAAAACAAAAGAAGAAACCCCAAAAAGAATTCAAATTTAAATTAAAATCTATAAAGCGTATTTTACGATGCGTGACCGTCAGCCATTTGGTTTGCACACCATGTATAACTATAATTTGGCACAAGCTACACCTAAGCCGAAGTACATATGAAAATATACATACATAAAAATATGCGACAAAATAAACATACATACAAAATTAAATACATAAGTAGGTAGCATGTGTGTTTCCAGCAGCAATAAAACCCGTCTCTGTGTCGCCTCGGATCAAAAACTGAAGCGTGTCTTAACTCAAATCGTTTCCTAATGATGATCATAAAGCCAAACAAGCCGATGATCATCTTAACAAAGAAAGACAGTTCATGGAGAGAGGGAGAGGGCGGATTGCGGTAGCTGACATAGAGACTAGCCGGCGACTATAGCTGCTGATAAAAAGAAATTATATATATATATATATATATATTGATACATATATATATATATATAAATCTTGTTGCCACAGACTTGAAAATAACATGCTCAACTAGGTGCTAAACGATGAACTGTTTGAAGTTTGCTTGTAGCTCGTTTTTGTTTATATTATCTTCAGATTTGTTTATTTAAAAATCGAAAGAGCTACACAAAAATCTTAATTATGCGCTGTATCAATAAAGCAGTTAACAAGGGAAATATAAATTACAGTCGAACAAATAGAGAAACGTTGTCCAAAATACATGCAAGCTTCGCTTCGAAGATATTTTTATATTAAGTGCTCATGCCAGAAGACTTCCTATATTTAGGATCTTCGTACATAGATCCAGTTCAATAACAGAGCAAAGCTGTCCTAAATATATTAAAGATACATTTGAAGATATTTGAAATCCCATAAAGTATTTATATATTCTTGATCAATATTAAGTGCTCAAACCAGACAACCTAAAATAACTTTGGAAACTAGAGGACTTCATTTCATTTTCGAGTATAGATCAAGTTGAATGTATCATATATAACAAAACCTAAACTCAGTTCACATTTTTCGTTTATTAAGCCATGTAGTTTAGCAAAAAACAGCTTTCTATTGATAATTAAAGTGTTATCGCTCGCTTTAAGCATTTTTATTATGTAGTTAATAAATGTTTACAAGCTTTATCACTACCAAGTATGTATGCCCTATATATACCATGGGGTGACACCTGAATAATGTGCCGATCTGCGAAGTAAGTTGACTTGCCACTAGAGTAGAACACAAAATTTGCATCGAATGCAAAACTTGTGGTGGATTAAAGTCTTTTGCAAGCAAAATTGCCAGACGAAATTCTCTCCAAATGCGCACTTCATAAATGATTTTGTCCACTGAATCTTGGCAGCTGCAGCGGAAATAATACAATTGACTTGTAAATGTTTTTTTGGGATTCGTTTCGTCTTCGTCACATAAATCTTTGTTAAGATTTTAATTCGATTTTCCTGTTGCAGCCCAAGAGACGAAGAGCGATTGGTATCTTTGACATTCTCCAGTTGATCGTTGGGGTGACCAACACAGAATCGAGGGGTGACCCTCATCAGCAGTGGTGAAAGTGGCAACAGTGTTTTGGTTTCTGTTTTTATGTTTTTTTTCTTCTTCTTATTTATGTGCTGGCGTAACGAGATCACATTACGTTGTTCCAGCTACCAATAAGATTTATGTTAAAAGGCCTAATGGGAAACTCGTTTACATTTGGTTATTGTCCACAAAGCTGTCATAATACTAGGGATGGGGACAAAGTGAGCTTTAAGTGTTTGCATGTGGAGCATTAAGTGAGAGGCAAATGAAATCGAATATACACTTTGCACATACACTGACAGAATATACACACAGCCGAATAATTAATCGCACAACTTTTATGCTTTACAAAAAAAAATAAAATTTTTTTCTTATAATTAAGATAAATTTAAATATGATGTCCCTAGTATCCCAAATAATAACTAGAAATGTTGGCATAGGTGCAAATATTAATTATAACCTACAAGGCACTCTTGTTTTGCAAAAAATTCTTCATTTATTATTTATTGCCTAATTGCACTTGTTATTTCTGGCCGTGTATTGAACATTGGCCTTGTGCTTAAGCTACGCTTCTCTCAAAGCCACACATGTCTGTGTGTGTGTCTTTCAAGTGTGCTGCTTGTCTTTTCACGATCAATGCACTGGCTTAATTCAATAATTTCGTAAACAAGTTCCACGATGTACTCATAATGTATGCACACACAATCACAACAGCTCAATATGTATGCGTGTATGTATGTATGTATGTATGTATGTGTGCCAATGGCTTCAAAATTCGGTTAAAGCTATATAACTGGCGGACATAAGGTTTATAATTTAAGCGAGTCAAGAAATAAAAGAAAGAAAGAAATACTTATGTATGTACGTAAGTACGGTACGTATGTATGTAATTATGTATGTATGTATGTATGTATTTATGTATGTATTTATGTATGTATGTAATAAGTGATGATAGGAAAAGGCGCTGACAGAGTGTCATATTGAGCAACGCGTCGAAAGGTTGCTGCTGCTCGCTCAGAATGTTAATGATCCATTAAGAAGATTATGCGCCGCGACGGCGATAGTCCATATAAATACCTACATACATACATACATATATACATACATACATACATACATTTGTATGTGTGTGTGTATATATTTCGACTCATCCATAAAAATGTTAAAGGGTAGTTGACATTTGTTCTAGTTCTCGAAATGTGCTGACATTCTTTAAGGTTGTGGATTTATTCGAAAGAAAAAAAACAAGAACTTTTTAATGTTTTTATTGTTTGGGGGTTTCTCCAATTCATGCAAAAAGCTTGAACCAGTTTTGCAATTAAATGTGTTTTTTTTATTTAATTTAAAGTTAAATCTTACATTTTATTTTAAATGAAATGCAATTTATTATTAGTTTTGTAATTTTTCTGTTTCAAGATTATTATGATATAAGTCGACATTAAATAAATAAATATAATAATAAATAGAACTATAAAGTCCTAAAACTTTTTTGTGATAACTCAAAGACAACTTTGCAATTCGCTCAATTTATAAATAGGAACCAATTCTTAGTCCTAACATTTATTTTCTTTACTTGAATTCATTTTACTTTGTGCCATTTTCTATTTGGGAATCTTAGCTCAGCTTGTACAATTTTTCTTTTGCTGTTAAACTTAATAAATAAATTTAAAAAAAAAAAAAAAAAAGTGTTACAGAGTATTGCTTAGTCGAGCAGCTACAGCCACATCGTGATTATTTGTTCATCTATGCTCATCGAAATCTTTCAAAGTCTTCGTATGTGTTTTTTTCGGGTGTCAAAGTTCGCCGTTTGGGATTATGCGATGTGTTTGCTTTAGCACCTCCTATCGCTATAATTAAGGCTCATTAATATAATTGAACACAAATTTAAGATAAGCATGAAATGACTCAAAAAAACAAAACAAACTGGCTTATCTCTTTCAATTTGTGCCACATTTAATGTTCTATAAAGAATATGTAGTAATGCTGTGTTTAGCAATTAGCTTTTACTTGATAGGCAAGTAGACAAGTAAAAAACACTTTTATCTTTGTGCTCTTTAAAGTGGCATACAACATACATGTACAATGTATATACATACATATATATTTCGATATTCGTTGTTTACATTATAATTTTTAATGACTTCCATTTGCTTGATTGAGAATAAACACATGATCATCTCTTTATGCTGTGTGGATCTGAAGTTTACTCAAGTGATCTCCAAATGAGCATATGACGCAGGCATATCCAAAACTGAACATCTATAATATATCTATGTATATACATATATTTCAGATCTGGCAGACGATGCACGTGCAACACTTGGACAGAGATCTGAGTGGTCTGAAACAAGAAGTGTTTTTGCTGCGACAAAGACTGGGCATTAATTATCTGGACGAGATGGCGGAATTCCAAAAGGAGGTGAGTCCATAAGATTACTTTATATATTTTCACTTTATATTGCATCACTTGAAAAATGAAAACATTATATATATACAAATCTATATAAATGGGACACTCTTATTTATAGATACATGTGCTGAAATTAAAATATCTTATGAACTTTTTCCTAAATGAGTTTTTGTGGTATTTTTTTTAGAGAACACGCAGTTCATCACTCTATGAAATATTTATCATATCATTTATTTGATATACTTGACAAATCGCCTGGTCATAAAAAATAGCTGTCCGAAACTAAAGCTCTTAAGATAAAACACCCAATTAATATTTAATAGACAGTGCCAAAAAACATTTTTGTTTTTTCATAATTTATGTTTATTTTTTCACACTTGAGTTATTTACTTTTGAAAATCCATTTAATTCTTAAGGTTGAATAATAAACATTCAAGGCAGTTTATAATATATATAGTTAAAGGAATTCAAAAACTATTATTTAGATCTTTGTGCGCATCTATATACTATTGATCTGATCTCATCAATGACATAGATCGTTTCAAGATTTATTGATGTGCATTTTGTTTGTGTGGCAATCTATATAAGTATAAGTATATAGTATATGTATGTCGGTCTCTTGATTCTCTAGAGAGTTAGGGAAGGCGCCAGCAATTAAGACTAAAGCCAAAAGAGACGAAATGTATATTTATATAGATATATATATATATTTATAAATATACATATACATTTTTTTTAAAATGAGTGCGCGTATTTTTAAATATGAAATCACAAATGGGATTTGAGAAATGTGCATTTTGAAGATAAGTTATGGTCACGTACTTGTGATTGACCCAAAAGCCAAATCGTAAAGCATCTATTTCGTTTTCCACATTGCAGTATACGAATCAGATCATCCAAGATCCCAACAAACTGGACGATATCGAAGGCGAGGAGGATGAGGACGAAGAAGATGATGATTTCGACAATTACAACGAGGACGAAGATGATGAGGACGATGAGGACGGCAGCAGTGACCGTGCCGCCTACGATGATTATCTCGATATGATAGAAAAAGAAAAGGAAAGCACACAAACGACTCCGCAAAATAACAATGGGGAAACTGAGACAGATGAATCCACATCCTCGACTTCATCTGCTGCATCCAACGATGATTTCTTTGGCGATTTCACCAGCTACAATGAATCCAAAAAGAAAAGGGCACGGTAAGTTATTTGCCGATATCTGCTATAAATATCGCCCTACAATTCTATCTGAATACAGCAAATCTCGCTCCATTGCCGTGATGCGCAATGAGTTGCAGACCAACGATGTGACGCAAACGAAAAACAATCAAAGCCGGACAGATACACAACAGAAGGAAAGGTAGGCAACCAAGTTGGGAGAAATGTTAATGTTTATTTACTATATTTAAGATTTAACTAGCTGGTCAGCTTGTGTTTGTTTAACCTTACTTTTATTAATATATATAAATTACTCATTTTAATCCACTCGCAAAATGTAATTTTTTTTTATTCTGTACAATTATAATTTCAGCAAAGCTTTAATTTTTCTTAATTCCAAGTTTCATTGCTTAAACTCACTGTTACATAATACATATAATTACATATATATGTATAATTCCCGAAAGCTTTGCTTTTTCTTAATTAACTATCACTTTATATTTTTAAAATTGTATCATATTATTTTTTTTTTAGTGGCGTCGTTTCTGATGTTGCCGCAACCCAGCCGCAGCTAAGGAAGCATCACCAACGATCGCGACAAGGGCGTCAACGTATTTTGGTGCGCAAAGGTTGGTATTAACCATAGTTGGAATTGGCTATATAGATATTGTCATTGTGCGTTTGTTAACTTCCAGGCGAATCTCCTGTTTCAGCGAAATCTGCCGATTTATATGCGGGTAATGGACACACGGACTCTGCCAAGCCCGCTGCACATTTCCACTTGAATCGCAAAGTGCCGCATCACAATGCGCCCATACAAGTTGGCTGTGAGTATTTGAATTCTAGAAGCCACCTTATCTAAAGTTGCAACTAATTTGCTTTTATACACAGCTTATCTGGGTGACATGTATGTGGGGCATGCCACTGCGAGCAGTGATAATCCATGGCAGCAGCACTTCAGCGTCCATAATGGTGTTCTAACCGTCAACCAACCGGGTCTTTATTATGTCTATGCGCAGATCTGTTATAATAATACACACGATGAGAATGGTTTCATCATCTTCCACGGGCATAACGCATTCCTGCAGTGCTTGAATACGGTGCCAACGAATATGCCACATAAGGTGCACACGTGCCACACCAGTGGACTGATTCAGCTGCAGAAGCACGAATCCATACATTTGCGGGATATTCATCAAGACCGAGTTGTGACGCTTAGGGATGCCAACAATCGCAGCTACTTTGGCATCATTAAGATTTAGACACATTGAAAGCTGGAATGTGAACAGCTTAAGCTTTATATCTTAGTAGTCTCGACTACTCGTGAATACGAATACAGCAAAGTAGATGATTAGTTGTAGCTTAGATTTAAGTTATATTCTATATATTACACATGCATATATTCATAGACTAAATACTAAATACTATCATGCATATAATACCATATTTATTTTGTATATATACGATAAATAATTCTGAATGAATTGCCATAATAAAAAAGTTAACGAGTGTATATATTTACTTGACTTACTATGCTTTCTAGACATATTGTAATTCTAGATCGATTAGCTGGGAAATATGTCCTGGTCAAAAGGTTTTTTTTATTTTCATAACGTATAATTTCAATTTTTTGAATTTCGATAAATAATATTGCGATAGTTGGCATTGAACATGTTATCGATCTATGATATACACGAACTACATCGATATTAAATTATTTTAAAGTGGCATCCCTAATTCGAATACACGTGCGGCTTAACAATTATTCTGTGCGGCTGGAATTTCTATTTAACTTAGATTCCAAAGAAAATTGATACATTTCTGTACCGCGTAGCTGTTCCTTGATTGCCGAAATGAGTGACGATGAGTCATCTGATGGTTTGGAGGAGCTGAAAGAGCTGATGGCCGTTTACGCCAAGCATGAAAACAAGTCGGACACAACTCGGACGACGGCGTCTGATAAAAAAGACGCAGTGGAAGCCACGTATGTGGAGGTGCCAACGGAAAAGGTGGTATTCGGCGACATGAAGACGTTTCTCTCCAACTTGGCCAAGTCAGTGGGCAAGAAGCGCGCCAAGCGCGAAGGCGAAAGCAAAACAGTCGCCACTGATAACTATGATGAAGACGAGCAAGAGGAATCTGCCAAGAAACCGAAACCGGCGTGGACAGATTCCGATGACGAGGACATTCAGTTGGGTGATATTAAGCGTGCAACAAGGCACACAGGACCCCTGACACACTTGCGCAAGGACAAATCTTACAAGGAGTATCTCACGGCACGCTTCCAACGCACCGTCAGTCAGCCAAAATGGGCAACGCTCGGGACGAAAACGGAGCACGCCGATTCCGACGGTGCTGACGACGCCTCCGAGGAAGAGCCGCTGCTGAAGACCGTTGGCTTCATCGACCACAAGGCCAAGTCGCGCGGTCTGCGACCCACAAACTTGCAATTCAAGCGGGCTCGCGATCTAAATCGAGCCACATACAGCGAAGGCGTCGTCTCCAGCATTCAGTTCCATCCGACGAGCACAGCGGCCCTGGTCGCCGGCGAGAGTTGTCTGGCGACCATCTACAGCGTCGACGGAGTGAAGAACGAGAAGCTCCACAGCATACGCTTCCACAAGTTCCCGCTGACCTGTGCACGGATTGCGCCCTGCGGTACGCGTGCCTTCTTTGGGTCAGTGCGACCCTTCTACTATTCCTACGATCTGCTCGAGGCCAAGGAGACCAAACTGAAATTGCCCTCCAAGACGAGCTGTATGCGTGTGTTCGAGGTCTCCCCATGCGGCAAATATATCGTGACAGCTGGCAAATTCGGAGCGATCCATCTGCTGACGTCGCACACCAATGAGCTGCTGCACAGCTTCAAGCAGGAGGGTCCGCTGATGGACATGTGCTTTACGGCGGATTCGCAGCGACTGCTCTGCGTCGGCTCCAATTGCAATGTGAATGTTTTGTCGCTGCGCCAGAATCGCATTGAGCACAGCTTCATCGATGATGGCTGCGTCCAAGGCAAATCCATTCAGCTGTCGCCCAATCAACGACTCCTGGCCACCGGCAGCAATGAGGGCGTTGTCAATCTGTACGACTACGAGAGCATCTACAAGTCGGGAGCACCGCAGCCGGAGAAGCGTTTCATGAATCTGCGCACAGCAATCACCGACCTTCAATTCAATCACACATCCGAGCTGCTCGCGATGGGCTCGCGCCTCGTGCCCAACGCCATAAAGGTGGCCCATTTCCCCACCGCAACGGTCTATGCCAACTTTCCCAATCAACAGGAGAATGTGGGCTATGTGAACACCATGGCATTCTCGCCAAACAGCGGCTATTTCGCTATCGGCAGCAAGGGCAAAAAAGCGCCACTCTTTAGACTTAAACACTTCAAAAACTATTGAATAATGGATTTGTAAGCAGAACGTTTTTAAATGGTATCAAAAATATAATCTAAAATGTTTTGGTTTTCTTTTCTTGTTAAACTAAACTCGTAGCAATGTCTGCGAATATGAAATTTATTTATCATTTATTGAATTTGTGTCAAACAGCTGTGAAAAGGCTAGATGATCGGCACTAGCATTGCAGGAATTCATCTGCCTCTTACTGCTATTGGTACTATTCACCACGGCTAGAAACTCACCTTGCTCAAAAGCTTAAATCAGTTGGAATCTATTTATTTATTTAATGTCAGCTAAAGTCGGTCGACACAAAAAAAATACTAAAAAATAAGAAACATTTATAATATATCTGGGGTTGCTTAAATGGAAACAACACTTGTTGCATTAATTGGGTAAATCACAGGAAAAAATCCAATCAGACCTAAAAAATAAGATTTACCATGAATTAGTTAAGGTCCCCCACAAAAGTCATGAAAAAAACAGAAGTATGAGTAAGTTTGGGAAATTAATGTGGCTCATCAGAGTAGCGGAATCGATTTCACCATATAGTGAAAACACAAAATAACACCTAGTTAAGGAGGGAAAGTTAAAAGGGAACCGTCTGTCGGCGTATGGAGGTAAAGAGCAGAAAATAAGGAATTCTGCAGAGATTCGTATTCCAGAATGGAACGCACAAGAGAGGGGAAAAGTATTTTGGTCGTATAAGAATCGGTCATCAAATTCCTTTGAACATGACAGGCTTTGTTGACTGTATTCCATGAGACAATTGAAATGATCAAGAAGTAAACCTATATCATTTGCATTTACTGCAAGCACGAAATAAAGTGATCCCCGTTGAGTAATTACAAATAGAAAAATAGGTTTTATTCAAGAATTAATTTAACTTCTTTTAAATATTTTGATCCTTAATAAGGGGCGCGAAAGATGTCGCGTTTTTGGGTCTCGTGTATTTTGGCAATGTCGTCAAGTTTCTTGCAGATGTCCTTCGATTGCGACTCGACCCATTGCAGCGAGTTCATGTGGGCGTTGAGTATCTTGCCAATTTGGATGATGGGATCGGTGCTGTCCTGTCCCTTGTTGGCCTCATTCAGATTGTCGATGACCTCCTTGAGGTCCTCGGACATTTGCTTCAGCTGTGTATCCAGATTCTCGACCATCAGGTAAGTCTGACTGCGCTCCTGATCAACGCGCGGCAGATTGGTGAACTCCTTCTCCAACGGCAGCAGACTCTCCTCCAACTCCTTGTGCTGCGTGGCAATGAATTCCAGCTCCTGGTCGAGCACCTGTTGATCGTTCTTCACCTTTTGGACGGCATCGTTCAATTCGATGATCTTCTGATTGTTGCCAATGAGCAGCTTGTCCCAAGCATTTATCTGTGTCGCCTGCTCGGTGAAGACCTTTTCTTGCTCCTCAAACTCCAGCGTCCATTTGTTAATGTGCTCCTCCAGCTGATTGTATGTCAATTGCGATGCATTTAACACTGCAGCAGAATCGGTGGTCTTTGTCGCCGTGCTCAGGTTGGCAAAAGTGCCACCACCCACCGGGGCAGCTGCTGCGCTGCTGACAAGCGGCGCCACAGCGGCTGAAACGGGCGCCACAGATGAAGTGCTTTTGGCTGCCATCGAGATGCCGCCAATGAGTGGATTTGCTGTGGGTGCAGGAGCAGCACCAGCAGCAGCAGAGGATGCGACAACTGCTGTCGTTGCTGTTGTCACCGGCTGTGACATAAATCCACCAACTGGCAATGCAAAGTTCATTTGTGGTGTGTGAGCGGGTGCAGATGTTGCTGCTACTGCAAAGTTTGATGCAGTTCCTCCGAGACCGGTTCCAAGGCCAGTTAATGGCGCCGTTGCTGCTGATGCCGCTGCTGGCGAGCCGAAGCCGGTGAATGGTGGCGGAGCCGTCTTCACACTGTCCGCATCGCCACCGCCCAAAGTGGGAGCTGCTGCGGCAGCTGGTGCGGCAAATGAGAAAGTGGGTTTGGCGGGAACAGCGGCGCCGGGATTTGCTGTGGCTGGTGCGGTGTTCAGGCCAAATGAGAAGCCAGTTGCGCTGGCTGCCGTTGTTGTCGTTGGCAATTGGAATGCCATTTTAGTTTTAGCGAGCGTTGCCAGATGTAATACAAAATTAATAAACTAATTTAATGCACGCCGCAACACGCAAAACAAGCAGATAGCAGTTTCGATATCGAATTTATCGATTGTTGCACACTGCAGTGTTGCAAAACCTTGACATACATTTGGTATTTTTTAGAGCCAACTCGTTGGGAATTAACAATAACAAATACAATCGCAAATTAAACCGCCCGCGTAAATCTCAACTTACTAGTATTAATTAAAAATGCTGGTATTGCACAATATACACTTAAGTGTTAATATTTCGTTCGTATCTGAATTGTTTTGATTTGTGAATAGCCCCAAGAGGTTTGTGTTGGTATCTATAAGTGCCTGATAAAAAATCATTTGGGTCAAGAATTTAATTACAGATTTTTCAATTATTTGCCATTGAAAATTTAATTATTAAGCGCCATGCACTTCATGCAACTACATTAAACAGTAAACAAAAAAAGAAGTTAGCTGATATACTTTCGCGTTGTTTCAGCAAAATGTTGGATAGTGTATAAGGCAATCGACTGAGTGCCTTGCTCTGATAACCTGGCGAACTTGCGCGACGTAGTTGAACCGATAAGGAGTCTTTTGAGATTCCCTGCTGCGCTGCTCAGTCAATGTTTGTCTGCTCTTCAATTCACAGTTAAGAACCACCCGCTTGCTGCCTGCATGTCGTTACGGGGCAAACAGCGTTATCTGAATTGAAGCCGAACTATATAAAAACCAGTAATTGCTGTCCAAACAGGTTGCATTTCGAGTGCACAGCTCTAAGAAGCAAGTTCAGAATGTTGTATGCTCTGGTTCCACTGCTACTGCTGCTCCACGAAGGATTGGCCCTCGACAATGGCCTGGCACTAACGTAATGTTTATAACATATATAAATGATTTTTAATTTTTATTGTATTGCTGAAAATAACGCCAATTGCAGACCACCAATGGGCTGGATGTCCTGGCAACGTTTCCGGTGCATAACCGATTGCGACACTTATCCGGATGAGTGCATAAGGTGAGAGGAGGTGGAGATCTTCTCTAGAAGATCTTTATACATGATACCTACTCATAATTATATATACCATATCTAGATCGATAGCTATAGAGATGCACAAATACTTTTATTTTCCATATAAATCACTTAAATTAATTTTTATATATTTCACTACCATTTTAGCGAGCAGTTATTCTCTCGTCATGCGGATTTGCTGGTTTCGGAGGGTTATGCTGCTGCTGGCTACGAGTACGTTATTATTGATGATTGCTGGCTGGAAAAGGAACGCGATCAGAAGACAAATAAATTGGTTCCGGATCGCAACCGTTTTCCTCGTGGGCTAAATGTGCTCGCTGACCATGTGCGTAACTGGTGTCCATTTAAATTGACTCCCATTAATTTAATTATGATTTTCAATGCGACAGATACACAACAAGGGTCTCAAGTTTGGCTTGTACCAGGACTATGGCACAAATACGTGTGCCGGCTATCCGGGCGTGATCAATCACATGGAACTCGACGCGCAAACCTTTGCCAATTGGGATGTGGACTATGTGAAGCTGGACGGCTGCTATGCGAATGTCAGCGACATGGCCTTGGGTTATCCAGAATTTGGACGACTGCTTAATTCGACGGGCAGACCAATGGTTTACTCCTGTAGCTGGTAACAATGCAATCAATACTTTCTACTTCAATTGTAACTGCGATTTTGTGTATGCGACGCAATCAAGGCCTGCCTATCAATCGGAACTGAACGAGTTGCCCGACTTTGAATCGTTGAAGAAGCACTGCAATCTGTGGCGCAACTGGGATGATATTGATGATTCCCTGGAATCGGTAATGCAGATCATGGATTACTTTGGCAAAAATCAGGAGAGCATGCAGCAACATGGTGGCCCCGGGCATTGGAACGATCCCGATATGCTCATCCTGGGCAATTACGGACTCAGCTACGATCAAAGCAAACTACAAATGGCCATTTGGGCGGTGCTTGCAGCGCCACTAATCATGTCCAATGATTTGGCCTATGTGCGACCAGAAATCAAGGAGATCCTACAAAATCGGTGAGTCACATTCAATTCAAAGTGAATGCCATTACTATGATTACTACTCTCTCAGGGATGTCATTGCTGTCAACCAGGATCCGCTGGGCATTCAAGGCAGACGTTTGCTCTTAAAGAACGACATTGAGGTAGTTATTGAGTTCAATTGTTATTCTTTGCCTCATTCTGCTAAATTGTTAATATCTCTTTTTTTATTTTTGCATTTGCAGGTCTGGCGACGACCGATCACGCCGCAGACCGATGGTAATGAATACTCCTACGCCGTGGCTTTTGTCAGTCGCCGGACGGACGGTGCTCCCTATAGCATCAAGTTTACACTCAAAGAAGTAAGAATGATGTAGTCGCATCAGCTCGACTACTATATACCCTAAGCTAAAAGTTATGCATACTCGAATGTAAGCATGCGGAGAAGTCCTGCAGTGTAGAGTACAAAGGCAGGAAAACAAGTTAGGCGCTTTTATTTATTCATAATAATAAGGAAAACAAGCTGGTGATACTAGTGAGATCAATCAATCAGAATGAGAATGATTTTTCGACTATAACTTGGTGTTTCTTATCCGATCTTGATGATAATTGTCCAGTTAATCAGAAATATGTCAGTGAACATTGTAAATCTTTTAGAAGCCTCTGCATTTATTTAATAGTAGATTATGTCTAAATGTATCGATATTCGCGAAATGTGGAAACTTGTCGAAAAAATGGAATAAGTTTGATCTGCCAGGAGTATAGGCCGACTTATATTCTAAATTTGTGAGTCTCTGCCAAGATCGACTCGACTGTTGATCCTGATCAGGAATATAAATACTTTATGGGGTCGAAGTTGTTTCCTTCTGTCTGTTGCATACTTTTGCACAAAACCATTATACCCACTTTTAGCAATTTCAAATAGGTACTGGGATAAAAAGCGAGCAACCGAGAAGCAATTATCTTAACTATTAATAATATAATTTATTTACTTTCAGTTATCGCTGAAAAATAAGAATGGCTACGCCGTAAAGGTAAAAAATGATAAATGCTGTTTCTTCACTTTAACTTTAATTAATATTAATTTTGTCTTTCAGGATTTGTTCGATTCGAATACCAATTTGGGTGTCTTTCAATCGGAGAGTTATTTTAGTACACGTGTCATTCCCAACGGTATTTATTTAGTTTGTCTCTCAACTAAAGCAAAACGCAAACTAATTGAAACATTTTCTTGTTTTTTAGGCGTCAATTTCTACAAGTTTACAGCGCTGTGAAGCGAATTTATAGATAAATAAATAAATCGAAAAATATATTCGTATTGAATTTGTTTTGTTTATTTGCATTTTACAAACAATTAGCATATGCATTTTGCATATTATGTTGCATAAATACAGTGTTCTATTGCAAATTTATTAGGCGTAGATTTAAATTCCGACACTAGGTAAAAAACGAAAGTGATGATATAAATAAAAGTTGACTTCATAAAATGACAATTAACCCAGTAATTAAAGAAAATATTGCAGGAAGAGAGGAGAGAGAGAGAAAGAGAGGTAGAGGCGTCCATATCCACCCAAGTTAAGAAGCTAATGTTTAAAAAAGAGTCGAGTCGAGATAATTCGACTTCGTTTGATCCATTTTAGCTTACGCCTTATATCCGATCCGATGTGGCTAAGTAGTATGAAAGTTTATGGTGAACTTTATTATTATTGTCAAGTTTTAAGTAGTTCAGCGCGAGCAGGGAAGGGGAGAGGGGAAACCTTTTTCTTGGGGAAATGGGGATGGGGAGGATGGGGGCTAGCTAGTGTACACCATTCGTGATGGTGGGGGTGCGATCGTAGCTGCGCCTGTGCAGCGCATCCACATCCTTCAGGTAGTAGGTGCCCGGCGACAAGGCACTGATGCTGCCCGTCGGTGTATATGGCGCCGCGTGATTGTTCCTCTCGCGCACCTCCATTAGGGCCGAGAACTGCTCGGGTGCGATCTTCTCGCGTGCATTCAGCAGCGGCAGCACATAGTCCAGCTTGGCCACAAACTTCTCGAAGGCCGTCACATCCTGGGTGACTTTGATGGAATACATGGAGGCAGCCAGACCGGAGCCATAGGAGAAGACACCAATGCGCTTGCCCACCAGATCGGCAGCTGGTCCACCAATTAGCAGCGAGACGAGGCCGGAATAGACCGAGGGCGTGTACATGTTGCCCACTTGATTTGCCAGCAACAGTGACTTCTTGGTCTTGGAAGCAAACACCTCGGCGGACTGGGCGAGGAACGCCTTCTCCACATCCCGGTCAAAGTAAGTGCTCTCCAGTGTGGCACTGTTGAAGCGCTCAAGTCCAGCAAAGTGCTCGAGACGCTGCTGCTCGCTGCTCAGCAGGAAATCGTTGAAGCTCAAACGACCCACAGACTTCTGGACCAGTTTGCAGAATGGCGTATGGAACAGGATGGCATCAAAGTTCTGCAGACCCCGTTGGGACTGCTCCGGATGCTGTTTCTCGAACTTCTTCCGGTAGAGGCGATAGCAGATGTCCAGTGCCGACAGATAGCACTGAATGGATAGTTTGCCATCGACCGTCGGGTACTCGGAGCTCAGATCGGGCTTGTAAAAGTCATAGGCATGCTCCATGTGCGTGGCACGCAATCCCCTTTCGAAGATCAGCGCCGCCTGTGGACCCACCAGCATGGCGATGGCGCCAGCGCCACCTGTTGGACGCGCCGCCCCCTTGGCATAGACGGCGATGTCGGCACAAACGGCGAGCGCATAACGGCCATCCCAGCTGGATGACTCGATCCAGTTGAGGGCGTTGAAGAGAGCGGCGGTGCCGCCATAACAGGCATTTGTGGTATCGATACCTTCGATGTCGGTGTTGCCACTCTCCGCAAACAGTTGCATCAGCACCGATTTCACCGATTTCGATTTATCGACAATCGTTTCGGTGCCGACTTCCAGTCGACCAATTTCCGTATGCTTGATGTGATGCCTCTCCAGTAGTCGACTGACGACGGTCAGGCACAACGAGTTGACATCCTCGCGATCCGAACAGAAACCCATTTTGGCCTGGCCCAGGCCAATTGTGTACTTGCCGGCGGATGCGCCATCGAACTGTTCCAGTTCCGCTTGGTCCACATATTGCGCGGGGAAGAGCACTTCAATTGCGCGTATTCCAACATTTTCTGGCCATCTACTCGACATGGCTATATGATTATATATTAACTAATTGCTGTGTGTTTCTGTCTGTTTTCCTGAGCTCTGCAAATAGTGTTTGGTTTGTAAACATTATTATTCGATTATCATATTTGGAATGCACTAAGAAAATAAATGAATGAAATTCCAGTGCGCTTTGTGTCGTCATAACTTTCACCTCTTGAATATTCTGCGCAATCAGAAAACAATCGTTATTTAATTTATGCATATTGCTTTTTTTTTTTTGGTAAGTTGGGAAACATTTAAATCAACATTGAATCGGCGGCATTCAGGCAATGTAAACCCAACTGTTGCACGCTCGAGCTACGCTGAACATGCGCCAGCAGCGACGTCTACGTCGACAGCAGCAGCGGCAGCGACGGCGCTGTAATTCGAATTTCGATTTCGCTGTGAGCTTTTTAGACACGCCAGCTTTAAATGCGAACAGCAGACAGACCGACTGACGAACAGACAAATTGACTGACTGACAGACAGACTGGCGGACAGACAGCGAGTTGAGCATTATACCTAAAAGCATTCAGCAACAACAACATTCAGAAAGAAGCATTAAAATCAGGTGGAGAAACTTTCACCATGCTGTGGAACTTAACTTAAAGAGAACACAAAACTGAAGAAGCACCAACAACAGCGACAACAACTAAACCAAGTCGCAACACACAAATTATTTTTAGTTTTTTTTTTTTGTACAATTTTTTAAGTTTGCTTGAAGAAATTCTACATTTAATAGTATTTTTTTATTATTTAATATTCTTTCTTTTGCATATTGAATTTAACTTCATTCATTGCATACTATTTTTAAGTTACAATATCGAAACTTTTATTGTGAAATCAAACTTATATATATCTACATATATATATATTTTATACATATATATTTCATATATATATATATTATATATATATTTAAGTTCATATATATAGTATAATAAAATCGGACGGCGTAAACAAAAGTAAAACCTGATTTTACATATAGTGTCAATTCTAATTAATTCTAATTAGACGTGATAAAAATATCAAAAAAAAAAACTTGCTAAATACATTTCCACACACTTTGCATTTCATTAACAAACTTTACATAAATCTCTTTCTCGCTTTTTCACTTTGTTTTTGGGGCTGCGATGGATGGGTTTCTGATTGGTTCAGATTAGGTTAGTGGGTTGTATTTTAAGCGGGCCAATATTGTATAATTGATAAGAAGCGCGGCCCTTCCCCTAACCAAAACAGTGTCATGTTTACCGTTACTGTTAGCACCTGACACAAAATCTCAAATACCGAAACCGTATTTTTTTTCTTTGGTTTGTCTGTTTTCACTTTTAACGTTTTGTATTTGTTCGTCGATCGATTGACTAACTGAGTTGCTGCTTGCCTACGTTACGCGTTCCACACTCGAGCGAATATCTTCGCAGACTGAACAGCGCCGTGCTAACAGCAGCAGAGGTGTATGTGTATGATCAACGGCGACGCCGACGCTAACGTCAGCCTCAGCAGCGACGGCGACTGAGCAGCACTTGTGGGGTGCGCTGTAAGCCAATGTCAAATGACTTGTGCATAACAAAAGGTGCACAATAAGAAAGAACAGTTGTCTTTGTAAATTTCTTAACACTGAATGAAAAAAAAAATCGCTTTAGCTTATGCTAATTTGGGTATTTCTTTTTTTTTGGTTTTACCTAAAAAGCTATTTATGGCTTGGTTACAAAGATAACGCAGAGCATGAAAGACGAACTTCTAAAAAAAAGCGCTGATCATACGATTGCTGATAACCGCCCATTTATGACCGAGTATTGCCGACTGCTGGCCGGTAAAATGTACAAAGGCAAAGCAAGGCAATATCCGACATCGACACTTGAGCTTTATTGTATGCCCATTATTCCAGTCAGCTGAGGATTTGAGTGTGAGCGGGTTCAATGTTATGGAAATGCATGCGATGTTTATGCAATAAGGAAGACATACAACCGACAAGCAGACAGACAATCGGACAAACAATTGTCTTGGTTTATTTATAGATACTGGAGAGATAGTTGTGTGTAAGTAAACACTGCCAGATGGAAAGCGCTCACAATTGGAATGGGAATTGTTGCGCCAATGTATACACAACAATCCATTCAGTTAATTGTTTGACTTTGCGCTTCGCTGAAAGCTGCTTGAGTCATAGCTAAATTTCGCAACCAAATTCCACTTTTTGCATATCGGGCAAAGGTTAACAAAAAGGTCTTTAAATGCCATAATTATAGCGCACGTGTACCTTTTGTAATGTACTGCAATTGTACTATTATGAAACAGCTAACAAAATTTGATTTGATTTTCTTTACTCCAGAAACTCTAACAACTTTGGAGACAATTGAGACAAATGGGACAATTAAAGCAGGGAATACATTATTTTTTTATGGTTTTCTTAAATGGCTTTCTCATGATTAATTCACATGTTAAGTTTTAAAATAAACACCAACAGCGGCTCATTAAATTCCTAAGTAGTCATTTCGCCCAAATTTTTTAACAGAAGAATAACTTGTATGCTTTAGTGGTGCACACTAATTGAAAATCACTGGTATTCACTTACAAAATTCGGTATGGTATTGCGACGCTGTGTGTGCCAAAAAATAGGATTAACTAAACTAAACTTTAATAATTAGGCACGCAGCGGAGGCGCCTACATAGAGACCGAGCAGTGTGTACACACAACTAACTGACTGGCCTGTAAACAGCTGTTTGGCACAGTGTCTGCACACGACGTGGATGAAACGATATATTATTTATCGACTATCGTCACTTATCACGTGAATCTCATGTGGAATTTGTGAATTGTCATTTTTGTGTTGAGTTTCTACCAGAGACTTGTGCTCCGTTCGTACGTGCATTGTGGGTGGTGCGGTTGTGTTGCTTGATTTTCTAATACATTTTCAAAGCACAAAATCAAAAACAGTGTCTTTCTATCTGCCTGAAGTGTAGTAGTGCCGCTTAAATGTAAGTGATTGCGCCAACAAAGCAACTTCAACGTTGCAAAAAAAAAACCGAGTCGTTTTTTGTTGCTTGCGACAGGTCTGCTGACCTGTTATCAAATGCTCAACTGTACAGCGACGTGAGAGCAACAGCAATGCAAGTGCCTAAAAGTCAAATTGATACATTGCAAAATGCATAAATCTCTGTGTATAAGTGCAAAATGGAAGTGACCCTGAAAAACTGTTGCCTCGCCCGCTTTTTCAGCGACTTTTTGGGGGCGCAATGCAAATTTGGTTGCATATGCGACTTGTGAATGCAAGTATAATTAAATGACAAACAATCGTCTGCGGTTTTAAATGGAAAATATGTTGGCAATTAGCTAGTTAGTTTGTTTTTAAGTTGTAAAAACCCGTGAGAAAAAGAAAATATCGATCGAAAAGCTGTCATGTGACTGTCACACGAACAGCTGACTGTGCGCTCTGAACTCAACACGCTTGTGTTTGTGTGTGTGTGTGTTTGTGTCTGGGGCCGTGGTGAATAGCCGTCGGCCGCTCTCCACGTTCTCTCTCTTTTGCTGCCTGTTATTCTCTAATACTGCGTAAACAAACTATCAAGCTGTTAATTTTGAAAAATCATTTTGCATGCTCATATTAATTAAAATTATGAGCTCTTCCTAGTATTCATATACAAACACACATACATATAGAAGCGTCTATATTTTATTGACCTCTTGCCACAAGGACTACACATCAAATAGTGATATTGCGTGCCGCAAAGACCTTGACTCCGTCGACCAGATATAAACGGAAAGTCAAACATGCTTTTGGACAATCGTACATATTTGCCTAGCCAAAAAAAAAAAAAAAAACAAAGCACAAGTGTCAGCAGCAGAGCGACACGAAAACAGCTGCTGGGCTTACACGACTTTAAAGGCTCAGCGAAAGGCGACATTGAAAATGCCGTTATTTTATTTTACTGGCACCACACATTATTATTAATTAATTTGGGGCGCCCACCCGCTAACAACAGTTACAATGTACATGTGTGTGTGTGTGTCATTAACATCATCACAGTTATTTTGTTCTTTATTTTGCTTTTCGTCATCACATCAGCGAACATTGCAATTTCCTGTGTAGAGTCCCTAGAACCGTTACACTACCCACACACACGTACACACACACACATACTTGCGACAGCCGTTGGCCAGTCTGACTGGCGACATGCTCGCTTGTTTTTATTGCTGCTCTTTTTCCTTTTTTAGTATGTCAACATCATTTACGTCTGTTTACAGTTGGAGTTTATCTAACAAACAGTGTTGCCATCTTGACCAATTTTCAAATTAGATTTTCCAGTTTGGAAAGTACTTATATTATTAAATTAAATATGTTCTTATAAAATTACGATAACATTTTATATGCAATAGTTAATTAAGATCCAAGTAAAACATTTTGCCTTTTGCTTTTGTATAACAAACTTTTTTGCGGGGGGGCACTGTGAATGATATGCTCTCCCTCAGGAAACATGGAAACACATGTACACACACACAAATACATATACAAATACACTTACATGGAAGCATAACTGCCTGCCCCCGCTTGCGCCCTGCTTCCCTCTGTTGCTGCCTAGTGATTTGTACAAAAGCAATTTAGATTTCACTGCTAAAAATAGTCACGTTTTGTTGTTGCTTTTCCCCAGCGGTTGCCAGGCTCATAATTTTTGTTTCCTGGTTGAGGACAATGCACTGCCTTGAAAAGTTGTTTGGAGTTGTTGTTGTTGTTGCTGAGTAAGGATAGTTAAATGGTGGCAGGGGGGAATAATGGTGATGTTGCCTGCTAACATTATTGGGGATGGTCAGCAATGGAATCGGTTGTCAGTTTGTCTGTTTATTTTATTTTACATATGTAAAAAAGTATGGAAAATTATAGCCATAAAGGAGTGCTGTCCTTGAACTTTAAAATCGTATTCTCAATTGCTGATCGAATATTGAACTTATATTTAATTTAATATACGAGTATTCTACATTATTATTATTAATTTTTAATAATTTTAAGTGGAACAAGAATTATTCTGAATGAAATCGAAAGTGAGCACAGTGAGTTTTTTTTGTTAGATCCCTTTGAAGGCCAACACGACGTTGTGTAATGATAGCCACTACTGAAATGAAATTGACCAAAGTTAGATTTGTATCTCCTGATGATTACTCATACGCTGCTGACCTTACAGCGAGTCAACAATAACAGGAACAACTGCCAACACAGAAGAGCAATGGTGGCGACACTTACCAAATTGAACAGGCAGCTTGCGTGACGGCTGCTTCGTCATCGATTCCTTTTGTTTCATTCGTCTGACTGCGCCTTTTCAACACCAACACCAACAGCAACGGCAACGGCAACAGCAACACACAACGGCAGCAGCAACAGCAACGGCAACAGCACAAAAAAAAAAAACGCAGCCATATGGCTGGCAGCAGTGTCGGCGCCAAACAGTTCCAGCAGTGCTCATTTCGCGGCCAGTCTTCGACGAGTGCGCACGTTTAACGCACGCAACGCGAGTGTGTTTTCAAAGTCAGTCAGAGTCAGAGTCGTAGTTCAAGTTTTATTTATTGCTGCCAACTGATAAATAAAATAAAACAATGCCCAAAAGTCTGCACCTCATACAGATTGAGAGGCTGCTGACAATATTGTTGAAACGCAAGCACTGTTAGGATAGTAAGTTCAAATATATATTTTATATATAATGCGCACACATTGCGTATGGACTTAGACAGGACACAAGTCTGCCTGGCGCCAATTGTCTGCGCTTTGTTGTCTGCCAGGCGCCCAAAAAAACCACACACACACATACAGTGTGTCTCCGGGGCCAATGAAATGCATATTGAGGGTCGATTTTTAATTTTAAGCTGACTAACTTATTGGGAGGTCAACAATCTAAATTTTATGTCTTTTTCAAGTATACAAATATGTAAAGACTTTAAATCGCTTCTGTCTAAATAATATATAATGCATAAATCTTAAAGCAATCAATTAAATTAACACGGAACTATACTCAGCAATCTAAAAACATTTTCAAATTTGTTTTATGGAATGAATTTTAGTATTTTAAATATTTTTCCGAACGTTTTAAGTATATATCTTTTGTAAAAATTACAAATATGATTTAAAGATATATAAACTGTTTTAATAGGCGGAAATTCATAAATTGTAATTTGAAATTTTCTTTGCTGCAGTTATCAAAATGATGTCCGAATATTGGATTATCTCGGCGCCTGGCGACAAGACGTGCCAACAAACCTTCGACACGATGAACAACCTCACCAGCAAGCAACATAGTCTATGCAGTAACTACAAGTTCCATATACCCGATCTGAAGGTGAATACAATAGATAAACTCGCACTGGCTTCCACATTTAATTAACTCGTGTATTTTTGTGTGCTTTTAGGTGGGCACCTTGGATCAGTTGGTTGGGCTGTCCGATGATCTGGGCAAACTGGACACGTATGTGGAGCAGATAACGCGCAAGGTGGCCATGTATTTGGGGGAGGTGCTAGAAGATCAGCGCGACAAGTTGCACGAGAATCTGCAGGCCAACAACAGTAAGTACCGGCTAAGAAGCACAGTTATTATTATTAGAATTAAAATTGAGTTTTTAGCCTAGCTTAGCTTAGTTTAGTTTAGTACAATTGCAAAATTTACAGTTAGCGTGATTAGTTATTTCTTAGCTGATAGTAGCGTACAATTTATATCTATACATTTTTTACAAAACGGAATGCTCTGAAAAAATACATTTTTATACAAATATACTCGTATAATGTCTCATCTCTATTGTTTTCCACAAACTATTACTAACAAACAAGAACAACAACCCGAACCACAATCACATTAAACTACGAATAAAACCCTTTTAAAATAATAAATATACATATATACACACTACATATATTAAATAATACCTACAGTCCCCCCCGCCCGTCATATTCTTCTACTTCCTGTGAGACTTGAGTATCAGCAAGAATTGCTAGAACCAACAGATACGAGAGCAAAACAGCTTCTGAAATGTGGAATGTTTATGGTTGGATGCAATATCTCTATATATATATATACACATACATACATAAGTATTATGTCTCCTGACAACTCCTTCAGTTTGACTAACACTCCAACAAAAAATCTATTTTTATGATTAAGACTTTCAGCTGAAAACTTGTAGGTTTTTTCTTTAATTATTATGTTGATATGTTTTTTTTTTATCGTTTCTTCAATTATTTTTATAAGTTTTCTTTACTCGTTTTTTGGGTTTTCCTTTATTACTATAATTTTTTATTTCTGAATTGGTTATTACTCTTATGTTGAAACTCATGCGCACAAATCATCAATCACGACCAAAAAGAAATGATATGAAAATAAAATTGATAAATGTTTTACAATAGTAATATAGTATATATATATAACAACAATGGAACTAAAGTTCAGAACTGTAAGAAAAAAAGAAAAGTGAAGAGAATTTGAGTTGTTTATATTTTATGTTGCATTTGTTGTACATCCCCTCTAATAACTATTCTATCTATCCACATGCACTACATGCCCAATACTCACACAAACATACATCTAGCTATATAGTTAACAGCAAGACTAAAGCCAACTCACATTAACACACACTCAAACACACACACTCACAACTTGAAGCAGGCTCGTAAATACAAATTCCCCAAACTGATCTATTCTAAAAATCGCTAAACTCTCTCTCCGAGTGCCAAACACTTTGTATATTTTACATGAATTCTACTTAAATATTGTTGTACATTTTTCTTTTAAATTTTTAATATTAAATATCTTGGTTTCTTCTTTTTTTTTTAAATTCTGTTGTGAAAGCCCGTTAGTTTTTAAATCACTAATAAAAATAGTACTAATCTAAATAAAATAAAAAAAAACCAAACAAATTCTTTAACTTGCAATCTTATAAAGTAATAAAATTATAAAAAAAAATGTATATCAAGAATATCATGATGCATATAGTATTTACATATATTCTTAAATATGATCTACTCGGGCTAAAAAAAAGAGCGCGTGTTTTTTCTTTTATTTATTTTGAGTTTATGTTTTCAAAATTTTTAGTTTTCTTTCTTTGTTTTTTATTTTATATTTTTACAATTATCATTATAAAATGCGTGCGTGAATAAAAAAATACAATTATTTTATTTTAAATATATACATGTACGTGTGTGTGTGTGTGTGTGTGTGTGTGTGTGTGTGTGTGATATGTGTTTGTATGTGTGTGTGATTGCTGTGCTGTTGTGTGAGCCATTCTCTTGCCACCCCAAATAAACATCGCATACATAGTTTTCTGTGCTCTCTGTTCGTATACAAAACACACATCTCTATTAATAATATTTATAATATTAATAACTGTACATTACCTATTACTAATACTTTACGCACCTGATCTCATGCTCACTCTGTTTGTGTACATGTCTGTGTTCGTGTGTGTGCTTGCGTGAGTGTGTGTGTCTCTGTTTGTGTTGTGCTCTGTGTGTTTTGCCATTCACATGTTTACCTCGCTTTTTTTAGCATCCATTTGCCGTAGCTGAATCGTATTGAGAAAAATTCGTTAAAAACAATAATATAACGCTTTTACACTGTACAAAAACAATTGATTTGATTTGTATGTTTTACGAAATGAATTCTATAAGCAAAATTTTTGGACCAAATCATCAAATGAGAAAAATTGAAGAAACAGTTTTTCTTGCAACATTCTTTCCACTGTTGTTCACGAAATTATATACATCTGTATATTTTGATTATATTGACTTACAAAAAAAAAAAACAAACAAAATTATATCCACTCATGAGTTTGAATATATATATATATGTATATGTATATATATACGTATATAAAATTTATTATTTTCGTTATTGAAAATTTCAGTTCATCTCTTAATTTATTACTTATAATTTTTGTTTACTTTTTGGCCTTTGTTTCATAAATCTGATGGAGTCGCGAAAGTGTTTCGTTCTTCCTTTATTTACTTCTTTTTTAGATGTCTAGGGTTGAACGTATGTCATAGCCCCAAAATGTATGCTATAGATTTTAAGTTCATGAACAAAAATGATTTCTTCTCTATGTATGTTTTATTTTTTTTTAAACCTGATACCTGAATCTGAATCTGAAACCGAATTCCAAATTGAAATTAAAAATCGCACTCAAAAATCAACTGCCTTAATTAACAAATCGATCGACAACAATTGGACGAATCCTTATGCCCCATTTTGTGGCTGGCAACAACAGGTCCTGGCCCGCCTGATGAAATCATACCGTGTCGACATCACAATCGCCTGAAGCATCTGAGCCTGCGCCACCAGCGTAAACACCAGCACACGCACCACCAAAACAATCCTTTACACTATCAGACCCAACATCACCATCAGCTGCCCGCGGATCTCAAGGGTAAATGCTACAACTCAACAAAACCAACAGCAACCACATTAACTACCAGTTGCAACACCTCCTACAATACGCATGCAGCCTCCGCCTCAGCCTCCGCATCCGCCTGTGCCTATGCCTCAATCTATGCCACGCCAGCTCGAGCCAGTTGCAATGTTTGCCATTTGAGCGGCGGCAGTTTAACAAATTTATCCTCAACGCACGATGAGTCTGAGCGTGATTTTGATTTTGTGATACCGCCGGCGATCTGTGGCTGCGACGAATGCTATGCGCTGAGCAGCAGTTGCAGTGTCCTGTCGCCGCCCAGCGCCAGTGCAACAACCAGCACACTAATGGCCGATGAATGCTATTCCCAGACAGCTTCCTCCATGCTGAATGCGACGCGTTGTGCCATCAATACGGTGACAGCCATTGCCACTGGCAGCAGCATGGGCACAGCTGCAACAGCTGCAACTGCAAATGCAGCAGGCGCACCAGCAACAACACCAACCACATCTGCAACAACAGCAGCAGTAGCAGGCATAAAAACAGATGGAGCATCTTCATCGACTCTTTGCTCGTCGGCTTATTTCTCAACGTCGGCGCCAACAGCAAGCACGGCTAGCTCCTCGCACAGCATGTCGCGCTCTAATAGCAAAAAGCTGAATAACAACACATGCAGCATAAACAATAACAAGCTGAGCTTTCGTAGCAGCAGCAGTCACATCAGTCAATTGCCACAGCAGCAGCAGCCCCAACAACAGTCACCCAAGCAGCATCTGCAACAGTTGCAGCTGCAGCAACAGCAGCAGCAGCAACAATCGCCGCCGCTGCTGTCGCCCACAGACAAATCCTATTGCGATACGGATGAGGATGTGGAGCTGGACGATCCAAAGAGTCCGCAAAGCGCCTCCTCATTATCCGAAACATTCGACTGGTGGTTCAATAAGCCGAAGCGTAACTCTAAGAAGTGCAGGTATCTTTTATCATCGCATTCACTTATCTCTGTAGAACAGTTGCCAAACAAACAAAAAAAAAAAATACAAAAAAAAAAAAAAAATCAGCACCACCCGAAAACTCTTGCCAAATGCCAGTCATCCAATCACTCCAAAAGTTTGCAGTCATACACAGTACACATACCACACACACCCACACTGAATACACTGTAAAAAAAACGATATGACATATATGCACCTGCTTTGCGCTCTCTCTCTCTCTCTCTTTCCTACTCTCCCTCTCTCATGCATAAATGTTTGATTTCATTAATTAAAAGGATGAACCATTCAAAATGCAATAATAATGTATTTTCTTTTTTTAAATCATTCACGGCATCAACTCACATTCCACTCATCGTAAAAAAAAAAAAAAATACCAAATGCACCTAAAATGAACACTAAACAACACACAAAAATTACACTAAACTACACACAGCAGCGCAAAATTACAACCACAAACACAGATACAGATACAATCACAAACACAGACACAAACCAAAACACTTACAAATCCAAAACCAATGACATTTTGGCATCAGACATCGCCCACACCGCGCTCTAGTTATCGCTCTTTCTTCAATTCTCTTGCCGATCAAATTTATAGCAAACGTTCTACACCGAGTCAATTAAATATAAACAATGGATTTAATTTAACACCAACTCATAGATCGTCTCCAGTGAGTAGTTGTTGTGGCAGTAGTAGCCAGGGGCGTTCCAGTCCAGACACGGATCTTGCCGAGCCGCCCGAATTTCCGCTGAGTCCAGGTTAGCATGCCTGGCTATATATACACTATACATATATATATATATTCATATATATCTTATATGTATATATGTATTGGTATAATGGCCCTTGGACGTTGCTTTCTTTATTTTTCGGTTTCTTTCCGCTTTTCCGTTGATTTTCCTTCTCATTTTCCTTACCTAAGTCTTATCGTTTTTGCAGGAATCACTATTACTTGATGTACCCACTATTTACCCACTATTTAATTATGTATTTTCCAACACTACTATATATTTCTGACCCTCACCAAAACCCCCCCACCCCCAGCAAAATCTGAATATTGTTTTTGCTTTCGTTTTGTGATTGAAGCGTTTGGATTGGTTATAACTGTTATACGGTATATATATGTGTTATACACCCGACTACAGTTGAACACCGTACCACCAATAACAACAAAGTCCAAAGTCTTTTGTGTTCACTTCTCTATCTCTTTCTCTCTCACCACTCAACTGTATCTCTCTTCTCCTTTATATATACTTATAAATATATATATATTTTTGCGGTTTTCTTTTTAGTTGACGGGCATTTATAATTGATGTATAAATGTGCTCCCTTATTTATTGATTTCTTTTCTCGATATTTATAAACACACCAAATTATTTGTAACAGTGTAAAAGCGAATATGTTGTTTTTTCAGTGTACTGCTCACCAAAAATGTTGTTCTGCTGCGCAATTATCATAGCCACGATTAACGCCGATATACATTAAGCTAAATAATACACACACACACAACACACACACACATACACAAAATGTGTTTATTTACAAAATGAAAATGACAAAATACTCGAGATTATTTTAATTTATATTATCTATTGTAATAGTATATATAATTTGTATTGTTTGCCATTACGTGTCTAAACTTAAGCTTACTCAATTAACTTACAAATAAATGCCAAATACACAAAGCCACACAAATCAGTTTAACATTTTGTGCCGTTCAAAAATGTTGACGAAAGGTACTCGTTATTCCCTTATAATTATATTTACATATATACCAATATACCAATGTTGTTGTAAAACCAAAACACTTTTTGTAGATCATCCCCCAAAGTATACTTTGCACCTTTTTTGCTTTCTAGAATTCGTAGAGCATCCAGTTGTGTTTTGTATCTCATTGCTTGTTGTATATTATTTACTATTATCTATAGCATTTGAAAGCAATTCAGTGACAATTATATATTTCGATTATTGAAGCATCTTTAATCTTTATCTATCATGTTATTAATTATGTGCAAGATTTCCAAAATCTTTACGTTGCATATTAGAATCACAATTCCTTTTCCTAAAAAAATAAATTCATATTCACTAAATATAACAAATAAAAAATAAAAAAATTAAGGAAAACTTAATCATCTATTTTATTTCGATATATACTTATATTTATATGACTACTTTTAATATTCCAAAGAATTGTGAAAGTATCCTTAAGAAAACAAATAATCAATCAACTGATAACTAATATAAGAAATCACAGCAGTAAAATGCTGTGATTTAATGGATGATTTAAGGAGTTTATACAGATTTGAAAGATGTGGCCAAGAAATTGATGAAAATCCTGGCCCTGCACTGAATTGCGGCTAATTTAAATTATTTACATTTAACTGAATAATTTTGAGAATGCTAATTGCATTTCTTAAAGCCTTGTTGTACATTTCATATATATATATATATATATACATGTTAATTTATTTGTTGAATCATGTTTGTAAATGTAAAGCTAAATTTGAATTGGATTTTGAATTTTGCTGCTTTTGTCTGTGTTTGCTTCTATGTGTGTGAGTGGATGTGTGTGTGTGTGTGTGTGTGTGTATGTGTGAGCAGTAGGAGGACATAGGTATGTACATGTTTGTATATTTATCTATTTATCTTATCTTGTCTGATACTTAAAAGCAATATTTACTACTCACATAACTTTGTTGTTTATTTTTTATTCATTTATAAACTAACTCGGTTTGTTTTGTACTAAAAACAATAAAAGGAAATGATTCAACTTTTAAAGTTTTAGATAAATTACAGTAAATTTTATAATTTATATTTTCTAAATTTGATAATGGACTAGTTTTGCTAGTCAGCTACATAAAAATGAAACAGTTTCTCAATGTTCGAGTGTAAACTAATCGATATATTCTTTGTACTCGATAAACAGCCGATCTGCCTCAGTATTTGACCCGTTTCCAATGGGATATGGCCAAGTATCCGATCAAGCAATCGCTGCGCAATATTGCCGATATCATTTCCAAACAAATCGGTCAAATTGATGGCGATTTGAAGACGAAATCGCAGGCCTACAACAACCTGAAGGGCAACCTCCAAAATTTGGAGAAGAAGAAAACGTAAGCAACGAAATCATTGAAGTTAATCCGAATTAAAGCGACTCGACTGACGCATAACACTCACCCTAACTCCAACACAAACAGTGGCAGCCTGCTGACACGCAACCTCGCGGATTTGGTCAAGAAAGAGCACTTCATACTCGACTCGGAGTACTTGACCACGGTGCTGGTCATTGTGCCAAAGTAAGTAAACCAGAGAGAGAGAGAGAGAGAGAGAGAGATGGGAATGGGGATGGGGATGAGCAGAGAGACCATTAGCTGATGTCATTTGTGTACACTCCTTTAGAGCCAGTGCCAACGATTGGTTAGCCAATTATGAGAAAATCACCGATATGATTGTGCCACGTTCATCGCAGCTCATCAAGGAGGATCCCGACTATTGCCTCTTCAATGTGACCCTCTTCAAGAAGGTCACCGAGGAGTTCAAGCTGCATGCTCGCGAGCGCAAGTTCATTGTGCGCGACTTTGTCTACAACGAGGAGGAGCTGGCGGCGGGCAAGAACGAGATGACCAAACTGATGACCGACAAGAAGAAGCAGTTTGTATGTACCACAACTATAATTTTAGTCAATATAATTTCGTAATGTAATTTGGATATGTATTAACTTCTCCAACAGGGTCCACTGGTGCGCTGGCTGAAGGTGAACTTCAGCGAGGCTTTCTGCGCCTTGATACACGTGAAAGCGTTGCGCGTGTTTGTGGAATCCGTGCTGAGGTGCGTCCTCATCATCCCAATGCGTATTGATCAATGATTAATCTCTTTCTGGTTATTGCAGATACGGTCTGCCCGTTAACTTCCAGGCCATATTGATCGAGCCCAACAAGAAGAGCGTGAAGCGTTTGCGCGATGTGCTCAACCAGTTGTATGGCCATTTGGATGGTGCATCCGCTGGCGGACATGTCAGCAGTGCTGCCGATGTAAGCTAAATACCATTGTTCTTTCGCCAAAATTTATAATTGTATATAATTTCATTTACTCAGAATGTGGACATACCCGGTTTGGGCTTTGGTCAATCGGAATACTTTCCCTATGTGTTCTACAAGGTGAACATCGATATGGTTGAGCAAACAAAGCTTTAAGGGGCTTATCTCATGCCTCTGCATCGCACACACACACACACACCACCACACACACCCACAAACAAAATTAAATATAAATAATCCAAAAAACAAAAAAAAAAGCAACCAATTCAATATGCAAATTGTATTCGGCACAGCACTCAAAATGGGGCGCTGGCCAAACTGAAAATTAAGCAAAAAAACAAAAAGCAAAAACCCAACAACAAGTCTATCCTGCTCATAACTTGTAAAGCATATAGTTAGAATCAAATACAACAACAAAAACAAAAATAAGCAACAGTTGCCACGCAAATAATAACACGCAAACAATTAATAGTTTACTATAAATAATTTTAGTCATTGTTATATAATTATTGTTGTTATTTATGTTACGCGTTCACAGAATTCCGTTTCCAAGTTCAACTTACTTTCGACAAAAATGTTAAGAAACCCCCTCCTCCTCCAGCGCGTAAGAGAAGCAAAACAAAATTTCACAAAAAAAAAAAAAAAAAAAAAAAATACAAAAAGAAAAACCAATTTCAACTTATGCGAAATATATATAAAACTGGATAACATTTTTTTTTATTTTTATTTACAATTTTTTGTTCTGCTTCAGTTTTAAACAGTATTTTGTTGTTCTCTATTTTTGTTCACTCCTGTTTGTTTAGAAACAATAATTGTGCGTTGTTCATTACGATAAATACATATTTAGTAGAATGAATGATATAGAAAAGTTTTAACACGTAGCTAAAATTGATATATACATTGTCACTAAATTAGCCGAAACTTTAATTTGATTTTTTATTAATACAATAAATAATTGATAATGTGTTAAATACTGTCTTGTTTTATGTGCCTGTGCTTTTATTTCTCCGGTAACTGTGACTAACAAACTAAACCAACTGTTAAGCAAACTTAAACAAAAACTAAACCTAAACCTTAAGTGTCGCAAATAGTTTGATGCACAACATAAAAAGGCCCACTAATAACACCGATGCAATGAAAAATTCCTTTGGAAATACAAAAACCCAAAACGAAAGTATTCTATTTATAAATGTTGCCCAAATATCGAGAGTTTATTAACGTGCATGTTTCGCATAAGGAAAATAATGCAAACGCTATGATAATGCTGAGAAATGTTTTAAACTATTATATTAAAGTAATCAGAAAGATAAAGGTCTACTTCGAAATGCGGCTGATCCAAGTTGAAGAAGCCACAATATAAATAAATATATACACACATACATTATCTATACATATTTGTACCCAACTTGTTCGACATTTTTTCGTTGAATTTAAAGGAGAACTTAATGCACTAATCTAATGAGAAAAGAACAATAATATTTTTATGTAAAGTTTAATGTATTTTCAATATTTGCTACAGCTACAACAAATCTAAATGTTTAACGAAGTAAGAAAAGCAAAAAGAAGAGAAAAACCCCAAAATTATTATAAAAATGAGACAAATGCAGTATCTTATAAACATATATATTTTAAATTTATGCATTATACAAATATGTAAATGTCAATGCGTTATATAAGGTGCCGTTAAGCCATCCTTGTAAATAATTATAAAGAAAGAAAGACATTCCAACCTTGTTTGTTTTCACTTGTCAGCACAGCTGTTCCAAAAACTGGGAAACGCTAAATATAAAATGGAAATAGCTCAACATGTATCAAAGTGCGTCGACATCGACATTTCTTTAATTTCTTTCATTACATTACACATTACATTACAAAATGCTAAGTTAAACTCTGACTATAGTTTAAAAAAATAAGTAAACTAAAGGACTTAATACATATGAATTCTATGGTCTAAAAATGCTTCAAGTCCGATTCTATGCTGGCCACAGTCGTGTGCTGAATGCGTTGCATCTTCATGGCGGCTGTGGCACCCACCGCCTGCTGCAGAATATTGGGTGGCTTTGGCTGATTCTTGTCCGCCTCGTACTGTGCCCGATGCAAACGCTGCCGATGCTTATACATGTTGGCGCTGCAGAAGAACGTCATCGGACAGTTTGGACACGTATATAGAACCTCGCCGGTGTGCGTGGATGTGTGCTCCTGTCGAATCGAGTGGGGGATTATATATTAGTTGTGGGTTGATTTGAATATGTTAATCTTCAATTGGATGATTACCTTTAGTTCTTGGGGTCGTTTAAATGCCTTATGGCACATGGTACACTTGAACTTGCGCTCGCATTCGTGACTGTGTAAGGGAAAAGAAAAGGATTTTACAATGGATATTATGGATATGGAAAAATGTTTATGCATTACTTGTGATAAATATGGCGACGCAGAGCGCGGGCATTCGGTGAAACCTTGCTGCACACATGACAACGATGCTCGCCGGCGCTTTCCACGTGAATGCTCTTCATGTGCTGCTTCAGACCGGTCATGCCTTTCAGCCAGGCACCACAGATCTGGCACTGCTTCAACTCTGGCTCCGGTCGCGGCGTGTCCGAATGCATGAGCTCCTGATGCTTTTTCAAAATGATTTTGGTGCGCATCTGCTTGCCGCACTTGTCGCATATGATTATCCGTTCTGGATCGTGCATGGAGTTCATGTGATTCTTCAGCTTGCGTTCGGTCAGGAATCTGTAAGCGAATAATTAGCGAATTAATACAATTTTACATTAGATGGAAGCGGGGATGTTTCATACTTCTTATTGCACTCTGTGCACGTGAATTTGAACTCGGATTTGGGCACATGTTTGTTCAGCTTATGATACTCGATGGCCGTTTTGCTGGTGAAGACCTTTGAGCATATTTCGCATTGGAAGGAGAGCTTGGCCATGTGTATCTGCTGATGCGACTCCAGATGTCGTGAGTTTTGGAATGATTTCTCGCAGGTTGTGCACTTGAAGTGATCCGGATTCCAGTGCACCAGCACGTGCTCGGCAAGCACCTTGCGCTGCGTGAACTTCCGGCCGCAGCAAATCACATAGCCCGGATCTACCTGATGTGTGAGACGATGATGTCGTTGCATTTCCGTAAAATTATGGACCAACAGATTGCAAATGGAGCACGGCAACACGTCGTTAAAGAACTTGGCAATGATGCCATCGAATTCCTCTTGTTGCTTCTTGCGCTGTTCCTGCTGCTCGCGAGATTTGCGGACTTTCGGCTCCGCCGGCTTCGTCCGCTTCTTGTATTTCTTGGGCCGCACTGTCGTCCGCTTCGGTATGACAGCGAAATCGCTTTCGCTGGGCTTGTCCACCGTAAAATCGGAATCGTCATCGCTCTCTGAACTCTCCTCATCGCTGCTATCCTCGCTGCGCGCGACACCATCATCGAGTTGGCTGGAGAAATCCTGATCCTGATCATCGTCGCTAAGATCGGCAAGTGGTTCTGCTTTTAAATCTGCATCTAAGTCAACAGTTGGTTCAGCTTGCGTGACATTTGGCGAGTCCTTGAGGATTAAGTCTATTTTACGCGGTCGCCCGCGACGCTTTTTCGGCGCCTCAGTGGGTATGGTTGAATCCTGATTGCTGTCTTCACACGCCTCCACACTTGGTGTTTCAGCTTCGGCCTTGACGCGCTTGCGCAATCGTCTCACTGGAGACGCATCAACATCCACCGTTTGCGGTCTGGTCGTGCTTTCGAGCACCTCTATTTTTGGCAGCTGTTCCAGCTCATGCTCCTCAATCTTAACCTCGGGATAGAAGAAATTGCGACCGTTCTGTTCGACTTGCTCCTGATTCTGTTTGGGTGCCTCGCTGAAGTTGCCCTGCGTCAAGGGATCATCCTCCATGGGCAGCACCTTCGCGTCCTGCAGCGAACTCTGTGCGGCGCTGACAAACTCGTGCAGCGCATTGAATGCGGACACAGTGCCCCAGCAGTGTGTACATATCTTTCGTGCACCTCCCCTGCTTGCATCCAGCTGCATGGGAAAATGCTTGTTGATTATCTGCACTACATTCAGTTGTGCGCCCTCCGTCGAGTAGATGTCCAAATAGCGGTCCAGGGAGAGGGCATTCTCCTCCAGGCACAGCACGCATGCCTCAGGCACTGGTACATCTAGTTGGAACAGAGTATCAGTACATATACAATTTTCTTTATTTGTATTTTGTTGTCTTACCCATGCTTAACTACTTAATAGGTATGCATGTAGAATCTCATTTACAAAAATCACAAAAATAGGCGGCTTGAAATATGATTGATTTTCTTAACGCCAGAGCTGAAGCGTCTAGTCCTTAAATACCTTCGCTGAATATGATTGTTTTAGAATTGTTTCTTTTAAATAATTAGCAATTTTATGTTTTCTTGCTGAGGCAACTTGTGGTGGCCAACCGATAGCCGACCGATAAGTGTAGTGTTGCAAAATGGCATATTCAACAAATTGGTTCACAATGGAAAATTAATCAGCATCGATAATGGCATCGATAACATAAAGCCATATTGAATATAAACAATTAATATTTATGCATACAAATAAAAAATAGCTAGCGAAGGGTGAGGTAATATAAAGCTGGAGCGTTGCCATATCATAAACTATGCCAATTTACTATTTACAAATTGTACATCTTGCATTGCGGGTGAATTGTAGCGAACTTCAACAATGTGACTTGACTTTCCTCTGCAATAAAGGACTTGATGGAATTAACAAAATGAAGCTTGATTGATTGATTGAAGTCGATGTACAGAAACTAAATATTTAAACAAACCGATCGAAATCTATATGCCCTACAATGTCCAACAAAGAGGAAGTGACGGTAAGATTTTATTACCATTGGAAATCAATCTCAAAGTAACATTTTGCCTTCAACATTTCTCAGGTTACAAAAGCGAAATCCAGCGTGTTGCAAGATAGGAAAACATATTGGTATACAGTTGGTGAAATTAAGAACGCGGCCATATGCCCCAGCTGTGGCAGTACCACGGATAAGTTTAAGAAAAATATAACTGCGCACGTTAAGCGCTGCTTTAGCATTAAGAAGATCGGACCCATCTATCGACTACATGGATATGTCGAATGTAAATGCGGATTTTTAATTGCCGACAATACCAAGGCACAGAAACTGCATGTTTGTATGGTAAGAGAGCATTACTAGATATATATAATACATTAAATCATTCTCCATTTTGCAGGGGGAAGTTCCAGCATTTGAGCCCGATTTGTCTTATATGAGCAAAACGGCGGCGCCTACAGTTCACCTGAATCGGGAGCTGTTGATGCCCAAGCCCTGGATACGAAATTTCGTCTCACCATTTAAGTTAGATATAGAAAACATTCAGGCGAACCCAAAGACGAAGCCGCGTGTAAGAAATTTCGAGATGCCAGCCAGCAATCTGGAGCCGCAGAATGTCAGTGTTTACTCCATCAGCTCGAGCAATGGCACAATTTTGATAAAGGGTCAGGACAACCGGAATGTCCTGACGATAAGAAAACGAGTATTGCGATTACCCCGCATCAAAGGGTACGCATGTAGTTAGCAGCGAGTCGTTGTATATGTTTCAACAATTTTGCAGTTTCATTTGGAAAATTAACGCATTAGTTTGTATATGTAATAAATAAAAAAATCATTTATTATAGATGTACTTGTAAAATTGGTTTACAACTTATATTGCTTAGTTTTTTTTTATGAAATACAATTATTTGCACAATTACAAAAAGAAACATCAAATGCGACAATATCTACGTTTGTATAGTTTTGTTTAAAGGTTATGCATTAGTTTTGTATAAGTAGTAGTATATTGAATAGTTTCTTTTCGTTCTCTTTTTTTGGGTAAAAATGTCTAGAAAACTACCAAAAAACTGGCTAAGAATTCAGCTGTATTTTATTTTTGTCATAAATTTTATTTTGATTCACTTTGTAGTTTCATACACTTGGTCTGTGTGGCTGGGCGGTTCTATAGTTGCTATTCTATAAATTTAGGTCTGTCTATATCCACCTTGTGATCCTGTCTGCTTGGTGGAGTACAAAAATGTGTGTTGTGTGAGTTTGTTAGAATGTTAGAATGAGATACCTAACCCTAAAAATCTACTTAGCGGAAAAGTTGAATAGAGAAAAGATCTAATTTTGATTTAGTTGATAAAGAGATTTTGATTTGGCATAACTGTATAGTATGTAGTGTATATATATATGTATTTATGAAGAGAATGCTAAAGCGTGTTTATCGTTTTCGTGCTGCAGACAACAGAGATTTGATGTATCCAATTTATAGATTGCACAGCTATATATTATATACTATATACTATATAGTATAGATGCACCGAGTGATGTAGAAAACATAAGCCTTGGATTATAACACTGGCTGTGCCACGGGCGCTGGCATGGGCATGGACATGGTCTTGGGCATGGCTGTCATCTAAATGCGTTCGGTGACGTAGACTTTGGCGGATGCGGGCGCATTGGTCCTCCTCACCGCAAAGGTAACGATAATGCCAATCACGATCAGGGTCAGTCCCATCGCGCTCGTTATATAATGCTCAATGAGTCGATTTTCCTCGCTGTAAGTAGTATAAACATGTTGAAATTAATGTTTCTATATTGTTTAATAAGATATGCCCAGAAAGTGTTGCTTTAGCGTGAGCTAATAACTAAAAAAAATAGTCATTTACTTTTAAGGCAATTGATTAGTTTTCATTTGCAAATATTTTACACTTTTTACTATTGATTTTAACTATTTACAACTTTAAGCTAGGTAAACATAGTTGTTCTCTAAACTTACCTCAAGCTGGGATCCTTGGCAGTTTCGCGTTCTTTCTCAATAATACCGGTGACGGATGTGGCAATGGCCAGCCAGAAATTGGCCAAACCCATGCTGGCGTGAATGGGCACCATGGCTGAGCGACAGCTATATGTCTTATTTTCACAGCAGAGCATAACCAGAAAGCTAATGAAGAGCCGTATTAACACAACATTGAATAATCATGATAATAAAAAGAGCCCACCTGAAGAATCCAATTACAAATTGCAGCACAAACATGCCCATTGTCACGAAACCCAGCCACGAGTGCAGACTGTAGAAATTTATCTTTTGCAATGCATTGTGCGAGTCAAAGACTGAGAGGAAACCGAGGGCGATGCAGGGTATCGCAACGGCATGAAAGAACATGTGAATCAGTTTCACATAGATGTGTTTCACGCAACGGCACAGCCGATAAATTAAGATAGCTGCAATCGAGATTATTATGTTACAGTCAAATGTAAAAACTGATATAATATGACTCTTACAAAATCCAGAGAGCGTTACGAAGCCGGCAACCATCAAGATGGGATGCAAATTGAACTGTTGCAGGGGTCGCTCCGACCAGGCAAAGCCACCACGGTAGAACATTACCCAGAACAGAGTGAGTATTAGGACACCCACCAAGAGTATGGTCGACAGTATGACAATCAGCAAGTATTCACACCAGGAACAGCAGTTCCAGGCATTATCCGGATCCTCCTCATAGCGTCTGTAAATCGAAATTGTATGATGTTAAAAAATAGATAAGAATTATAAGAATTTGTATATTCGATTACTTTGATTTATTATTGCGAAACAGCATACGATTAAGTTTATGTATAAAGCTTGCATCAATCACATCCATCTTAAGGCTTGTGTTTTATTCAAGCTAGAGCTAAAGTTAACAAATATTTCAACTTAACCACATTTTTTCACAGTGCTAATTCAATTAAGTGTTAGTCTTTATTACATAATTGCAGCTCGAGTCTAGCAATTTATCATACTGACTTTCTGAGTCGTAACTCTGTCCGTCTGTCTAACTGTCTTTCTGTCTCTCTGTCTCTCTGTCTGTCTGTCTGTCATAATTAGGTAAATTTCTCTTGAACTAATTGTGGGTTGAATGCGCTGCTAATCGGCTTAATTGATTTATAAAGCAAATATTTACAGCGTCACAAATTGAAATCACTCTGCGAGATTAAGAAAGCCCGCAATTATCTAATTTACCCCGGCCAAATGTAATTACCAGACCCAAACTCTATCTTCGTCTTTATATCTCTATTTTTACCACACAGACCATTGAGGCTGCTTACATATTTTACAAACTCATTGAAGCAGCACCGCATTCTGAAGCTATGATTTTGTTAGGGATTACTTAACCTCTTTGCAGTTTTCTCTCGTGTTTCTTTGGTTTTTAATATGTAATATTGCCCATTAAAAAAAGACTCAAAGAGTTAAAAATTAAAAACAATTTTGTTGTTAGTTTTCTACATAGTTTGACAGCTAAGGAAAAACTGATAAAGCTTGACTTTGCTTTACTTTGGATTAACAAGAGTGAAAGGTGACTAATATAAAGACTGATTGGTTTCATATGCTTAAAAAACGTATTCGAGTTTTCACTAAATACCAGTCAGTTATATATATTGTTGAAATATGTTTGAATATCGCAGCAACGATTAATACTTAAGTATCGCTATATCGATTGTCTTTCTTTCTTTCTGCGTTGTATTTATTCCTAAGTTCAAAAGTTGCTCTCAATTCTTCAACAAGTACAGATGCACTCGCGCATAATAAAGATAATCCATAATAAGAAACTGCTTTTAACTCTTCATTTTTCCACGCCAGTTATGAGAGATTGGTTTCATAGAATTCGGTATTTCGAATGTGATGGAAATCTGATACTGAAAGAGTTCGCTTTGAATATTTCAATATTTTCAGTTTAAGGAAGATTATGTCTAGAAGCCAATTTCTTCTACTAGATGGAGTCTTATATTCTGCGAGAATATACTGTAAGTAAGTTTGAAAAGGTTGAACTTCCAAGAACTTTTTTATTACATTTGAAATTGGTAGATTATCAATTTTAAAATAAATTAACTGAACAGTTGTAAAATTATTCAAAGTAGGCTAATCTGTATTGAAAAAATATATCAAATTGAAATGATAAATTGTTTTTATAGAATGAGCCGAGATTTTAAACTTTTATAAAAACTATTATCGGTTCCTTATATTTGTTTACACTGATGTCTAATAACTGTTGAAGTTTTTGAACAGTTCTTAAAATGTTTTAGTCATTAGATAAAGGCTTCACTATAACAGTATAAATTTGTAACAACTGTAATGATTGATTGACAACTACAACTGACTAAGTTTGTTGGGATCAAGAGAGTTCAAAATGCATTAGATTTCTCATATATATATAATGCTCTCAATAAAAATATAGTACATCTGCAACTTGATGCCAATTAAATATGCCTCAATATCATATTATTTTCATCATACATTGCGTGAACTGATCATATAACAAATGACAAATGACAAATGCCAAATGACATTTGATGGCTATATAGCGATGATCTCAGTGCCGAAAGAAACATGCATCATCATAGCCACTTGTGAGCAGCTGTGGTTGCCGTCCAGCGGCTGTGTTGGTTCTCACAGTGGTGCACTGCAGCCACAATGCAAACTCAACTCAAAGAGCAGCTGTCAAAAGTAAACACAGACAAACCGAAACACCCAAAGCAGTGGCTATATAATGATGGGTTGGTGTTATGGTGTTATGGTGGTTTGGGGAGTGGTGAGTGGGATGTGGGATGTGGGGCAACGGCTCGTTGTTGCTGTGGTAATTAGGCGCATTGCTGTCGGCCAGCGAGCCGCTTAATCATTTCCAAGTGCCGCACTTTTGAACGGATTTCGCTGCACTTGAAATGACAGAAAACAATTCGAAACGAAAGCCAAAACAAAATGATTATTTAAATTAATAGTGCGCACAGCTAAGAAAATGCTTACTGAGCTGATAATGAAAGCACCAGCAACTAGCAATAAAAACACCATGTAACATTCAAGTCGAGAGTCGGAACTGCACGACTAGCATGTACACAGTCCTTGTTGCCTAACTGTTTTAATACACTTAAATATAAATTGTTGAGCAGTAAGAGCAACATAAATATTGCTCAGCTATTGCTACTGCTACGACCTATCAGAGAGCAATAGCAAACCCAATAGCAAAAAATTGAAATAAATGCTCTTTTGCACTGCTCTGATCTGTCAAGAACAATAGCAAAAACATTTCCATTGTGCTCTCTGTAGTTGTAGCAATAGCAGAAAGAATAATAATAAATATAATATAAATAAATAATATAAATAATAATAAAATTATGCGAGAGCATAAGAGCCGAATTATAGATCTTGTGCTAATAGTAATCATATATTTGATTTACTCTTTTTCTGCGAGTAGATGCTATTGGAGCTGATACCTAAGCAGCAATTACTATTTGGTTATTTTTATGAATTGTTTTAAGTTAAAATAATAGTTGTGTTACGCTTCACAACTTTTCATCTTTTGTTATCTTTGTTAACATATTTCTTTGTGCTAATTCAGAATTATTATTATTACAGCTGATACTGATACAAAACAATGTTATATTTCATATTTATATATACATCATGTCACCCTCTTCCAGCAATTCAAGTGTGTACAGGGTATTAAAACAATAACATATAAGCACCATAATTAAGCACGCACTTTCTCGGCAACGGAGTGGCAGGGGATACTAAGATTGGAGACTGTATTGTATCACTTGCACCATTTTGTAATAAGCGCTTTAATTAACATGCGCCAAGGCATCCCGAATGGGCGTGTGTGTGTGTGTGTGTGTGTGTGTGAGTCTCTGACCGATCGACCGACTATGCCCCACTGAGATGTTATTGTTGCTGTTGCAGTTGCTAGCCTGACAATTTCATTAAGCGCGGGCAGACACCGAGGCAGACCGCAGGCCGCGATGTCAATGAACGTGGCGCGTTGCAAGTTGCAGCAAAACAAACAATTTATATATATTCATATAGATATGTATATACATATATATATATGTATATACATATGTATGTGTGTGTGAGCTGCTGTTACTGCAAGCTGAGGCATTTAGCTTTCAACACATTGCACAGACCGCAGCGGGTTGCCTGGGCAGAGGTGGGGCAGTGTGGGGCATCTAGCTGAAGTAGCCATTTGCTTTTAACACACATTTCACTTGCCAGCTTTGGCCCAAGTGCAACCAAAACGCATAGCGATCACAAATAAAGGGAGGAGGAGAGGAAATGTGGGATGGGGGAGTGGAGAGGGAAGTGGTGTGGGCATGCTGCATGCAGCTGTGTATCTGTGTATCTGTGCATCTGTGCATCGCTGTATTTGTATCTGCATCTGCATCTGTGTAACTCTTTCACTTTTTAACTGGCTGCTGCGCCATGGGAAAATTTCGCTGCCAGCTTTTGCTTTTGCTATTGCTGCACCTTGGGCTGCGGCTGCGGCTTCGGCTTCGACTTGTCTCAACTCGTTTTACATAGAGGCAGCGACATATGGCATGTTTTGCCGACTAAACCTGAACCTGAACCTCGCAATAGTTGTTGCAACTGTAGTCATATATATATATATATAAATTGCTATTTGTTGATTTAATGCCACTTGCTGCTAATGGGTCAGCAACAACATTTTGAGGCTGTTGACTTTGCGCCCACAACAACAAAAGCAACAAAAACAACAACAACAACGACTACAACAATTAATGCAACAGATGCAGACATGACTGCAGACTTGGCCTGGCTAATGAAGCAAAACGACAATCCAAAGCTGGCAGTTCTTTAACAGCAGCAGCATCAACATTTTCATAGAGGCGGCGAAAGCAGCTTCAAGTTTTCAGCTGCAATTAATTACCCACAAATACATATAAAAATAAATATATTTATTAGGATGTTACTTTGTCTGTCAATTCCACAGTAGCATTTGCATTTTATTTACCATTATTAGTTACCAGATATTAACTTACTTTTATTTTCGAATTTATTCTTCTTAGTTAGAAGCATATTTAAATTTATAATGATTGTCAGATTTCAGAGGGCATTAAAGAAATTTATATTCACCAGAGATTAAATTTAAAAAAAAATTATAAAAAATATGAATATAAATATAAAATAAAATAACAAAAATAATTGAGACTTTTTTTTTCTAAATATATCTAATTATAGATGAATGAAAATATGATTTAATTAAGTTAAAAAATTGATATTCAAATTCAATAGGATGACAATTTCAATAAGAATTTATATAAAATGTATATAAAATTTAAAATGAACAAGTAAAAAATAAAATTACAAAAATAATTGAGACTTTTTTTTCTAAATATATCTAATTATAGATGAATGAAAATATGATTTAATTAAGTTAAAAATTGATATTCAAATTCAATAGGATGACAATTTCAATAACAATTTGTATAAAATGTATTTAAAATTTAAAATGAACAAGTTAGAATGCTCGAGTCGAGAGATCGACTAGGGGATATACCGAACCCAGTAGTTATAAACATTAAACCGATTTAGACACAGGTATACAGGTATACGAGAATTTACATCTAGCTACAGACAGACTGATATGGCTAGATCGACTCGGCTGTTGATACTCATCAAGAATATATATGTAGCTTATTGGGCTCGGAGTTGCTTTCTTATGCCTGTTACAAAGTTTTGCATAAGTCCGTAATACCCTTCCTAACCATTAATATTTGGGCAATTGTCATTTCAGCAAGTTTCAATTTGCGAGTTAACACTGTATATCTGACATGGTATTTACCAGTCATAATCTAGGTATTTTATCTTTGAGCATACGATAGGATCATGTGATGGACACAAGAGGTACAATTGTATCTTGATGTGTAGTTGCAAGCATTAATGCCATAATTAGACCCCAGTTATAACTAGTCTTTAGGCATGTATCTTGAAGCTAATGAAAACGGGCTAATTATGGACAAAACTGGGGCGCGACTCATCTTAGCCAAGAATCGAGGTGTGCGCATCAATCGAGTCGGCTGCATCTAAGCAGATGCATTTGTATCTGACAGTGCCAGTTTTATTAAGTAGGCGATTGACATGCACGAAACACACAATTCACAATTCAATCAAGCCACCAGCTTGTAATGTGGGATGTTACAAATTACACAAGTAACACAATTAAAAACTTCAGCAAGTATGTTGCATGCAACTAAATTGTAACCACAATTCAACGCATGCATAACGACAAAAACTCAAACTCAACCAAACTCAAAGAGAATGAAGAAATACAGTGTATATCCTGCGGGTTAATTATGATGAAGTGCGCTCAACGAAGCCTAGCTATACACACACACACACACACACACATACATAGACACACAGACACAGACACAAGTGAGGGTAGCTGTGTGAGTTAGGTTTGCTTTACAATGGGCGACAATTGTTTACTGACGATGTCTCGGGGAGTTTCAATTGAAACATTTTCAGTGCACCGTTTTGTTTAAAGAGGCAGTCTTATGTTTCGCCTGCATGTGTATGCGTGCGTGTTTGTGTGTGTTTGTCTGTGTAATTGTATCTTAAAGATACAATCAAATTCGCAGTACTTAAACTCGACACGCAGCCACAGTGTATGCCAGCCAGTTGGCCTGCAATTTATTCATTGAATTATTGTATTTATTTCTACATATTTATAAATATTTTTCGCTTTTTTTCGTGTTTTTTTATGGAATTAAGAGGCAGGCCTGGCTGGCTCAGCGTATCCCACACTCAGAAAAATGTATGCTCCATTGCAGAAATCAGCTCAAAAACTACAACAAACATTTTCTTGCTTTTGGAAATAATTTCTAAATGACCGAAAAAATACAAAAGTATATTTATAAATAATACTCAACGTCTATGGTAATTTACAGATACAAAATCAAAATATATCATAAAAAACTTAACCTGGAAAATCTTACGTTTTTGAAATAAACTTTCTGAATAATAAGGTAAGTCACCCTTGGCCCTATGGCGATTTTCTAAAACTCAGTCCGATTTTTTGCTGAATGTATCTCAGGCGGCATGTGTTGTACCTACCCTCAAGTCGAGCATAAATTATCAATTTAAATGAACTTTCATACATATGTATATAGTAGTTGAGCATGTGGTTTCTGATGCTGTGCGACTGCGTACATTTGAGTGAGAGTTGGTCTATAGAAGTCTAGCTAAAATAATATAGTTTTTATTAATACATATTTCCCCCATCAAAAAGCATGATATAAGTTAGCATCTAATCTGAGCTGAGAATTTATCTTTGGACGACGCACAATGTGTGAAAATGTGCCACAATTAGCAGTAAACCTTGAAGAGCACATAAACATTCTAGAAATACATATATAGCTTTATTAATTGCAATTAATTACTTGATTAAACATAGGGGATTATTTAATGCACAACCCTCGTCGTGTTGGACTTACGCTGTTGTTGTTCCACCACGCGGCATTTTGCCCAAATGACGATCACGCATTTAGGCGAATTTATTTGAATTATTTAAATTTGTTTCGTTCTTTGGTTTTTGGTTTTTGTTTTTACTTTGAATACTTTCGAGCACGGCGTATACGCAACGGATACGTCACTGAGCTAATTTTCTGTAAAAACCGAGCGTTTAGTTTATGTGCGAAAAGAGCTTTCGGATTTTCCCACAAAAGTATTTACAAATAATTTCTGGGTTTGGTTCTCTAGAGAATACAATGTAAAAAACATAATAGAAATTAGATAGATACGTGGAGATTCGTTACAGTATATTTGATATATACTATAATCAATCAGATAGTAAGAGAATCGTCTTGCTAATCAGCGCGTTAATTTGTCAAGAACAAAAAGAAAAACAGAATTCTATAAAAACACTGAGCAATAAGAGGATGCAAAGATTCCCAAATAACAAATGTATATTTGCAAAAGATTGTTATCTATCAGAGAGCATTTAATTTATGTGATTGATGTGTATCTGTATGTAAATGCGATTCTTCTTCGTTTCCATTTTCTTTCATTTAGACAAGCAGAAACTTTCGATTTCTTAATTGATAAACAATGGCTAGAATGGTGTAACGAGCATCTCATTGATATGTTCGGGTATGTGTTCAGGTATCTATTATAAGCCGACAAAAACACTTTCTATATAACAGCGCAAGGTTGTTGTTTATATTGTGTTGCCTTTTGTTCTGTAGCGAAACACACAACACTTAAATCAACACACACACATTTGTTATTATTTGCTTCTACACACGATATTCAAATAGCGGCCGGCAACCACAAACGATCCACAACGAATGAACAGCAAACATCAACTGAAAAATTATGCGGGAATTTCTGTTGGGATCAACCGTCCAGAGAAATGGCTGCATTTGCTTGAGCTTTTACGGTTTTTTGAGTTACGATAAGCTTGCAGCCATTTAGTATAATATATACATAAAAGTTGATAAAACATTTTTAAACATGCTTTCTATTTATTTTAATTAACAAATATTTAACAATTAATTCAGCATATTTAAAATCAACGTAAAAAGTCGGTAATGTTAAAATTGTGTTATGCTCAAAATGGCACTGTTAAGCTCGAGACGAGCATGTTAAGTGTCTTTACTTGTGCGATCGAGCGAAGACACAAACCAGCAACAAGCTTTAGTTCATTTCAAAAAAATCCAGAAAACGTCGAAAACGATGTGATTTTTGTTGAATTATGTTTATAAATAAAATAAAAAATAAAATAAATATAATACAATGTTGGTAAATAATTCTAGAAATTCGGATAACTTAAGCAAATGTTTCACTCAATAGATGGTTAAAATAATTGATTCGAAATCATTTCTACGTGGCTCTAAAGTTGGTTAACTTTTTTTCCAGTACTTTTATCACATACACCAGATAATAATATTAAACGTGAAGTGCATTTAAATAACGCTAATGACCTTGATGGAAACCATGTGAGCATATTTTGAGACTTTAGATAAGAGATTGTTGAAATTATGCAAATAGTGTAAATTATTTTAATGCGACAACTTGATAATATCTTGAGAGCACTGATATCAAATATGATTTATAAAATTATTAACAGAACAAAGGCAAAGAAGTACATGCTGATAACTTCATGTTAACTCCATGCTTTATTAATAGCAATTTCCGTTTTTACACTTAGATAAATAAATGCGTGAATGCTTCGGTTAATAATTGTGCACATGAACATCAATCAGAACAACAGCTGCGAACTTGTAATCAAACGCATGAATAATAAACGAAGTTTGTAAATGGTAAACGAAACGAGGACAATGCGAGTAGGTCGGTAATTACTGAGAGTATACTGGAAGAGATGGAGAGAGAAAGCGAGATAGAAAGAGAGAGCAAGAGAGAGAGAGAGAGAGATAGACAGACTGACAAACAGTCGACAAATAGAAACAAAAACACACCCTGCTAATAGGTGGTCATTACCCACAGAGGCGAGAGAATCACGAGACGGCAACTCCTTGAAAATGAAAGGGATTCTCGGCATACATAGTTGTCCTTGTTGTTGTTGTTGTTGTGTGTGTGTGTGTTTCTTTTTTTTTTTTGGCTGAGAGCGCGCCCAGAAATTACACTTCAAATCGAAAATGTGGTTCAAAGTTAAAGCCACAAAATATGTAGGTAATTACACGAGAGTGTGCTGGGGCAACAAAAAAAAAAGGATACAAATAAGGAATAAGGATGTCACGCACGCGATCAACTGTTGAATGTGTGTGCGTGTCTTGTGTGTGTGTGTGTGTATGTGTGTGTTTCTGTGTGGCCACATTGTGTGTGTGATTTGCGGACACAGTCATATTAAAATAGAATTTACGACCCGTTGGGTACACGGATTAGGAAATTGGCCAACAAACGAAAGGAGTACGGACCAAGTAGGGCGTGGCTGAAAATGCTGTGCATTAATTACGCTGCGTATACGTAACATTTGGGGCTAGCTATTGAAATGTAAATGTTACACTTGGGCCATTAGCAACGATTAATGCGTAATAGTAAAGTTTTAACGAGCGACTATTTTTTTGATGACAGCTCCTCCTCGCTGGCGAGGTCAAGGCACAGTTTTTACTCAGCTACCCAGTTAAACTCTCTGGAATTGTGGACGGAATAGCTTGGTATGCCAATTGCTGGCTAGACAAACGCAAATTGCTGCAACTCTCTCTTCCTCTCTCTCTCTCTCTCTCTCTCTCTGTCTATCACGCTATTTCCCCTTCCCTCTCTTTCTGTCATGTGTTTTAGAATTCGGCGTGTGACACAATTTATTTAAATATTTCGTTTTTTTTATGCACAAATGTGCTGGGAATTTGTTGAAATTGCCTTGATTAGATGATGGGGCAAAGCGAGACTGAAACAGAGCATCAGCAGACGAGAATGTGGCAGCTTCATCAGCAGAAGCCACAAATACTTATGTAGATCTCCAAAGACAAATGCGCATAACATTGGAAATACACATGTTGTGGCATTTACCCCGCAGCTGGATGAATAGATATATTGAGGGAGATTAGATTTATATACACTCAAAAAAAAACATTCGCCCTGAATTTCAGAAAATGGCTTTCCTTTTGGCTTCTCATACATGTGTACATAAAATTCTTATATTCGTTTTCTTCTTAATTATATTATTATTATTAGTATTTTAAGATATTACGATTGTTAACATTTAATATAGCTCATAAATTCCCTAAAGCAGACATCTGCTAAACACTAACAATAACAGAAGAGAGATCAAATTTTATTACAATTTTCTGAATTTCTAAAGTATTTTTTCTAAAAATAAGTGTTTGAATTTGTACTTTTTATACATATTTTCTATTTTATTTCTCAAAAGTAGAAAAAATGCCTTTCTTATATGAAGAGATTTGTTTTCGTATTTTTAGAAATTATTTCTAAAACCCAGATAATGTTTCTAGTAGACTTTAATTTATGGCGATTTTCAGAAATTCCCTAAGTGCATAAGTAGTGACCATCAATAGCTGAGTTCACCAATCTATACCATAGTATTTATAATACAAACAAATCAATAGACTTATTTCATTTATTGGTTATTTCTTAGTATAAAAAGTAATTCTTTAATTTTGTAATTAATTTTATTTTACAAAGATAATAAAGCTGTTTAGTACAATAAAGGAAACAATCTCTTAATTTTACAAGCTTTCAATTTAAGTGTTAGTTTAAGTTTTGAATTTGGCTATATTGAGGCTTTTGTGTAGAGAAAACGCTATAACAAAGTTATAATAAACCCAACAATTTTTCAAGGTCTAAATAAGAGTATCAGAAGCATTTAGTTAAGATAAATTTATTAAATAGGAAATAATCTAAGGGCACGGATTATGCCCATTTATTCATAATATAAGAAGTTTTAAATGCAAAGTTATTGGAGAGTTTCTTTTTAAAATATTCAACTGCAAAGTTATTTTGAGTAGCACACGGCAAGGAATATTATGAATGGATGATGAAAATAAGCTCAGCTACTTAAAGATATTTAGGGATTAACAAATTTTCACTCACTTTTCATCGGGGGGCGGTGGCATTTCAATGCCATTGGGCGTGCCGGGCGGTGTTTTCTCGTTCTCCATTATGGCCAAGGGGGGCAGGGGACTCACCGAATTGCTATCCATGTGCAAGCAATCAATTTTAATAGTTTAGCTCCCGCTGACTGTCAAAAGAAGAGAGTTAGTGCCAGTGTGTGGGTGTATGTGTGTGTGTGTGTGTGTGTGTGTGTGTGTGTGTGTGTGTGTGTGTGTGTGTGTGTGTGTCTGTGCTATCAAAATCAGATGCACGAACTTCAAGCGAACAGCAGCAGCAACATTAAACTACGAGTCTGTGTGCGAGAGCATAATTTGTTTTTTTTTTTTTTTTTGCTTTCATTTGAAGCTCATAAAAATGTTTTCCATAATATTTAGTAGCAGCTAAAATCGGAGTCTGAAGTGGCGAACTGTTGCTGACAGACACGACGGACGACAGCAACTGACGGAGGAACTCAGAGAGGAACTGATGGAGGAAGTCAGGGTGGAACTGACAGTGGAGCTGACTTGGATGCTGTGTGGGGGCGAAAATCTCGGCCTGACTGTGGTCGGACGGCTGTTTGCTGGTGATGAATAGCGGCGCCGTTATGTGCCACACTTTTCATTACGTGCCTGCCACATAAATAAGTACACACCGACACATACACACACACACACACACATACACACACATTTATGCATATGCATTAGTTCTGAATGGCGACTGCAATCTGTGGCAGATTGTTTTGAATAGGTTGCAATGCGCTCTACGCACGCTGATGAATATGCCGATAACTGATCCGCTTTTTGTCTCTCTTTAAATGTATACGTCGTATTTATGCTCATCTGGCCAAGCGCAATATTTTTATGCTTCAAATGGAAATTGAGTTTTATTTTCGGATGTGCACAAAAAGAAAGAAAGAAAGACAAAAAACAAAAAAAAAAAAGAAAAAGAAATGCTCGTCATATGTGAGCTGAAGGTAAAAGTGCTGCATCAACATATTTGCCAGAGTGCATTGCACTTGAGCTGCACTCGGACGAAAACAAGTCAGGGTATCATTACTTTGTGATTAAGTTTGTAACACTTGGGAAAACTGCGGCTTTCTTAATGTTAAAGTTTATGCTTATACTTGGCTAATGAGTTCAACTCACTTTTCTTTTGAATGATAATGTTGATTAAGGATTTGTTTTATTAGACAATGATTATGGGAAGTAAGATTAATTTAACTTGATTTGAAGCTTTTGGTTCTGAAATATATAAATTCAGTCTAATTGCTGGTAGCAAGAATATATTCCTGATTTAAAATAATGTTTTTTCTGGGTACTATTAGGTCGAAAAAGATTAACGAATAGCTAACTTTTAAAGCATCGATACTCTATCTAGGTGTATCTGATGAACTGAACTGAATCGATGTTGATCAGATTTCTAAAAGTGTACGAAAAATCGGCATAAATAGGCAAAATCGGCCTCGAATTTAAGAAAATCGACAAAGATAACTCACTTTATTATTCAGAAAGTATATTTCTATAAAAAAATATCTAATTCCCAGGTGTACTTTTAATTTTAAGAATCTTTTGTTCGTATATTAACAAACTATTTCTACACATAAGAAAAACTGTGTATTTTTTTTCCTGAGTGTTAACACGGAATACGGAATTTTATATATACTTTAATACTTTAGTCAACTGTTAGTGCAGGGCATCCATGTGTCGGTGTGTGTTATTTACTTTTGTTTGTTATTTTGCGCTGTGGCAGACGTAGTCGACGTGTAAAATTGACTATCATACGTCCGACTGCGTTCTGCAGAATCAAATCGAATCGAGTCGACTCGAATCGAGGAGAATGCCAATTTCCGACAGCGATGTCGCTTGTGTGGCGCAGATTGAGTGAGACGCTCTTCCTGTAGCCCGCATCTCCCAGCACTCCCCCATTCACACACACACACACACATATATATATATATACACAAGTGTAAATCGAATAATTATACCTAAGTACAGATATGTTCTATTTATTGGCGAGTTCATTGAACTCGACCAGGAGACATTTTGATGGACACTTGAATGTATTGATAGTCTACTCAACTTGCCTTCAATTCATGCCTTCGATTTGCATAATGGACATGTGTCCATTTCTCACGCCCTACTTGGACAATGGACAAGTAACCCAGCTATCCTCGAGTGTCCTTTTCAAATAGACATTTCCATTGTTAACAAAGCCATTCCATTATTCTATTTGTGTCGCAACACTTTACCAACTTACAAATTGTTGATAATGATACATTTCGTTATTATTTTTATACAAAACAACAAGGTGTGGGCACTATTTGCGTATATCGCACTATTTTGACAATAATCAACTTAAATTCTATCCAAGGAATGGGTCTGGAATTTTCCTCTTTAGATATGATAGTTTTTAATTAATTATTTAATGTCACAAGCTAACTTGACACTTTCCAAATACATTTTTTTTTAATATTTACCGATTATCCTACATCTAACACATTAAGTATTTTTTTTTTATTTAATCCATTTGAATTCATAAAAAATTGGAAAATAACTTTGTCAGGTTTTAGATAATGTATAGCTGGAGTAATCCATTTGGAAGCCGTTTTAAATATCTTGGAAACAGTATTATATTTATTATTGACTACTAACACCATTTGACTATATTCGACTCAGGGGGCATTTTAATTTCCGCTTCTCTATAAAACCAAGAAAAGTCTCCGAGATATTCATCTTTAGATCCGCATCTTTCCAGAGGAAACTCCCACAAATTCTCTGTTGCAATTGATAACTATTTTGTTGCGTGCGGGAATTTGAAGATATAGCAGCTGAAGCTTATTGCCTGATGCCCCAATTGTTCACATTGCCCACATGAGCGCACAAAGCATAAACCTTATATCAGAGGAGACCCCATTTCAGTGTAGGAAACTACACATTATGCAATGCAGCGTAACTGTTTCCGTATCCGTATCTGAATACAATATAACCAATTATGACAGAAACATACAGCCGAAAATGATGTTTGGAAATGTTTGCCGGATGCGCATTTAAAGTTGCATTAATTTCAATCTATAACTGTACATTGTTCAATAATTTATTGGCTCCAAAATGATATTAAGGAGCTTCAATATTTTAAGCCCAGGAATTAGTCTGCGGTTTGGTTGACTATATATTCTATATGAAAACAGAACTGTATAATCCGATTAAATACTTTTTTCCACTTTGTTTTTCCTGTGCTATCAGCAGATTATTATTATTTTTTTTTTTTGAGCGCACACACACACACACACATACAGATACAAAGAGCTTTGGTCCTTTGGAACGCTATCAAAGGTGTTGTTGTTGTTGCTGATGCTGCTGCTGCTGCTTCTGCAGCAGTTGCCAAACAATACAAATAATCATTCGTCTTACTATAACCTACCCCAAGTTTTTCTACAGTGCGCACAAAAGCGAAAGACCAATGCAATTGATGTTGATGTCGTACTAATTATACGAATTATGTTTCAATAAATGCATCAAATCTTCACTGATTTTATGCTTCGACAGTTGCGTTTCACTTCCGAGCTCTGATTTATTTAATCATTTAAGCTAAATATGCAATCGCACGATGCGACAGAAAGCCCTGAAACGCAATCGAAAAACTCAAAATCCCGCAACGCCTACTCGCCACGAATGCTGCCAACGAACTAAATTTGTTGCCGGCAGCAAACGACGAACCGGCCACATCGAAAAATGTTTGTTGTTGTCCGAACAGTCGTTCGGCGTTTCGGTAGAGCCAACTTCGTGAGTCGTGCCGTCGCTGAACAGTGGGACTACAGCCATGAAAAATGACTGCTCGCTAAAGGTCTGCTGACAGATATAACATTTAAAGTGTACCGAAATTATAAGAATTTGTCTTAGATATAAAAAACTACTCGCAAATCCATTTAGAAAATCTTCTTTACAATTTCGACTTTAAGGAGTTACATTCTTTTTAAAATTTAAAGTATTTTGTTAGTATTCTTTTAATTTCTTACTTAAAAAAAACATTAAATATTAAATTCATTTATTAGAATTTTATTTTTGAGATGTTACCCTATGATATAACAAATTTGAATATGTATTCCGTTCACATTTCAAATAAATTAAAATGTATTTTGTCAGCAGATAAGTACATAATCAAAAGTTTATTCAATTTACATAATTTAATATATTTAAAAAATTGTTGATTGTATGGCACATTCCTTTCAAGTTTAGTTTCATGTAACTCATAGTAACTGAAATGAATAAAATAAAACATCCACCTGGGATTGGTGTTGTATTGGAAATTGAAGTATAATCTCTTCGATTTCTCAACTGATTAAAGATACTGCCATTAAAGTTTTCAGTTAAAGTTTTATTTGGTTTATGCATATAGACAATGAAACTAAAACACTTTCAATTGACAATTGTGTAATAAGTACATATAAATTCACAAGTCACAGTTAGAAACACATGTATAATTATTATATATCATAGCTCTGTTATTGGATTCACAATGGTATTTAAATACAATTTATTGTCATTGGTTGTTTGAATAGTACTATCTGTATTCCAGCACAGATCTTAGAATGCTTATCTAAAATCCTACAAGTACAAATGCCGCCTTTACTTTTTCACTTTTTGACCAAAGAAGCATATTTATAATATATAAGTAATATTTTTGTATATATAGTAAAAAGTACATATGATATATGGTATGTATATTGGATAGCTAACTAGAACTGTATATTAACTAAATGATTAAGCAAATAATTTAAGCGAGATTCTACAGGTATGTATACATATATATATATATATTTATATATATATTTGTTGTCGATGCTCCGCTGTTTAGAAACTGGAACGTATAGTCTAGAGACCCGGCTTGGTTTTGTCCACGCTGGCCTGGCTACCTGTGCTGCCCGCCTCCGAGGGTACGGGACTGTCGCTTCTCTGCGCCACTTCCTCGGGCATGGGACTGATGGCATCAGTGCTGGCACTCTCTGTGATTGTGTTGCCGGGTAGCTCCTAGAACGAAAATCAAATGTTAGTTGTTTAAATATAAGGTCTTCATTTTGAACTCACCTCATCGGCTGCGGTTTTGGTGGTTACCGCCTCAGTGATGCACTCCTGGGGCGCATCCTGAGCATTCTCGGCCCATGCCTTGAGGTAGTCCACAACACAGGTGTGATTAAAGTTCTCGGCCTCATCGACGGGCAGATTGCCCCAGCGATCCTTGGGATTGTGTGGCACATGGCACTGTTCCAACAGAAACTTCACACACTCTAGATGCCCCTCCGAGGCGGCCAAATGGAGGGCAGTGCGACCATCATAATCCGCCAAGGTGATGTCCATGCCAGACAAACGATGACGACGCAGTGCGGTCACATCACCACTGGCCGCGGAAAAGAGCAAGTTGACGATGGAGAGGCCCTTGGTCTCATAGCGATGCTTGCGCGGATCCTTCTTGTTGGACAGATGCTTCAGATTGTCGTACCGATGGAAATTGAACATGTTGACCAGCTCCTCGCAGAACTGCAGACCACGGACCGTATTGCCCAGATGATCCAACGGCGGCGACCAGGCAAAGATGCCCATCACATTCGGGATTACCAGCATCATGCCACCACTAACACCTGACTTGGCGGGCAGGCCCACCTTAAAGGCAAACTGGCCGGAATAGTCGTAGGTGCCGCAGGAGTGCATAATGGAGAGCACATCCCGAATGACCTCCGGTCGCATGACCTTCTCCTCGGTTGTGGGACAAATTCCGCCATTGGCCAGACTGGCGGCTATCACAGACATGGACTCGCAGTTGGCCTCCATGGAACAGCACTGGAAGTAGTAGTCCATCACCTCCTTAAGATTCGTGTGCTTCGGGAAGCATTTGTTCTCACGCATATAGAAGCCCAGTGCGTAATTGCGATCCGCTGCCTCCCGCTCCGAAAGGAACACGGCGTTATTGAAACTAATATGCTCGCCGCCGGAGAGACGCTTAAACCAGGTCATGGTATAATCAAAGATCTCCGCAGAGGTCATGTCCGGCTTCACCAAGGCGTTCATCAACGAGCATGTGAGAATGGCTCCAGCATTGATCATTGGATTGTGCGGTTTCTCTGTGAAAGAATTGAATTGGATAATTGGTCATAAGGAATACAGATGGTATCAATTCGAGCTCAACTCACTGTTCTGATCCAGCACCAGTTCATTAAAATTGCGTCCACTGGGCTCCTGGCCAACAAAGGAATGCACCACCTTCGGACCGAGCTTCTCCAGCGCAATGGCATAGGTCAGAGGCTTGCTGCAACTCTGCAGTGTGAAGGGTACCTCCACGTCGCCAATGGAGTAGCGTTGGCCATCCACGGTGCAGATGCTGACGCCCCACGAGTTGGGATTATGACGAGCCAGTTGCGGAATGTAATCGGCCAATTTTCCCAGTGTATTGCTCTTGCAGCGATGATAAATATCCTCAATGTCCTTGACGAAGCTCGAGAAATCGGGTATGACAAACTGTTGACGGAATGCTTTGGCAATCAGCACAATATTCGGTGAGACCACGCTGCAAAATAATTGGATAGATTGGTTAGATTCTTCACTAGAATTAGAACTGGAAGACGCTGCTTTGTTTATATTTTAATTAGCAATTTCATATTACAAAATATTCCATAAAATATTTGTGCAAAACAAGTCTTTGATCAGTTTCTATAGATATGGTATTTGGTACTTACGCCTTGAATGTCTCCCGATTGAGATGCTGCGTCTCGGCGGAGGAGCCCGTCTCATAGTTGTTCAGCTTGTGCACCTTCTTCAGGTTGTCCATGAGCTCACGCACGCGTGGATCATTGCGTCGGATGCCCGTTGTCTTCAGTCCGGCCAGGAATTTGCCCATGGATATGAGGCCCGTCTCCTCGCTGGCGAACATGTCGAAGAGTACATCCTCAGCATTGCGCTGCTCCTGCTCCCGATGGCTGTGTGACAATAAATAAAAACAGATTGCAAAATTTCAAATATTTATCACACATTTTTTGGGGCACAAACGAAGGCAGGGGATTTTTTTGCGGTTTCATTTCGAATACGAATATTTAGCATGCGTATGTGGAAAAAGCAAAAAGAAAACAAAATACCAATATTTAATACCAAAAAAAAATACAACTAAAAACTGGTTTCGGGGGAGGTGCTAATTGGCTAAGAGACGTTGAGACTTGGCCCAAAAGTCTGTGTTGGAATCCAGGGTGTCTAAAAATAGTTGAGCACGTTTTTTGTTTTTGCTTTTAGAGTTGCCAGATTTGACCGTGTCAAATTGATTAAAATTCGAGACTTTATTCGGAAAAAATCTCAATTATCAAAATATTTGTGAGATTTCAATTAATTTCAATTTAAATGCGATTCCAGTCAATTGAAGACACGACATATGTATAAGTGGGTGTGGAGCTACAATATATAAATCAACTATAAGCAAAAAGTGTGGTTTATGGGTGGATAGAACAGATACAAATGTATATATATAAAATATATATCAAAAAGCATTAAACACAGCTATAAAACAATTCAATTTACTCACGGCCTTATCGAATAGTAGCGTCGCTGAATTCTAAGGGAATAAAATATACATATAATATACATATATATCAAGTATATTATATAGACCATAATGGATAATTAAACATTGCCATATGTTGAGCAATAAGCCCACAAATCAATATCAAATTGAGAATTATCATTATCATAATTGGAATATGGGAGGTGTGTCTTTGTTTCTGTTTCTGTCTGTGTTTTGTGTTTACTTTTATGATGGCCCCATCGCAGCAGCCATAAATGTGCAACACCCTCGATCTACGCACAAAATTCAACTATATATCTATATATCCGAAGGCTCACTCATTGGTGTCTAATTTTACCTGATTATTGCGGAAATAGTGCGCACAATTGTGCCGCGACGATTCTGCAGCGAGATGCCTTCAATGATCTCCTCGATCATGGCGGCCGTCTCCGAACAGTTTTGCTCTTTGTCTCGCTTATAGTTCTCCTCGCGCTGCTTGGACTCCTCATCTTCGCTCTGGCGCTTCAGTGCCTCAATTTCCTCAGTTAACATCGTGTCGTATGCGTAATACAATATATATTAGGACTCAAGCGCTCGAACGTTGCAGGTGTAATGAAAACAACGCTCAACTCCACCAGCATTTTATACATTAGCCAAATGTGTGATTTTTATTACGATGGCTGGAGGGGGGCTGGCTAGCAGATGGGCACTCAGACACAGATAGACAGGGAGCAAGAGGGACAGCAAAAGAGAGAAAGATGAAGCATTGAAGAAGAGGCGCTAATTTCTAAATCATGCCAATAAAATAAACTAATTAACTCCCCTTTCAATGCGATCGGATTGTTTACACGCTACACATAAAGCGGCAAATCGCTTTGTAAGTAAAATACCAGTAGGGCGATAAATGGGCCACCAGCGCACAAGTATATCTAATAATATCTACTAATGATGACAATTTGGATATCAGTGATAGTGGACCGAAATTAGCTACAAAGAGATTCAGTAGGATAATTGAATCTAGTTCGTCCAGTCACTTAAAATTTGCCAAGCAAATTAAAATTATTGCGCACTAAAAAATGTATTTAAAAAATATTATATTGTGGAGTGCGCTAGAAATTGTCAAAAACTTGCAACGGGTAATAAGAAATTATTTTCAAAATATTTAAAATGTAAATACTGTGAGAAAAGAATTTAATGCACATCAGAAAATATTTGTTAAAAATAAAAATAAATGTGCTTATTGGTGTTATTAAATATTGAATGTAGAGGAAACTAACTTAAAATGAGCATATTGAGGCAAGTAAATTGGATGCACATTTAAAGATATTCTTTAAAAATATTATATGTGATGCTCAAAAAATATTCTTTTGCGACGATGAAAACAAGAACATTTCAATCACTTGGCTAAATAAATATTTCTGCGATTTGTAAATATTATGTGTATATTATGTGCCCTTAACATATTTAGAAATATTTAGTAATTTGGCAAATGCTCAACAAATATATGAATAATATTTAATATTTGGAAACCAAGCAAAAATATATCTATTATTGCTATTTCATGTAATACTCTTTTAAGCTGATAAGAAAACCGTTAGCTCATGGCAGTTTCCACTGTATATATGATATGGTCACTGTCTCATGACTGGGCATGATTCTTTTACTGATTAGAGTCGATTAGATTATCAGCTGTAGTTGGAGAGCAGATAGGGTTGGGTGGGAATTTGTCTTTTGACTGAATCACTTTTGCACTTTGGCCACTTTTACCTGATATACTTGGTTATCACTTTGATGAAAGTGGCCTTTTGATGCTTGGTGCAAATGCCGGCAACCATTTCGCCAATGATATTCGCATCGATCAAATCGGCATCATCCTGGATTCGATCGGCACTGGTGCCCGCCTCCTGCTGTTGCTGCTCATCCTCGACCACTTTGGCTGCATTCTGCTTGACGAGCTGAATAAGCTCCTCGCCACTCATCGACTTGAGGTCGTCGAGTATCTTTTGGCGAATGCTATCCTTAAATTCTGCTGCCTCCTCGGGCGTATAGCCATCAAGTGGCAGTGGTGCCTGTTCCGTTGCATAATGCAACAAGCTCAGACTGCGTTCACCCATCTTTTTAGTTAAATTTTCAATCAAATTTCGTTTATTTTCATTTGCACAGCTCTAAACACTTGTGGCCCGAGTCCCGTCGATGCCGAAATGAACGGAACATTGATGGGGCAACAGTTTTATAGTTGGCATCGCATACGGTCATCCATATATGTGGTGCTGCTGATGGTTGTGGTGGTGCTGTATGTTTTGTGTACAGGGGCCAAAGAATTGAGCGTATTTCGATCTTATCTTCATTTAATAAACGTATGTTAATTTATTTTTATGCCCCCAGATTGCTGTCAATTAGCGCGTATGCGCGTGCAGAATAACACATTTTATCCGACCTCCAGACAATTGCTGGGCAAATGGAGAGCTGATTTATAACATAACTTGGAGGATGTAAATATAAATGTTCAACATGTGTAGAATACGTGAGCTCTAGTTGATCCTAATATTCAAGCGTATTATGACGAAACGGAGCACAGATTTCTAATTGAACTTCATTCGCAGAATACATCTTTTTTTGGCTTATCATTTTACTTCTCTCGAATTGAAATACATATATCTGATTTGTATTTATATACTTTCCCGATATTTGTAAGTTCATACAGCTCAGAAGCTGTCAAGACCTCAATGATTTAACCAGTTTAAATTCTCTAGCATGCAATCCATTCTCCATATTAAATCGATTTTTAAATGGCACACAATATTGATTATAAGTTGATCTTTATTTCCATCAATTGCGCAATAAATTGTCTCTATTATTCGAACTATATGCAGGGTATATTCTAGTCCGTCGCCTTGGCAGACCTAGAGAGAAAGTCCTTGCCTAGTTGATTTCGAGAAAAACACAAAAACAGATCTAATTCTATTTGGCATGCATCCCAAAAGCAAAATCTGTCCACAATAATATGGCATGCAAATGTGCAAGGTAAATATTTTTGTGAAAATATGTTTGAATAATAATCCGAAATGTTTTGAAAATCACTCACAATGTAAATTCGCAAATCGTGCAAGTCAATATTTGTAAAATGACATTTTATAAATAGAAAAGTTAATTGTACAGTTTCTATAAAAAGGAACGAAACTGTTAATTAACTGCACACTTGTTGCAACTAGTTAATTATATCTAGTTATTGGTATTACCAATTTAAGCCGTGTCGCGTTGCAATTTGCAATGCAAATGGAAATCAAACACCACAATTTCCAGGTCCAAATGTAAATCTCAAATATTTTGTAAATAAATGGTTAATTGTTGCTGCGCGTGCGTTGGTGTTAGTGTGAAATTGTGCAATGCATATGTGTATATGTGTATATATACTTCTGTATACAGATCGATAAGTCACTCTACTTACCGTTTAGCATTTTCATCTCGTTGCTTGGGTCCGGAGCTGGGATCATAAAAGGATAGTTTGCGATTGGCGAATACCAATTCCAACAACGGCGGTGTTCGTAGTTTTTTCTAGAATAAATACACAATTATAAGTTATTTGCTGCTTTATTGAGCACGTCTCGTTAAATATTTTGCCAGGTCTCTCACACGTACAATTATGTTAAGACATTGTGACATTATCAACTGCCTTGTCTATCAATATTTACTGACTAAACAAACCGAATGACGACACACATATATATTTCTATATAAATATATATATATAGCCATGTTCACATATGCATATACATTACTTTGTTGCACCAACGGCATATTTATTGAATGCCCCTAAAATGCTGCCATGAAAACCTAAATTGATCTTTACCTGTATTAACCGAGTAACTGGAATACGTAAACTCATAATTCACTATAAAAAAAAATACGCAAGCGTTCTTCAACAACGCTTAAACTCACAAATTTTGTGCCAGACACACTAAATGATATATGCCATGTTTGCTATGATTCAAAAATAAACTGAAGGCTGAGTACTTTTAAAATTATTAAGAAAAGAATGCTGTTCAGCGCAACCTAATAAATATTTATTGAGACAATGATTTTAACTACCGATGCGGATACACAAATTGTCTGAAGGTTATTATCAATCAACTAGAAACTAATACATTATAGTTTCTAATGAATTTACCGCTTTGTTGAGCTCTCAAAAATCATCTAATCATGTTAATATTTATCAAAGCCCATTTATATTTTTAAAGTAAGTTTTAGAATTGTGTATATAAACATACTTCTTTCGAACAACAATATTTATAACTATTATTAATAATTTTACTATAATTAAAATTATAAATATATATTTTAAATATGTTTATTGCTGGCTCCAGCTCAAGTATTTTTAATTATTACTCAAATATATATCGAATTCAAAAACCTGGAGTCAGCAAAAAACATATTTCAATTGCAAAAAAGTGGTCATCAAAGCTTTATATATTGTTATTAATTGTATTATTATAATAAATTATTATTTCGTACACATTACGAGAGAATTTGATTACACATTATGTAATCTTAAATGGAACTAAAATAATTTTAAAAAGTATGTAAAATATATTCACCCTTTTTTGGAACAATCATTTTTATTATTATTATCTTTTTTCATAATTGTGTTATTTTTCATCAAAACTAAGTGCTTTTATTATTCAACAAAATAATAATTCCTTAGAAGTATTTGCGGCTTAATTAAATAAACTTGCAAAGTACTTTGAACTCCATAAACAATTGGATGGGACTATCTATTTCCGTTATCAAATAAAATACGCTAAGAGATTAAGCCGTTCGTGATAGTACAGAATAAGTTCTTTAACCGAATTCATGAATCAATAACCATTAGGAGTAATTGAGCACCTGCCCCCGGCATTAGCTATTCGATTACACCCATGGACTGACCACATGACATCAGCCGGCCAACGAGGCAGATGCTCTTCACAGTGTTCAGCTTGATTGCTTGACGACAGCGGGACACCAAAATTGCTAATTGATTCGCCAAACAATTGATAAGAAGATTTCAAATCAAGCGCATTCCCAGACGAATTTTTAGTGGAAGTGCTATTTGAATACGCACCACGACCTGTGGGGCTAGAGGGGAGCTCGGCCAACAGAGTCATGTGAATAGCAGATAACAACAGCTGTGGTTATTGCGGTATTAACTGTGCAAATAAGTATGTAATAACAATAAGACTTAAACTGCACCAGCTTTTTTTTGTCAGCTTCCTAAAAAAGTAATCGTTGTTTTTTCAATTTGTATGACAGCTTTCACAAATGAAATGAAAAGTATTCACAAAAGTTTTTGACGCACGAAGCGCAAATACAATTGAAGTTTATAAATAAATATCCAGAAACAAGAAGAAAACAAATACCTATAGCAAATATCTCTTTGTATATATATATGTATCTTTTATTTTTTGCTCATAAGTTGCATCTGCTTATTTGATGCTCGACTGTCTGAAATACCCACATTATCGAATAACAACATCAGCCATGTGATGTGCTGCGTGTGAGGGGCTTGTTTTTTGCCGGCCCACAATAATTAACATACATTTCACATACAAAGCGTATAGCTGTTTATGTATGTATATATATACATACATATATATATATATATATGTGTGTGTGTGTGTGTATGTGTGTACTTGTTTGTATGTAGCTTTGCTTTTTATACCTAAGAATATTATTTTTTTCCATGGCAACGAAGCGAACGTGGCGCCGCACAAACGTTTCATTGCCAGGTGGTAAAAGTCAGCGATGGTACACTTGGGAATTCTTAATAGATTACTGGGCTTTATTTAATTGCATTTTTATTCGAAATTTGTATCTATGTCTGGTTAAGGATATTCAAACTAAACTAAAAATTAGCAAAATTAGCTCTAAAAGTTATTTTTTTTTATATTCCTATGTTTTTTTTATTTTATAAATATACCAACTACAAACGTCAAAGATACAAATGAACATATGAATTGACATCTTTGACGTGTACTTGAAATATATTGAAAAATTAATTATTTCATTATTTTAAGAATATACAAAAAATAAACGTCTGAGTAAAAATTTAAACTAAAAATGATTTAACTTAACAACATGCTCGTTTAAAGTTTATTCGCCTCATTTTCTTAGGTTTTCTGCTTTCAGTATTTAAAAAATATAAATTTTAAGCATTTTTTCGCATTGGAAACAAGAAAAACCCAATGAAAAGAGATGTTTGTAGTTTTCTTGACTAAATGTGTGATCTCTATTTGTAATTCTCTGCTCTGCCTCTCTTCGCTTAGACGATTGCTTCCAGCCCTAATAAAATTCGCTAATTTTGAAGAGAGCAAAAAATAGTCCACATGTTTATATCTTCGTACGTAGGCTACAGCATGTGTACATGTATGTGAGTATGTGTGTATGTATGTATATATCTTTATATTTATATATATATATATATATATACATATGGGATTTATTTGAGTTGGCTGTGATTTCTTTTTGTGACATTTTTCTCGTGACTTTGGCATTTTTTGATGCTGTATGTTAACACATCTGATTCATACGTATATTTCGTATATGTTCACATGTACATATCAACAACAATTAATCACAATCCATTCACAAATCACATTCAATGTCTCGGTCAACTTGTCGACCTATATTTATGGTAGCTTTAAGAATGTTCCTTTGGATTGATACGCATCGTAAAGATTAAAGTAATGACAAATCAGATCAAATAAAAATAAAAATCAGGTCGTCAAGCAACTTATAAAAATAGTTGCAACGTAATCATTCATTTTCCAGTAAAATTTTCCAGAAGTCATGGCTTGACTAAGCAGATGAGTACTGATAAGATAACAAAAAGTAAAGTCCATGAAACATGACTTTTATTATTATTTTTTTTTATTTTTGGGGGAGCACGAAATTTAATTTAATGGTTATCTAATGGAACACTTAGATAAGAACCTCATGGCTATCTGAATACAATGTTATTTAAATATACATGGGGTAAACTTTACACCATATTTGGAAATCCATTTTTCGCTGCAGTTACATAGATTGAATTTCGCGTAATTGTTTTGCGCGTTAAATGAAAACATGGGAATAATTATATGAGGAAGTAGCTGTGTAAAAATCAATACTTATGTGATGCATTAATATAAAATGAAGCCTGTTGTTGCTGTGTGTGGGGCGGGAGGGAAGAACACCCACAAATCAGCTGTGTTCCGTTTAATTTTTTGGTGGTGGATTTGCTGATGAACTCACCTCTGTAGCGATTTTGTGCTTGACCTCAAGGCCCGTATGCCTGAATTTGGCACGTTTCAACAGATCCTGCTCACTGTAGACATCCACATCGATCTTGCTGCGCTTGCCACTCGCATCCTCCACGTCGAGAGATGTTGCCGATGTTGCCTTTGTGCGTTGCACCCGCACTAAGCCACTGACTGGCGACACCAGGCGACACTTTCCGTTGCTGCTTAGCAAGCGCAGATTCAGATTTGCAAGCGTTGGAACACCCTTAAACATTCTCACAATAAACGGAACTATTGGACACCAAAATGTATGTGGTGGTAGTTGTAATAGTTTGTGTTTGACTTTCTCGAACTAAAACTGTAAACTGATTTTCGGCTAATGGTGTATCTCGTGTTTGGCTGCGTGTTCCACGGCTCTGCACATGCGTTCGCTCTCTTTGACTACTCACAAGGTACTGAATGCTAAACTCATAATCAGTTTCAGCACGCCGGCAGCGTTGACGACGTCAGCAGCGGCAGCAGCAGCAGCAGCAGCAGTAACAGCAAGTTTTTGACTTCTTTCACATTTTTGTGCGTGGCAATGTTTGACGTGTGAGTAAGCAGCTCGACCTCGCATCGGATATGCGTAACTTAAGCAAGACACGAAGCGGAGCAAAGAGAGAGAGAGCGTTAGCGGGAGAGAGAATAATGTTTAGCGTGGGTGGTTTGCACTCTCAATCTCACTCTCTCTCTCTCTCTATCTCGTCACTTGACGAGCCCCCCAGTGATGTCACTGCGCGCACATGCTTATGTTAAAAATTAAACTTTATTCAATAAATTTATACAACGACTAAGAATCAAGATAACAGTCGAAAAAGAGCTTACTCAGTCTGCGATATGACGCCAAACAGCGCATACATCAGCTGCAGATAGTCCTCCTCGACCAGCTGCACCTGCGATAGCTCACAGTAGCCGGTCTCCGTCGAGGGGGGAAAATGTTGTAGCTCGTTGGCCGATGGCACATCCGAATACAAACGTTTTCTGCTCTCGGCACATGGTATTTCTGCCACGTCGGTGGACATGCCACGTGGCGTAGAGGCAGCCATGGGATTGGTTACTCCACTGGGACTCGGTTGATGCTGATGCTGTTGTAGATGCAGTCGCCGCACAACATTCACCCGCAGCTCATTATTGGTGGTGCTGCTACGACGTACTACTTCTGTGCTGCTGCTGCTCCGCGGCTGGCCGGGCCCATGACGCGTCGCATCCGTTTGCTGGAACTTGAGCAGTCCATGCTTGCGTCGCACCCACGGACAACGCGAGTCCCGATGATCCACAATCACCTTGCGCCGCACAAACTCATGAAAGCTGAGCAGCTCACTACTAATGTCGCGTCGCACAATCTGCTTCCAGCGCGGCTCCAGATCCGGCGAGCGTATCATAAAAATGCTCTGCGAGGCAACCAACATCAGCAGATGCTCCAGCGCCACCAGGCACAGCTGGCCATCCATATTCGAGAGCAGCTCGTTCGACGGACACGTCGCTGCCGATATGGATTGCGTAAAGCTGCGCTGCCCTCGACTCATGTTTCCGGTTTTTTCGCTGCTTGACACCTCCGCGCCAAACTCCACGTTGGGCAGAACATTGAGCGGTGCACCATTAAATTCATGGTTTTGCTGTAGAGCAAAAGTTACTATTTGTTAATTACAAAAATTAATATTAAAAATATTAAAAAAAAAAAAAGATTTTTTCTTTTGCCAAATAAACGGAAAACTTCTTTCGGTGCGGAATACCTAACTTCAAATTAAATTTAATGAAATGCTTTAAATATACGCTTACAGATTTGCCCATTTAACAGCTTTAATTATGAATATTATGAACGATTTAAGACGTAGTACTTAAACGCCACCCAAAACTTTATTAACCACAACATCTGGAATACAAACCCACTCTAAAGGAAGTGACTAATCTTCTTCGTACCAAAAAACGTTTGTATTATAAATTTGGATTTCCTATGAACAACGCGGTATCATCAATTATCACTCGACTTGTCACCTGGCAGTCAATTAACACCTGATAAATTTCGCCAGTTCGAAAACAATATTTAAGCTGCTTTTGGGCAACACAAACAAAGCCTGAGTATCATATTACCATGTTGAGCGCCTTCACATAGATGGTAACCATGTTTAGGACCATGCCAAAGGTGAGCGTCAAACTGCTCTCATTCAGCTTGGGCGCGCTGAACTTGGCATCCAGTATGGGATGCCATTTGTGTGGCTCATAGTAGCCACAGCACAACAAATCCAACAGATCTGGCGTAAACTTTTGCAGCGCCTTCACACAGTAGATAATGATGTCCGTGAGGCTGAAAGGAGCATTATTAAAAATTTCGTTGCATTTGTGAAGAATGCTAAGACTCACTCGTTGCAGGCATTGATAATGTCATTATCGATGGCAATGGGATCCGTGTTGCACAGTATTTTCAATTGGGAGCGTCGTCCGACGAGCAGACACTTCAAGTTGCGCTGCTGATGGAACATGGACGTGGCATGGCCCATTAGATTCTGCACCGCATTCTGAAATTATTGACACATGTAGAGAATTAGTTTATGTAGCTTATGTGTATAGAGATTGACTCACCATAATGTTGAAGAGCGAGGAGCTGTGATCCTCCGCCCACTCCTTGTGATGCTCCGTCAAGCTGGCGATCAGTGAGATGGCCGCCTTGATTAGCTGCATGGCTTCTGGCTCCAACGATTGCTTGCCCAGCAGCAGCGAATCCACCAGATACACCTCATGTATGCCCACAAATTGTAGGGCCTGCGGCAGGAAGCACTTTTTGTGCTTGTCATAGATAATGTTGACCAGCTCAATGCCGCGCGAATAGATGGGCCACCACTGCTCGATGGTCCACACATCGCTGCTGGCCTTATTGAACTCGTATCGGGATTGGAGTAGCTCCCGCGGCGGCAATAGTTTGAGCCACAGATACTCGCCGACATCGCAGTGCAGAAATTCGCTGGAACAATTGCTCTTGGCGAACACAATCAGCACGTCCAGCAGCTGGACGCTGAGCACCTGTTTGCTGTGCATGGGTAGCGTGTAGGAGACGCAGTGCAGCAGACGCTGGAACAGGCGCACAGACACAAATGGCAAATCCCAGTTGACAGGTCCCTCATTGTTGAAAATGGTCGCGACCGCCTTGAGAAGATTGAGGCACAAGATCAGCGAATTCGAGGTGGTGGCTAGCTTGCCAGTGGTTTCCACCGGCAGCGGTGGCGACTGCGGTTCTATATTCACTGATTTCTCTATACTTTGCAGCTCCGTGCAGATAATGCTGACCACAGAGTTGAGGAAGCGCAGCGCAATGGAAGAGTCCCGGATCAGGAGATTTGAATAGAGATGCGCACACTTGGTGATGATGGCCAGGCACGCCTCCTTGGCACGCACATGTAGATCCTCGTAGCAGGCGCAGATGCGGGTCATAAGCTGTTGCAGCTGATCCATAAGCTCCTGCTCTTCCTCGGTGCTGCTAGTGTACGCTTGCTTGAATTGCAGCAGTATAAATATGTAGAGCTCCGCCAGCATGATAAAGGGACGCATATCCTCCAAGTAGTTGGCACGATCCACTAGCACCGTCAGGCACTTTTTGGCAAGCAGCTTAAACTGTGCATCGGGTATGCTGAGAAACTTGGGCTGCTTCTTGAGCAGTATGATAATCAGATCCTTAAACGATTGCAGGCAACAAATCCAGTCGGGTAGCTCATCGCTGGCGCTCTGCACCGCTGGCACTTTGGGCATATCGAAGACATAGTTCAGCCACTGCTGGAAGGAGTCGCGCTCAAAGAACTTGGTCAACACTTGACGCAGCTCATCCTTTTGGCTCATGCCCGTGCTATAGATCTCAATGGAGACAATGTTGATGAGCTGCGTGTAGACGCGCACTTGTGGCTCGGCCGTGGATTTAGCAAACAGCGATGAGCAGAGCTTTGTCCAGAATTTTGGCTGCTTGAGCAGCTCATTGACCAGCATTTGCAGATTGTGCTTCCATAGCGAGTGAAAGATGTTCATGATTTTGCAGGGCAGTGCCTGCTGTACGGTGAGCGGTTCCGTCTCCAGCGCATCGAGAAACTCTTTCATGTAGGTCACGATGCTATCGCCAATGCTGGGCGTGCACTCCTTGCCGAAGAAGGAGCGCTTCTCGTGCGCATAGTTCACCTTGAAGAATGCCTCCGTGACGCCCGGCTGCTTGCCAATGCACGCCTCCACCAGCTCCAATATGGCTATCTTAATCGAATCGCTCTCCAGCTCATCGGGCAGTTTCTGTATGAATGTCAAACGTATTTGATCCGCTTCCATGTCCAAGCAGGCCAGCAGCGACATGTTGAATTCCAACGCAATGCGCTTGAGCAGTCGACACGAAACAATTGGCAACCAGCGATCAAATATGTTACTCATATAGCTGCACACAGTGGGTATTATGCGCAACGTGTCTCGCTGCTTGGGCTGCGTGTAGATCAGGGCCTCCAGTGGCGAGAGTGTGTCGGCGGCATACACGTGACTCTTGAGGCACAGCACCTGCATAAGTATTCTCATGGAGAGGCGCACGAGCATCATGAGTCCATGTGGCTGCTGCTGCATCCAGTTCGTCTCCAGCTCCATGGTGTGCTGCACATACGCATTGCCAACGCCAACAAATCTGAAGAGAAGCACTTGATTAATAAGGGTTTCCAGCTGCAGCTACATATATATATAAATATACCTCAATAAAATTAATCCATTGTCCAGATTGAGCAGAGAATAGACGCACACATTGAGCAGCAGCTGGCGCTGTTCGCATTTGACATCGCTGCTGCTGCCGATGATATCAAAGAGATCGCAGATTAGGCTGAGCACTTCGAAGTAGATCTTATTCTTGTCCAGATGCGACTTGAAGTGCCACGTGTGTAGATGAGGAAATACATCGCGCAACAGAAAGACCAATCCTGGTATCTCCACTTGAAGATATCGCTTGCGCTTCAGCTTTGTGTAGGTGCGCAGAAAACTCAAGTAGGCTAAGAGAAAATCGTAGCGTTCCTTCTTCTTCTCCACATGGTCGATGACCGAGCCAAGGAATCGCGACTCGAAGTAGGCAGCGCTGGCAAAGAGCTTGTAGTCGTGTAGCGACTGATTGCTGGTCGTGGGCAATATGTCCAGATTGCTGATGCGCATGAAGATCTCCTCGTCGACGAGGGGCAGCAGCGCCGTGCAGACATTCAGGCAATTGGAGAGCAGTCCAACTGGTGGGCATTGCACGCTCTTAAATTTGCTCAACAGATCGATGCACATCTCTGTGGGATGCACCATCTCAGCACTGATGCCCTCCACGGACTTGGTGCGCTGCACAGCCAATTCCAGATACTTGAGACCCGCCTCGACGCGCTTTATGCGCTCATTGGATTCAAAGTCACCATGAAGCTGCGCCTTCTCGCGCAGCAAACAGTTGATCTCGTGATGCAGCGCATTGAAAAAGTTGACACTGCAGCGGAAATGCATATAGAAGCCGTTTGTATGTTGCACAGCGGTGCAGCTGGTGCCGGCAGGCAGTGTATAATCGATGCGCGGAAATGGCTGCATTACGCTGGTCAACTCGTATTCATTCGCGTTCAGCTCCTTCACCTTGTGCTCATGCTCGTCATAGAGCAATGCGAGCATTGGCAGCGATTCCAACTGGCTTTTGATCTTTTCAAAAGAAAATAGAACACATTTGAGCCTGAGAGTGGTTTTTAGAAGCGATGGTAGCTTACATAGTTGCCTTGGCCTGCTTTGCTGAGCGCCTGAGCTATCTTGGCCAAGTTGGTGAACTGCAATGGAAAGTTCTCCAGCAACGAATTGTACAGTGAACGTACGCCATCCTCTGGAAATGGTGAATTTTTAATGGGTGCAGGTAGGGGCTTAATAACAACAACAAACCTTCATGAGTGCAAAAATCCTTTGCCAATTGTGGCCAGGAGAGCAGCTCACAAAGCAGCTCATAGATGCCCTCGTAGCGGGCACAGCTGCCATCGCCGTCAAAGAGATCGCACAAGTAGCTCAGCTGATTGTAAATGGTTTTGCGAACAATGCGCGACAACAGACTGTCATCGGCAAACATCGCATGCGTGACAATCGCGTGGAGTTGCACAAAGCACTTGAGTTCGACGGCTCGTTTGCCTAGTTGGCGGCAGCGCAGCAGACTCGACGCATCGTCAGCATCGTTGGTGCCACGCAGCCGTAGCATCATCCATGTCAGCAGCAATGGGCCATGTTCGGGACGATGATCCATGTTCGTTATTTCGCCGTGCAGATCTTTGACGAGCTGCTCGATTAGCTTGGCATTATCGCCCGGCTGCTCAAAATCCAAACACTTTAATAGCAACACCAGCTCCGAATACGTTATATTTTCGATCAGGGCTTTGTGATAGAGGTTGTCCTTGTTCAGATGGTTCTGCAGGTGTCCAAACGAGTGCTGCTTTATGGTGGCAAACAGTCGCTTGATATGTCCCAGATCCATAGGCTTATGCTCGCTGAGCAGCAGAAGAATGTGTAGCACTTCGTTCGTCTCGCGTGCATTGCGCTCCGACCAGTTGGTCAAAATTGCGGTGCAGTGAAAGCTTTCACCTGCCAGCAGCTTCCGCGGCGGCAGCTCATTAATCAGACTATCCAATTGATTGAGATATGAGTCGACAATGCGGGGCAGCGTCAGCTTGTCAACAACCTCTCTGTACTCATTGTGGTATGGATGATTGGGCACTTTGTAGAAAACGAGCACATTTTTTAGTATCTTCAGGACAATCATGCGCTCCAGCGAATAATAGTGTCTGATGTCCTCGAGCAGTTTCATCATGTTTGTCTCGTTTGAGATGAGCTGAGTTAGGAGGCTGGCAGAGCCGCGATACTCCTTGGTCAGATAATAGCATAAGATCTCCCAGCATTGAGCCGACTCCAGGTTGAGCAGCTCCTGCAATCGTACCGTAAATGCCAACAGTTTCTCCTGTTTCTTCTCCTTTAGCAGCGCGGCCAGCTGCACATTGGAGGCACTTTTTGGCTTGAACTGCAGCACGCCGGCTTGCAGCTCGGAGCAAACGTTGAGCAGCTCCTCGCGCACTGTTCCCCTTGGCGTCTCATAGTGTACGCCAGACACCATTTGCCACAGTCGCTTCCAATCGTAGCTGTTAGGTGGAAGAAGCATTTATCAACCGTTGAATACTACTACTATTAGTGCTACTCACATGACACACTTTTCGACGGCAGGCATTTTTATATATTATTACTTAATAACTACACTATAATATGATCAGATAGTTTTATTATATAGCTTGTATTGTTTGACAACAAAATTCACAATTTTTAACAACAAAAAAAGAAACACGCGCAATTTTGATGCGTTTAGTGCTGGCAAAATGTCGATATTTGCCGGCAATCGTTAAGTCAAGTGGCAACGCTATGCACGAATTCATCAGCTGTTCAGGAACAGCGTTGCCTGACATTTCAAATGGCTAGAAAACTTAAATACTTCTTGTACGTTATAAAATCAAGTATGCGAGTCCTTCTGCAGTGGGTTGTGTTATAATGGTGTTATATATAGATTGTATTAATGAGTGCCCATAATTAGTAGGTTTATAAATAGAAAGGACGACAAACCGGATGATAAGGATTAGTCCTGGGTGAGTTCATTTTTATAAATCTAACTAGAATAAATGACAGCCATTTTTCAACTGTATCTTGCGCTGCCAACTCGCTAAAATGGACCGGCAGCCGTTATAACAACTAATGATGCAAGCGGCGAATTCAAGTCGTTTTGAAAATTCTCTGACAGTGTTTTCGAACGTAAGTGATTTAAAGTTTGTAGAATTTCCAAGTCAAATAAAATAAAGTCAACATAATTAACAGACTATCTGAAGACTTGGGCAAAAACAGAGGACCAAAAAAACAAAATTACATAATATATTGTGGACAATTAAAATCAAAATAAAAAATGCACTGGTTTTGAGAACATGTGCTTGTAGCTATTAATATATGTATAACGTTGCAGTGTCTAGTTTACCTATTAAGCTCTAGATTTGTTTATGCTTTGAAATATTTATGAATAGTGCGCAGATGCTGAATAACTCATTCCACCATTAAAACAAGCAATTACAGGTTGAATAAAGTGTTTGTTCTAGATACTTCACTATACTATGGACTAGCCGCCTTGCAAGTCACTCATAGGACACAGCTGCCGCAGATCTGAGTCCAGAGAGACAGCCCACAAAGACGAGAGAGCTATGAGAGCGATGGCGCACGCGAATTGTCTCAGTCTGCTTGGAAGCTGCAGCAAGCAAAATGTCCTCGTTAGTAATAGAAAACTATTGAGAGCACGCAGGTCTAGTTTAGAAGCTGGCAAATAAAAAAAAATAAAAAAAATCTAGTTAAATCATAAAAGTAAAATGGCACAAATTATAATCAATGAGGCCAATGTTGCAACTAATAACAATGACAGCGTCGATGAAAATGAACGTAAGTTAATAATACATTTATATGCATTTATCTGCGTGCATTTGTGTGTGTGTGCATTGTAATATGAAATCATAGTGTGATTAGCTTTGATTTGATTCTGACTCTGATTCTGAAGTATGAGAAAATGTGTGTATCTGCTTGAGGCTGCGGCTGCGGCTGCAGCTACCTATGTACGTATGATTGTGCGTCAGCAGCCGCAGCAGCAGCGCTAGCATCCTTGCAGCTGCGGACGGTAACTAGGATGCGGTGGCCTGGTGGTGGGTGGTAAGCCAAAAACTGAGAGAGCGCCAAAGCCACACACACACACACACAGAGAGAGAGAGAGGGAGAGAGAGAGCAACTAAACAGTTAGAGAGAATGTGCAAATGAGAGAGTTGTCAGCGTTGCCACACTGTAAGAATGCAACAAGTGTAATTTTTTAGTAAATTTCCCTTTTTGCACTTTTTACAGCCTTTCAAATCAGCGACGATGATTTGGATGACTTCGACGACGACTGCTTGCTGGAGGAGGCGGAGACAGGTGGCATCAATAGCATTGGACGTGGTCCATACGAACGCGCATGGACAACAGAGGCGACACGTGCACTCATCCACATTCGGGGTCCGATGGAGGGCAGCTTCACCGAGGGCAGACAGAAGCGGACAGCGCTGTGGCTGCACTGCACCCGTCAGCTGCAACGGCTGGGATTTCGGTACAGCGCCGCCAAGGTGCAGAAGAAGTGGCACAACATCCTTATCACATACAACAAGAATCTGAACAAGAAATATGTATCGGGCTATGTGCACTGGGAGTTCTTTGAGGAGATGTTCAAATACTTGCAGGGCAAGAAGGCCGATTTCGATATGCAGCTGCAGCCGGCGGCGGCGGCGAAGCAAAAACAGCAACAGCAACTGCAACAACAACAACAGGCGCCACAATCGCAGTCGCAGTCGCAGTCGCAGCAGCAACAACAACAGCAACAGCAACCACCACCGCTGAAACCGATTTCATATCAGAATTCAGTGACGCCAGTGCTGCTGACGCAACAAGCACAACAGCTGTCCGGGTGTCAGGAGGCACAGCCGTATATAACGCCCGTGGATCAGGTGCTGCTGCAGCCGCAGGTGCAGCTAGACACCAAGTCGAACGATGAGTTCGATGAGGATAGCAACAGTTTGTCGGAGGTGCGTCAGCCCAAACTAGAGTACGATGCGGATCAGACGATCAGCACTCCGCCGGATCAAAACGATAGCAACGAAATGGTCATGGCGCCCACCAGCAAGCTATACGAGCAGCACTCACAGCTGGCGGATGATGCCTGGTGGAAGGATTACTTTGAGCGCAAGCTGGATATGGAGCGTGAAAAGATGGAGCTGCAGCGCAGTTTGCAGCGCGAACAGACGCAAATCCAGAAAATGTCAATGGTGCAACAGGAGCGCATCGAGCGCATGAAAATCGATGCCATCAACAGTCTGACGGCCACATTGCAGAAACTCGTCGAGGCCAAGTGCCGGCGCGCCTAATCCAAGGTGATCACAGCGAAGCATTTATCCTTCAGTATTATTTAAGTTCCATGCATATCCGATGTGCATTCGATGTGTATAATCTCGTATAACTCTCTGTAAATACAATTTGGCCAACTATTTGACTAGCGGAACCTATTCGTTTTCGACCAAATAATAAATCAGTTTTAAGTATCTTCAATTATCTGGGATTGTTATTGTGTCTATCGCTTTGAACTATACCAAAATATGTATTTTCAATTTAATTTAATTTTATTAACATGTGTATCTTATATGTGGTATATGTGGATAAAGTATACATAAATGTTCGTATTTTATTAATTTTAATTAAATTTCACTGAAAGCGTTTTTAAAGTATTTTTATATTTTTATGTGGTTTATAAGTTTATATTTATTTTGTTTTCTGAAATTCTTGTATAATCTTAAATTAATCTTACTTTATTTCTCAATGTGACATATTTAATCTTTATATTACTTTTAACTTAATTCCGAGAATATTTTATATTATTTAACTGTAAATACTATTTTTTATTCGATTTCTCAATATTCTTTAACATGAAGGTTATCTCCTTGGAGTAGTTTCTAATATTTTATATGGTTTATAAATAAGAATTTATTTTATATTTTTCTTCTCTGAAATTTTCTTATATTATTAAATTAATCTTATTATATTTCTCAATGTATTTTTAGTATATTATTTTAACTTAATTTCTTAAACGGGTATATTTTAAATTATTTAACTGTATATACCTTTTCTATTATATTTCTCAAGACTCTTTAAATTCCAATTCTCTATTATTTGTACTTTGGATATTATATATATTTTTTTGATATTCTTGGTTATTATTTATTTCTTTTATTCTAATGGACTCGTTACAGCTGCCAGTTGACCTCCAGTAGAGTGGCAATCGAAGCGTGCCTCGCTTGCAGCTGCTGCAGGCCATAGCTGAGGCGCCACAGATCTGTGGAGTAGACCAAACACTCTCCTTCATTCAGACGCAGGCTGAGATTAGGACAGCTGGCTTCGTCGCAGGGCTGCTTGGGTTGAAGACGCCACTCAAAGTGGCCGCTCAGCTGCTGCACGAAGATGAGGCCACGCACAAAGATCTCCGTCTGGTGGCGCGCCACATTGTGCGCCATCAGCAGCCAGCTGGAGTAGAAGGGCTCCAGATGTCTGGGATAATAGTAGGGTCGGTCCGAATAGAGACGCGATGCTTTCACGGCTTTGGACTCGCAGTTGCGGAACTGCAGATGCCAAGCAGATGTTGTGGGAATCTTCTGCAGTGCAGCATCCAAGTTGAACAGTTGCCTCAACAGCAGATTGCTGGACACATCGCAGGGTTCACTTGCAAGCAGATCGGGCGCCTTCTCCAGGATGCGCACCAGTAAACTATCCAAATCCACACGCAGCTGGCAATCAGTGATGATGACGGGCAAACCACGTTCCAAATACTGTGTCTCCAACATGGAGTAGCTGACATTCGAGGCAGTGGGTATGCTCTCTGTGCGGGTGGTGCAAGTGCATCCAAAGATATAGATTATAGTATCAATAATTATTGTTTTTATATTTTGTATCATGTGGGCAATGAAAAGATCACAATTTTAAAAAACGTTTTAAAAAAATTGTAAATATAATTAAAAACTAAAATTTAAGTAATAAATTAAATAATATATATTCTGAAGTAATAAAATTTAATTTAAAAATGAAATGAAAAATAAAATAAAGGATATAATAAATTTGGGATAGAAAAATGTAAAATGGTTAAACATTTATCGGGACGATTGGGGAACCCCAGGAAAACCCAACAAGGCCAAAAAATTTAAAACGTTGGCAGTTTAATAAAAAGGTATGTAAATCTTTGGGGAGGGATAAATAACGGTATAGAGTCAGAGTGAGAATATAGGAAAATCTCAGAAATTGTTGTTGTTTTTATAGAATTTTAAACCTAATTTTAAACATTTTAAAATAAATTATATTATTTATTGCAGAAAAAACGTATTAATCAGTTAATTATGCTTGTATGTCAGTTAATTTAGAGATTTTCACACATTTCGTAAAAATTTCCATTATATGTTTCTTGGAAACATTTTCTATGAAATCTTAGTATTTATGGAAAAATTTTGTATTGAAGCTATTTTAATACTTATTATGAAATATCAATTTGACAACAGTACAGTATTATAAATGTATTATTTAATATTAATTTAAATTGTTCATAAATCTTAAAACTTGCTTACCCAATGACTCGCACAGCACACAGTTCTCCCAGAGCGTCTCGTGCCTGCCCAGACTTGGCTTTGACGGCTGCTCCTCTGCCCCACGCTCAATCAGACACTGGGCATTGTAGTAGGGCGTCCAGTTCCAATAGGGCAGCAGCTGTATCAACAGCAGGCGACCCACAGCGCTGGCTGTCCAAGCACAAGTATCGCAGTAGCTCCACAGCAGATAGGCCAGCAAAGCGGGCAGCAGGAGCCACTGCGCCCAGCGACGCAGTTGCTTCAAGCGCACATGCCAGACAAGTGGTTGGCATATGTTGCGCATTTCCTGCTCATTGAACTGCTGCCGACGGCACTGCTCCAGGAACTGCTCCAACTCGCGCTCAACAGCTGCCATGTCCTTGTGGCTTGCCTGCCAGGACGCGAATGAAGCACAATCCGGACCCTAACTGTCTTCCCGTTCGCCTAAGTGGCACATGCGCCCGATTACCAATTTCAATGTGGCAAATCGAATTTTCTATTTCATTGAGCGCCCAGACGTGCAACGCAAAGATAAGGACCACAAAGGATGTGCAGAACAGAATTAATACAAGTTGCGATGGAGTTAGTTAAAGTTTAAGAAAGTATGTACACAGAACTCTTGAACAAATCATTCAAGAAGAAGTTTGTCATCCAGCGAATCAGCTGAAAAGTATTTAACACTAGTTCGTCAAGTGTTTAAGAAGCAATTAAGAAAAATACTCCATTGCAGAGGCTATAAATATGCCACTTAATATTTTACATTATTGCCAAACAATATAATCATTTTTCCATATTTGTACTGTAAATGATATTTTGTTTTATTAAAAAACTAAGCCTTTTATTATATAAACATGATAGTTATAATTAAATAAACCTTTCGAATAAGTTATTTAGTTTTTCGTACAAAAAAAAAAAAATCTTAAAAAATTCAATTTTATTAAACATAATAAATAATTTCATGATTTTTTTTAGCCTTGGAAGATTTTGTAGAGTGTATTTTTGATCAGCGTCAACAGACGAGTCGATATAAACATTTCCATTTACATATTTCTATTGAAACTAGTCCCTTAGTTTTAGAGCTATTGTGCTGAAACTAGACAAGTATCCGCTGTATGGTTGAAGCTGATCGGATCGGATCACTATATCATATAGCTGTCATGGGAACGATATGTCGAAATTTGAGCTATTGTATGAAAACCTTTTTGCTTACCAAGTTATCCTCAATAAACTCTTGTTAACAAAATATTACCTACATCGGACTAATAAATTATATAGCTTTCATGGGAATAATTGGCCCACAAACTGTAATTATTTTTTTCAGATTTTATTCATATTTTGGAATGGTTAAGTTGAAATATGCTCAAATAAATGTATACAAATATTAAGTACTTTACAATTTGTTATGATTACTGGGGTAGTTGGCTGTTTGCATATTTTGATTTAGGCTGCTGACTTATCTTCGCTTGAGGGACGACGTCTTGGGGATTTGCAATTTTTGAAGAATTCGCGATTCTCACTGCACTCCGCGGAATTGTTCCAAATGGTGGGCGGACAGTTCTGCAGTAAGTTAAAGTACACGCAACCGGTCAAGAAGGCGGGTTTGCGTGGACACATAGATTGACTTGGTGGTGGAGAGGGGCGTGGACGATTGCCGAATTTGTCCTTGAACTCTTTAGCCTTGGCCGCACACGAGATGAAGGCTTCTTTAGTCACGGTCTGTAGCTGAACATCGTCCGGAATGGTAAGCTTCAGGTAGTCATCTAGCTTCGTCTCATCCAGTTTGTTGTCCTCGTAGAAACCGGTCTCATTGAAGATACACGAAACCAAGCACTTTAAAGAAATCGAATCATTAGCTAAGATCTGTTGGTTATTTCTTTGTACTTACTTGTTGTTGGAAGATCCTGGGATGATGGTGATGATGATGATGATGACGATGCCTTCCCTCACCGCTCTGCTCGTCCGACATTGGCGGCTGTTCGGATGGTGTTACATTATACTGCTGACATTTCTCCTTCACTTCGACACTGATAAATTCATGTATGGGACAGCATTTTGTTGGATTCACAAATTTGGGTCGTTCAGTGCAATCCACATCGGCGCTGCTTGCCACACTCTAATTAATTAATATGGATTACATATTTAATTACGACTTAGCGTGTATTATAGCCACTTCCTCTGTAAAACAACACACACACACACACATACATACTCACATATACACACATACACACATACACATACCAAACAGAGCCCAATAACGAGCAACAATTGCTGAGATTTCGATATCATGTTCCCTTTGCGTTTCTAGTCCGGTTCCAATGGAGCTACTGATGTTTCTTCGAAATGATTTACCATTTTATACCTGTTTTTGTTCTATTGCTATAACCCAAATACATATGTACACACGTGTGTATACATTTTGTTTTTTGCCGACTACAAAATAATTTTTTTTGTTATAGTATTATTCTGTTCGCCTAATTAATTCAATTGACATACGCTATTTATTTGAAGATTTTTTTACAGATTATCTTTCGAATATTATAGACAAATATTGATGACAGATTGAGTAGATTTGAATGGATTTTTTGTTGTTTGATTTTAAATGGTGATTAGTATTCAAAATAGTATAGTAGATTTGTAATTAATGCGGTGAAGTACAAATCAAATAGATAAAATAGAAATGCTTGTAGACTAATTGGGATGTACCACAATAATTAGAATTAGTAAAAAACAAGTTCACTTTGGTTTTCGTTTTTTTTTTTTGTTTACTCTCACTTAAACTCGGTTGTTCCAATTTACGAATTATTTCACCCATAAAGCATGGAACATTATATAAATAACATAATTATAAAGAGAAGCGCTAAATGGACCACACAAATGGGTAAACAAATTAAATTCCACAATTATGCAAATTAAATTTCACAATTTTCAGCTCGTATTTCCAACTCGTATGATTCAACAAATGTTCAACTCGTATGATTCAACAAATGTTCAACTCGTATGATTCAACAAATGTTCAACTCGTATGATTCAACAAATGTTCAACTCGTATGATTCAACAAATGTTCAACTCGTATGATTCAACAAATGTTCAACTCGTATGATTCAACAAATGTTCAACTCGTGTATGCTCTAATTTTAATTTCGATAATATATACAAAAAATTAAATAACAATAGATAATCATTTTTGCCAATGTAAAGCATTTGAAATTCACATCTAGCCTTATTTGCCAACAACCTCGGCCGCAGCAGACTTGGCAGTGGGGTACTTGAACTGGTAGCCCGATGATATTGCCCGCTGGGGCTGTATTCTGGCGCCGCTCAACAGAAGCGCCGCACGCTCTTTGCCAAAGATGGCGTGCACCACGAATTCGGGCACGTTGAACAGGCAGGGACGATTTAACGCCTTGGCAAATTCCTATGGCAATAGAGTACAAGGATTAACAGTTAATTTGGGGCAGTAATAAAGTCGAAATCCTTACCTGCGAGAAGCTCTTGTTGGTGGCTATCTCTGGAGCGACGGCATTGAAGGCACCCGTTTCACACTTCTCCATCAAGTGATGTATGAGCGCACACAGATCGTGCATGTGTATCCAAGGCATGATCTGATCCCCGCTGCCCATGGGACCACCCAATCCAAGTTTAAAGGGTAACCATATGGACTTGATCATGCCGCCATTCCGTCCAACAACGACTCCACTGCGCACTATGGTCTAAAGAGTGTCAGTGAAAGGTAATTGAAATTCAACTTTATATCGCAGAAACTTACACACTTGCAGCCCTGATCCGTGCTGTCTGCGGAGCAGGCGGCCTCCTCCCAGGCCAGGCATAAGCGGGACATGTAGTCATAGTTCTCGCCCTGATCAGCCTCTGTGTAGGTCTTTGTGGCCGAGGGACGATAGAGACTCACACCACACACATTCACAAAGGATTTGACTTGGGGTGCTGATTTGATTGCACTACTCAGCATTTTGGCAGAATTGATGCGAGAGTTCCAAACGTTCTGCTTAAAGCCCGGAGTCCAGCGTCTGGACGGATCGAGTACATTCTGACCGGTGGCATTCACTACGCCATTCACGCTGCTGGGTATGCCCTGTTTCTCCAGCTGGTGCCAGGTGATCCGCTTTGGGCCGGGCATCCGAGAAATAACGGTGATTTCATGACCCTTCTGGGTGAGATGTTTGGCCAGATGTTGGCCAATGAAACCAGTCCCGCCACCTGTCAATGCGTATTTGCTTTATATATGCTTTATATTGGGTCTTTACTAAACCTACCTATTAATGTGTGCTTGGACATTTGCACGATTTGTTTGTATTTTTGGCAATGTCAAATGTTTTATAAGCGTTTTGTCTTCTTCTTGTTTACATAAACAGCTGTCCTGCCAACTTGTGGCAAAGCAACAAGTTTTTACTGTATGGCAACTCTACATTTTACTGCTGCCAGACCGTGAGAAATACTTGTAGTGCTTTTCAGCACCGATGCTCAGCTTAAAAAGTTGAGCGCCAAATACATAAATTATTCACACTTAAATAGTAAAAACATTTACAGTTTAGCTTCGGGTCGTAAAACTCAAGTGAAACTTACTTGAATATCGGCTTGAAAGGTATATCGACCACTGGAGGCTTTTAGTGTCAACGAAAAGTGGCTCTTAAGGTGCGATAAGCGCCCGTAATGTTTATAAGGGACACATGCATTAAATTGCTGCATGCTCTTATCTCATTGCGTTAAGCGTTTAAAGTTCGACAAGGCACGAGGGACATGCCACACAGACTGGTCGCAGTAAAAGTGCAAACTCTGCACAAAATGCTTTTATAGCACAAGCAACGCTTTCTTCAATCACACACAGACACACACACACACACTTGCACGCACAGGCTAATGGCAAGTTTTGACGCTGTCGGAGTGTCCGGGGAGGAGTCAAGTTCAAGTGCAGCAGACATCATCCTTTGGGCGTTGTGCGGTGTTTTGTTTTCGGACCAAGTCATTGGAAACTCATTTGCATACACATTGCCAGTATTAACTGAAAGGGTATGCGACAAAAGGGGGACAAGAGACTCGCAAGGGGTTGACAGTATATATACATATATATATATATATATATATATATATATATATATATATATACTAATATGTGTGGACGAGACATGGGCGTACTTCGGTCATGTGCCGCGTTTTTGTGCAGTCAAATTTTATGCCTTTGAAGCGTTAGAAGAATTTGCATTAATCGCAGCAATTATTGCGCTTCATTGAGTGAAAATGAAATAAAAGAGCGTTCGCGCTGCTAGCCAGCCATAATTATAGCGTCTGCGCCATTTTATCTAGTTCTGCACTCAGCCAACGTACACGAACAAAAAAAAAAAAAAGAAAAGGAAAAGGAAGAGATATAATATTGTAAATGAGCGTGTGCCATGGAAACATAAAGGCCAAAAATTATATGACGGCTGGGGGAAGCTGCTGCAGCGATGGTCTTTAAAATGCTGGTTTAAATTTTAAGGAACTGTCAGCATTGAGAAGCAGTATTGGGATTTAACGGAAATAGTGAAATAATACGCATAAAAATGTTTTAATAATTTTTTGATTTGATATTTTTTTACTTATTTTTCAAATTTATTCTTTATGCAATCAGTTACATTAAAATTAAATGTTTTGCCTTTATTCTATAAATTTAGTTAGTTTTTTTTGTTAATTACAAAATTAAAAATATAAGTAAATTGTTTTTAGGCTAGAGTATACTTTTTGCACTCTTGTTTAAGTAAATTGACTGAACTACTTATTAAATTTTTAAATTTTCTTTACTCTCTTTAAGAAGAGTACACTCCCCAGTTTGTTAATGCAATAAGGGGTTTTTCCATAAGAGCGAAAAACTTTCTAGACAATAAGAAAATATGATTGCCGAATGCAAATACTGTCAAAGTGACGGACGAACAGTGATAGCAACAGCAGCAGCTAGAGTTGGAGTGCCTACAGGAGAATGATCTGCTCTTGCCACAAAATTTGAGTGGCAGCAACAGTAGCAGGAGCAGCAAACTGAAAAAGTTTTTCGCCTTTGTGTGTGTTCCAGCCAGCAGACATGCCACTGGACTGCTGTTTGAGTTGCACTTCCGGTGGCGATGCCAATATGTACAAGTGGCAGTAGCACTAAAATACATACACGAACTGTCTCGTTACTTATGCTAAAGTGTAAATATGTATGATGACAAACTTCTTTGTTTGCCACCATCGACAAGAAACTGACGGACTGACTGGCTGACTGACAGAACTGTCAACGCCTCTCTCTCATCACTCGTCTCCCCAACAAAGTTGCAAAGTCAATGGCAGACACACACACACACACACAGACTCGGATAAGATCTGCATGTGCACAGTGAGAGATGTCTATCGGTTTTTGAGTTCTGCTTCTAGAATCTCATAAATGCAATTCCTCTATTGTTGACTTGATTTGTGCAACTTGCTAGTTTGCTAGTTGCTGTTGACGTGTGGGTGTCAAAAATCTCCAAGAGGAGCAACTATTGTATTGTGTTTGCCTGCACAGTGTGAGCAAGCATTAAATGTGCCCACAACAAATAATTGAAGTTGAGGCGTACTTCAAATATATTTGATTTTAAATCTGATTTTTGGTTTAAAACTAATAAGATTCATTTTTAAAGCTTAAGTTTTTATACGAAATATTTATATTATATTATCAATTTCTACCGCACATAAAAAGGCTTAAAATCGAATACATTATGTAGTTTTTGTATTAAATATTTAAATTATATAATTATTTTATTTTATTTGTTTAATTTATTGTGTTACATTATATGCAATTTGAAATATATTTATATATATGGTAAATTTATTAGATAATTTAAAATAATAGTTTCTTAATTAAATATTATTTTTTTTATTTGTTAGTTTAAATTAAATAATAAAATTTATTTTACTTTTGGAAATAAATTATTTTCATGGTTCAAAACTAAACCAAAAAAAAGATAAGCAAATATTTAAATTTTCGGGCAGCTTTTATAATTGCTGTAATATTTCAAAACACCACACTTAAAATTAATAATTTCTCAAGCAAATTTATTTTTGTATATTACTTTACTTTACTTTAGAGTAAGAAATTAAATATATTTTACTATTGAGAATTAATTATTTTCATAGTTGAAAAATGATTAACATTTTCGTGCAGCTCTAATTGCAGTGAGCTGTAATTTGCCAGCAGTCACTGTAAGTATGGTTATTTTTAGCAGGCACTATTGCATTCTGCCTTTGCATTCGCACACAATTTGGACAGTTTTATGTGTGGAGCTGCGGTTGCTCGGTTTCTTGCGGTTATGTTGTGTGGATTACTCGTGCCGTTGCTGTTGCCATTGCAACTGGCAGCCACTCTGCGTTCTGCGGCTCCCCTGGCTGGTTGACATGAGCAACGTTGCTGCTGTCCGCCACTTATTTTTCTGCCCTGCTCTGCACCGCTGCACCACTGTGTCGGTGGTCACTTCAGTTGCATTTTTTGACATTTCACTGCATTGCGAATGATGTCGAATGTTGAATTTTGAGTTCGTCTCGGACATACGCACATAAAACTGAACTCTGTCATCATTACGAGGAGGAGAAGGGAGGCAAACTAGTTATGCATGTTTGAGGCATTAATAAAAGTCAAATAGCTGCTGACACTAAATACCCCAAAACTGACTTTTGCCATTTCAGTGAGAGTTGGCATTTTTGGTTTATAGATTTGTGGCAGAGTCACAAAAAAAACCCATTTAGGCGAAGCAAATCTGGTTAAATTTGTGGAAAACTAATTTGCGGGCAAGAGTGTGGAAATGTTAACTTGGCTTTCTCATAGTCAAGGGCTACGACCAAATGGTAAATAATTGAATTTACATGGCACACATGCAATATGCCACCTTCAATTTGCAACAGGCGCCAATTTGGTAAGTTAATGCTTTTTCACCACATTCTACTTTTTGCGTCTCAGTTTTTGCCAACTGCGATGGTTGCGATTTTCGTAGTTTTTGCGACTTCTTTGGCGGGCTTTAAAGCAAAGTTCAAAAGCATCATAAACAATTTGTGGGGCGCAGACAATTTGTCTGCCATCAGCCAAAACTGGGTCAGACTCAACGGCGACTCGCGAGTCAAAAGATGCCGTCTTAGTGATGCTGCTAGTGTTGCTGGTGGTGGAGTTGGTGGTGGAGTTGGTGGTGGAGTTGGTCGTATATCACTATGGAGTAATAAGTCACCTTCTTGGATAAAACTAAACATACTCTTTTAATTGGATTTATGGCACGTGTATGTCTTTTATTTAGTAATTATGAACTTGATAAATGAGATGACCACAAAAATGCTGTAATAAATTGACTGAATTATGAAATAAATTCATGTTGCTCTTCACATTGATTCAATTCAGATTTCAAGTTGTGTTGATCAAAATCGAATTTTGTATAACAAAAACAAAGCAAAAAGCTATTAAGCTACAAATCTATTATTCGAAGGAAAACAAATTTCCAAAAATTTTTGATTCAGACTAAATAAATGTGACTTTTACTTAATATTTATAGAATTTATTTACAAATATTTTATTTTATTTTATTTTGACTAAAAACATTTCACAATTTGCAAAAAAAAAATAGCTTAAAAATCAAAAATGAACGCTGGGAACCTCCTCCTGAAGAGGGATACACATTAAGTGGATAATTAATATAAATAAATAAAAGCAATATTGTTTTTGATTAGGCTTTTGATTATTTAGAGAAAAAATTATATGTACTTATATTATTTGTGTCAAAACATGTCTTGTGGTATTTTTGGCTAGTCGACTAGTCGCGAATATTTTAATTTAACTTCAATTGCTATTTGTTCCATAGTGCACAGTCATCTGCAGACCGACTCACTATCAGCACACACACACACACACACACACCCTCACACACACACATTTCCATTGATGACTGCGAAAAGTTCTGCAGCTGCTGCTGTTGTGATTGCTGAGGTAAGAGAGAAGAAAAAAAAAAAAACAAAAAGAAAAGAAAAGAAAAGAAAACATTAAAAGCAAACAAATAAAGTGGCAAGGAAGTCGCCAAGTCGCCAAGTCGCCGAGTTGCCGAGTTGCGTTTGCTGCATGTGGGTCAAAAGTCGCGCGCCAGCCGAAAACAATTTGTCAAATCAATTTTTACAACTTTTATCTGACTTTGCTAGTGCTCACTAAACCCCCCTCAAAGAAAGCGGAGTTAATGTGATAGTTGCAAATGGTCTCGCTCCTGCATCCTGTGCACTAATGATCTCTGCCCGACTATATTTAGAACCTGAGCAAATTATGTGCTATATATGAGGATGATATGATATGCTCTCCGCCAAAAGACAACTTCATTTGTGCAAAGAACTTCAAAGTGCCGACG